CGGGCATACAGGGAGAAGGCATGCCCATGATGGCTGCTGAATGTTGCTGCTCGCAACCAACATGCCGAGATACTACTTGCACCAGGATTCTCTGGAGATGGGGAGTGTGCATTAATGGTCGCCGACCAAGACTTGTTAGAACCAATCGACCATCGTCTCAAGCCTGTCATTGTCTCGGACTGATTGGGCTGGAGCGGCAACTTCATACAGGTGGCAGGACGTCTGTGGATACTCCAGGCCTTGGACAACACCCTCTAGCATGGAGCAGCCTACACTTGACCAAGGTTTTCTTGCTACAAATTAGCTGGAATGCTGCCTGAGCAGCTCGCGGAAGCTTCCGAGTTGGGAGTCCGGATGTGAAAGAAATCTACTTCCTGAGCAACAGAGACATTTGTCTATATCAGGTCGCCTTGATGTGGTTATTGTATAACCTTGCACTCCAGATCAGGGAGACAAGCTTGGTGAGCTTGACATGAATATCCAGATGCGGACGCGGGTCTCCCAAGGTTGGATGGCCTGTAGGAGAAGCGCGTGACGGCAGAGGGTATTCGTTGTGGTCACTGTGGAGCACAACGTATCTCGGAATCAGAACCATCCAGTATCCATACGAAGCAGTACTTGTCGATGCATATGGGGGGTTGGGGGCAAGATGAGCCAGTCTCGGCTGCATGATGATCATGATGAGTTGTCATTTGGTTGCTAGGTAGGGAGAGGCTGGTGCAGTGTCGTATATGCATCCTTCTGTTTGCTTCTGATGAAGCTAGTGCATATGCTCGTAGTAGAAGGCAGTAGTGTCACGGCTGGCACACACCGGAGGCAGTTATGAGCGTATCCGGCCAATACGCCTCAGTAGTGGTCGTTTACTCGCCATCCCCTCTGGACATGAGACTCACTTGGATCGTCTCTATGCTCTCTCTCTGTCCCTTCTACTGAGGTGGGCATTAACAGGATCTCAAGCATACTCTGCTCTATCTGAAAGAGATTGTAGGAGCATGGGGGATGTCATTCTTGGAGCGGGCAATGAGGTGGCCTGGTAAGTGGCCGAACAGGGGACGGGAAGACATAATGGAGCACAGTTAAGGGGGGGAAGAGACCTGGTAATTGCGGCTGGCGACTAACCCGCAGAGAACCAGGCAGATATCCCCCCCCCCCAGATTGCGCCAGCTGGACAGCGTGTAATGCCCGAGATGTCCTTTCATACCCATGTTGCATATCTCGATGAGAATAACAATCCTGTAGGGGAGGGCGCGCTTTGTCTGGGCCCCCATGATGCTCAATACTGATACCACGAGGCATCCAGTGACAGCCTCTCGACAATGACACTTCAAAGTCCTTCATTTGCTGTCCATCAAGGAAAGTCGTGGGGAACGAAAAGAAATTTGGCGTCGTCAACACAGCGCCTTGGTAAACTCTCCGAGATAAGTTGCTCCAGAGAATAGTATCCGTAGAGGACAGACAAGCTGCTTTCGATGAGGACGCCCTGTTCTCGGCCAGAGCAAGGCGGCTTCAGGCAGCTAGCATCTCTCGCCTCGACCCCCTTGCCCCGACTAGCCTCCATCTGGCCTTGAGAATGCAAGCCGAGACTCGGTGAGGAGGAGGCGCGGCGCTTGAAACACGGGTGGAGAAGCAAGCGAGAGCCCTCTGGCGTCATCATTGGGCGATCAAGGCCATCCTGGTGCATGGGAGAGGAGCCGGAAGTTTGTACATGCATGTGATGGCATGTCTTCTCTATCCCTGTGCCGTTCTGGCTCGAAGCGGTCGAGGTTGAGGTGCCTTGTCGGACGTGAGAGCCGGATGTTGACCATCTTTCAAGGCTCTGGGCTGCTTATCGGATGGCGCTTCCCGGACACGTACTGAGTGAGAAAACAAAGCCAAGCTCTATTGAGGCAAACGGTGACGGTAGAGATTGTTAGAGAGACACCGCCTTGAGGGTAGAATGCACGAGATCATATCATACCTCAGTAGATGCAGGCAACCTGCGGCTGGCGGACTCAGAGCAAGCGAGGCTCGCTCGTCCAGCTTCTGCCCAGTAAGTTTTTCTTGCCGCAAGGATTCTTTACCAGAAATTTGCCACAGTCGCATCTTTGAACAGATATTTATTCTGCCTATTCATCTAGGGAGCCGACGATCGATACTCGAGAGAAGTTGATCCAAAGAGTGGTGCTTATGGTCAGTATCTCTTGAGTGGCCAAAGTCTGGGGCGATAAGGTGGAAAAGTGGGGAGATCGAAAACAACGAGAAACAAGACAAGTTTACAAGGTTTGACTTGAAGTCCCTGGAAGCTACTATAACGGGTTAGACAGAGGAAGCACCTGCCGCGGCTACTGTAAGTCGAGACCTGCTCCTTGTAAGCTACTACCTAGGTACCTAGGTATTCGTAGGTACATTAAGGTAGTAGGTACACGGCACATCTCTCCATTACCTTATTCGATGAGGTACCTACCTGCCTAGGTTCTCAGATACGAGAAGAAGGAGATACTTTAGGCATTACCTACCTGCAGTGCCTTATATTCAGTTCAAGTTGACTACCTACCTTAGGTACTACTTGTAGGTACATAACTTATGGAGGTACTGGCGGTACTATGGCAGGCACGCAGCTGGCACTTGCCATGGGCAGAAGGGAAGAGATGGGCAGGAACTGTTGAGGCATCTCGTTGAAGTCAAAAGCACATTGTGACCAGGCTACCTACAACAGGTAAGTGCCTACCTACAGGTACCTACCTAGGTAGGTACTGGTAAGTACTTCAAGCAGTCTGCGCCCTCCCAACCTAATCTCTACGTACCTAATAGTACTTGAGATGAGAGAGTTGTATGCAACCGAGGGAAGGTGCTACAATGTGTATGCAAGCCCGATATTTCACACCTGATGAGGTTAGTAGCTCAGGCAGCCGAGTCGAAAGTGGTACCTACACTCACTCACTCGCTCTTTCCCTCTTGAACTTTTCTACAGGCTGCGTTAGTACATACTAGTAGGTAGTAGTACTAGTAGCGGCAAGTGGGTGGTTAAAGTTGGATTACTGCCACTACTACAGGTACTGGCACTCCATAGATCCAACCAAGTGGGTTGGCGGGCCTTCCCGCGGAAAGGACCCGGTACTTTCATTATAGCGCTGTTGGGGGTGGGAGCAGAAGTACCCTTTCCCAGGGGCGTCAGGAACCGTCGGTCATCCTGGAGTACAGCTCCATGGAGAGTAAGCAAGAAAACAAGAGATTGTGCGGCTGGTAATTTCAAACAAGATACGCCATTATTCCTCATCATCAGATGCCTTTACAGCACAAGTTTCCAATGTCTGCGGGCTGAGACATCGTTCGACCCCCCACCCACTTACAGATGCTTGGGCTCACCACCAATTGGCGTGTCTCGATCCAACCTCTCTCTATGGGAGCTGGGGATCGCGGCAAGGTCAATGTTCAAGGAACTACGTACTTCAACCGTGCCTCTCTGATTTCATTGGTTTTATCGTCTTCTCCCTGCTTCGTGGTAAGAGAAGGGGCTGTCATGCAGGATAAACCACTATTGAAGCGCCTCAGCCCGGAATCGCCGCCTGGTTGAATGATTGGCCTTGATCAGCCTCGCCACTTTCTTCCTGCACATGCAGATAGTAATAACAAACAGCGGCATATATATTAGAATAAGGATGAGAAAGCCGAAAGGAAGCAGACCACCCTGGCACGCCGAGGATTATCTTATTTCGCGGAGTCGAATGGCCCCCCCTCTGCTCTTCCCGTCAGTAACCACATAGCAGAGAATTCTTCTACCCACTCATCCGATCATGGACCAATCTGCATGTCCAAGAAGCGTGTAAACACCGATTGCCTTACCAATGGTCGATGCTGGAGTAAGGTATACAATAATTCCTGATATCATCAACACTTGGAAATAGAGCAAGAGATGCACGCCCCTCCCCAGACTGAGGCTTGTCTTGTCCATCGCATGTACTTGGATGCTCAACGACCTGCAGATTACTTCAAGTCTTTGCCCTACTCTTGCTTTGGAGTGCATTGTATGCATGCCGCCCAAGCATAACTGCCAGCCGCTGGATCAAGACTTTCAGCTTGGCCTGATCACTTGCCTCAGCCCCATCATGGCCTGGTCTAGACCCATGTGCTGTCCATGTACCATACTCATTGTAGAGGGAGTCGGTGTATCAACTGCATGTAGCCGGAAGTAAAGAGCCTACGTCCTTGGGATAGAGGCTACTCCGTCCAGAGGCCCTGAGCCCAGAGAAAGCATAGAGGGAGAAGACGAAGAACATCTTTTCTCTGTGGTGACTGTCTGAGCGAGGGCAGTGGTAAGCGGCGGGCCCTCCCCAAAACGGTGCTTTGAATTGGAATGGCACCTCGAATGCTCGGTTCCATCCCTAGGTACGACGCCGCATATACCTTGCTCGTTGACGGGTGGGAATGACCATCACGCCTCTTTTTTGTTTGTTACGCTTGGCTTGAGGTAGCAAACATCTTTGAGCGCATCACAGTTGGGCGGGCTTCAGAAGGGCCATAAAAGGAGACTTCTCTCGCTGCCGTAGTTCCTGGTTCACTCTCAGTTTGAGCCATATCGAACTGCTCTGGACTAGTCCGTCGATGGTTGAGTCAAGCTGCTAAGCATCACAAACGCCAGTTCTTCGTCTCTGTAAGTCTCCCATTTCATCAAGTGCCCCATCTGGTTTAGGTGTGGAATCACTCACCATCAGGCTACTAATCTCTCCCTGAACTGCCTCATTCGTCGCTGTCGACCTCCCCGCAAGGTGTGCTTCGATTTCCGTATCCTTGCCCGCTTTCGCCAACGAGATCGAGGAGCGTCTGTTGGCCCAGGCTTGTATCGACCCTCCAATCATACCGTCTTTGTTGCATCTTATACTTGCTTTGCCTTACGGCAGCAGCTGGGTCCGACATCTTCGCGGACACTATCAGCCACCAGGAGCTTTCTAGTTCCCATACACCCACTTCGTCGGCACCTGTCTACTCCCTACTCCCTGTCTCCTTGCCAAGGTTCCCCAGTCATGTCTGGCGGTCGCATTGTCGTGTATCTCTTGGGGCAAGACCTTCGCACTGCCGATAACCCTATCCTCCATTATCTGTCCATAACTGGCAGCGAACATGGCTATACCCACCTGCTGCCTGTGTATGTCTTGCCTCCTGACCAGATAGACCTTTCTGGCTTGGTCAAAGATGGAGAGACGTTTCCATATCCCCATGCGCTGACCGGGGTCGGAAGATACTGGAAGTGCGGCATCCACCGCGTCAGGTTCCTGGTGGAATCGGTCTGGGATCTGAAGTCCAAGCTTGAAGCTCTTGGATCCGGCTTGATCATTCGTGCCGGCAGCTTCCCCGACGTCTTGGAGGGCATCGTCCAACATTATGCCGACCAACAAGACGGCCCTCAAGTCGCCGCTGTGTGGATGACCAAGGGGTTTCTGCCGGTGGAAGTCAGCGAACAGCAAGCAATCGCTTCTTTCTGCGACGAGGTTGGACTTCGTTTTGTTTCGTTTCGCGATCACAAGTGGTTTATCGATAAGTAAGTTGGCCCAATAGCCCTCCATGTCAGCAGTGCCTCGAAGATAATCTGACGCCGGATCCTTGTCGAAAACAAATAATGTAGTCCTGAACTCTCTACTCGTTCAATTCTCGAGTTGCCAGACAAGTTCTCTGAGTTCCAGACGCGAATCGGCCGTATGGAGTACCAGCCTCGCCGTGCTCTTCCTCCCCCCCTGTCCTTCTCGTTGCCCCCTTATCCAGATCATGCATCCCTCCCTACCCAGAAGCACCCCTTCGACATTCCAGACACATTGCCAAAACTCTTTGAGGTGTTGAGCAAGCAGGTAGGGCTTAGTGCTGCGTTCAAGGAAATCGGCTCCAGGAGCTTGCCAGCAGTATTCCCCGCCAGGGGCGGCGAAACACAGGCTCTCAATCGACTGCGTTATGTCATCAAGAAGGGCATCGTATCGCAGTATCATACAACCATTGACGACTTGAAAGAGCAAGATGGGTGCTTCAACCTGTCTGCTTACCTGTCTCTTGGTTGTATCAGTGCTCGGCAGGTCCACGAAGAGCTAGTCCGGCTCGAGCAGGGCACCGAGCCGGATTTTGCTCAAGCTCTGGGCTTCGGGAAGGGCGAGAACATGGGGACAAAGGCACTTCGAGCAGAGATGCTCCATATCGACTTCATTCGACTGTGCAATAGAAAGTACGGCCAGAGTGTCTACAGCCCTGAGGGCTCCGGCCCGGGCAGAAACCCGGGCATATATTACAAGACGCCAAATCGGAACAAGGCACGTCCAGACCAAGTGCCTTGCCCCCTCGGCATCGAAGGCATTCTCGTGCAGTTCCAAGTAGGAGCTACCGGATTCGGTCTCATCGATGCCATCATGAGGCAGCTCCTGTGCACCGGATACATCAGCATCCGCTCCCAGATGCTTGCTGCCAACTTCTTGGGCAAGTTCGCAGGCGTCGACTGGCGCTACGGTGTCGAATGGGTGGCGTCTCTTTCCATAGAGCACGACGCATCTCTGCATTGGCATCGATGGCAGCACTATGTCGGCATTGGCCCTGATCCCAGTGGCGGTGAAGTGACCTTCTCTCCTGCCCACGCCGCCCTCGAGTTCGATCCGGACGGACACTTTGTACGGGAGTGGATGCCAGAGTTGCGGCGTCTTACGGCACTGCCAAACCTGTTCAGAGTAGCCACGACTCCTCCGGAGCTTCTGCAGCTGCTCGGGCTGGCGACGAGTGTCATGGTAACGAGGCCGGTGCCGTCTGATGCTGTCAACTGTCAACGCTCCAACCACAGGAGCTGCGGGGGCCTGCACCCTCAACTGTTTGTTTCCAGACCACCTCACGGATTTGTGACCCTGGGTCCCTATCCCAGATTTCTCCCTGTCTCCCGTTCGAGAGTCATCATCCCCATCCAGGCCCCAAGTCTCTGTTCTTGTCCACCACCGCCTCCAGAGCCTCCGCGTCTCCCCCTTGTCTTCTTATATTTACCGCGCCCAAGATCCTGTGGCGGAAGCCCGGAATATCTTGTTGTACCGCAAGCACTTCCTTTTTCAATTTTCCAACAAACACTCGCTTGGTCACTTCAGATTTCTTTCGCCGCGTGGATGGATTCGCATCAGAAAGCAACGCGCAATATGGTCGAGATGGCTCCTCTGCAAGATGCTGAGGCTTCCAGTCATCCTGGTCTAGACAGGGAGCCTCTGCTGCCTGCTCGGGTTTCTCCTCTGGCTCCTGGTAATGCACTCAGTGGCCCTATCATAGCGAACTCGGCTTCCGGAGCTCGCCATGACGCGGCTAGAGGCCCTACTGCCATGAGGGCGACATCTCGAGGCCCGACTATCGTGGTTTCTGACCCCAGAGCTGTTGCAGCCGCCGCAGCCCTTCGCGAAGCACACAGCAGACCTGAGGCAATGGCACCTCCCCCAAGCGGCCCTCGGGCCGAACGGGCTGCTGAAGCGCCTCAAGCCACGCCTCGCATGCAACACGTCGCTCCAATTCTTCAACATCATGGACCGGCTCAGCCTCCTCCTGGTTTCTTTCAGGAATACCGTGGCTCTTCTCAGGCACCACTGAATGCTCCACGAGGCCCCCGTGCGGATTACCGGCCACCAGCTGCTCAGTCAAATGCTCCGCCAAATGCCCCAAGGGGCCCTCGTGCAGACTACTGGCCCTCTCAGCCTCCCCGCAACGCACCCCAAGCGCCTCGTGGACAACCCTGGCAGTATCACACCCACCAAGACGGATCTCAGGCGCACCGTTCTCAGAACTGGCAATATCAGCAGCGTCGAAACGTCGTCCCCGGGAACATCTCAACGTCCCAAACCACTCAAAACGCGTTCAACGCTCTCCCAACGGCCTCCAGGGCTTCCCAGGCCATGCAGCCCTTTCCTCCCGCTCCCCAATGGAGCCCCCAGATGCCAGAGTCGTTTGCTGGAGCAACCCACCCTACAACCTATCCGTACAGTCTCTACACCAGCCCACCTTGCCCGGCGTTATATGGGCCATACGCCTTCAATCGCCCTTCGACCTATCAGTACATGGAGGAACTGCCCTACTATCAAGTGCTACAGGACTATAATCAGTGGCACGCCTCGGGCCCCAGTGGTGGTGGTCCCTGGAACGCCACTCCTCCCGACACTGACGAGGTCGTGAGACACGGCATGATTCTTCGATTCCTCGACAGCCTCCCGCCGCCTCCTTCCAATCCCGAGTTTCCCCCTGACCCCCCTCAACTCTATCTCAAGACTCGCCGTCGCCGTGGGAATCAAAGTCGGTCCTCTAGGGAAAGCGGTGACACTGGCCAGACTGAATCTACCGAAGGAACAACTACGATTACGCGCCCTGTTATGCCTACAGCGTCCGTGGATGTCTTGCCTCCCCCAGTCGCGCACAGGACGCCGTACAGACGTGGGAGGCGCGGCACCTCTGGCCGGCGCCGTCAGGCAGACGACAACAATAGGGATGGATCTGGGCAAGGATCTGAGCAATCGGACAAACCAGGAGCCTCGGGTCAGGCTGTTGATGTTGCTGATGCTGCCAAAGTTATTGAGAGCGCTGATGTGGGCGACATTGATGAGACTCATGAGAACGGCCAGGATGACGGTGAGGGTGAGGAGTGCGATGGCCAGGAAGACGACGTTGATGACGACTGTGCCAGCGCAGCTTCCTGCATGTGGTAACTGATGGAGACCACAAGGCTTTGGCCGCAACGGGAAGAAAAAGGGGGGGCGGGGAGATGGCCTCTGGAAGTGCGGAGCGGAAACAATATCGGAGAGACTCCAGGCTTGCGTTGATTTGCACGAATGAGCAGTATTAGTTGAGTATCGTTATGAGCATCATCCTAAATAGCAATTAAATTCCTATCGTATACTACATTCTTACCCTCATCTATATGCCCACCCTCGGCTCATTCACGTGGTATGCACTTCTCAGGTACCTGTGTTCAAAGCAGCAGTTCAATGATGCAGTAGTAGAAAATTCCATATATGAGTACCTGGTTTGTTGTATTGAGACGGTAACTCGTAGTCTCTCATCATATCATGTGCTGTCTATTCGTGGTCTTATTCTTTCATCCTTCTTCTTCTTCCTCCTCCACCCATTTCTTCTTCTGCCACCTATGCAGAACCAGCGACAGTCCTCTCCGCAATTTGTCTTTGCTTATCCCTTTCAGCTGCATGTCTCTCATGATTCTGGAAAACGGCAAGCATTCCCAAGTCGTAGCTCGCCTTGAGACAACCGGCCGTCACAAAAGCAACCCAGAACAAGCCCTGGTCCGCCAAGCTGCCCGTAAGGAAGGGGCCAAGGCTGGCTCCGATCGTCTTGACCACGTTTATGACGCCCATGATGGCTGTCCGCTCGCTCGGCTTGATAACGGCCGCTAGGAAGGCTGCCCGAGGTGCGACGTCCATGCTCTGGCTGGAGGCGCGAAGCCACAGGAAGAGCAAGGAGAGACGCACGTCGGGGAAGACCGGGATGAGAGAGAGGAAGATGGACGAGGGCAGATGCGTAAAGACCATGGTCTGGGTTGGAAGAGTATGGGGGTCAGAACAATGGTGCATTCGACGTACATTGAAAGGGGGAGGGGGGGTAAGGCCGGACGAGGAGTCCAACGAAGCACATACCTTGATGTTACCGAATCGTTTGGCTAGGGAAGAGGCCACAAGCATGGAGAGAGCCGAAGTGATGCTCGTGACGAAGAATATGGAGCCCAGCTTTCCCTCTGTAATGCCATAGCGCCAGCGGAAGAAGTACGTCACCCAAGACCTGCATTATGCGACATGTTTTAGTTAGTCTATGGTTAGCGAAATGAGGCAAGGGAGTCCTCTTACATGGAAGCCAGGCCCGAGGCAAATGCGTCCAGGGCGAAGAAGACGCTCAAGCTGGTCATTATAGCGTATCCTTCCTGGCTAATGTTGGGAAGAAGAGACGCAAGTCGGCTACGGCTCTTTTGCTGCTCCTCGTTTCCTTGCGAAATGCCATGCCCATTGCCGAGGAGAGGAGATGTTTCAGTGTTGCCGTCTTCTGTGTTCGCTTTGATGGCTCCCTTTGTGACCGTTTCGTCGGCCTCGACGGCGCTGCTCAGGAGTAGGGCTAGGGTGAGCTTGACCAGGCCGAGGACGGCATATCCCAAGAAGATGAGTCGGTACGCATCAATCAGCTGCCATTCGAGGACCGTGGAGACATATTGAACGACCCATCCACCAGTCATCAGCCCGAATGCCGTTCCAGCAGTGCCGAGCAGGCTGTACCAGGCATAGACGTCGCTTCTCGACGCCGGCTCCGTCAGATGAGCAACGACGCTCTCCTCGATGGCTCGAAAGGGGCCAATCTCGTTACCACTATGAATGATTTGAAAGCAAGGTCAACCCATAACGTTCTCGCTGGATAGAGTCCTCCTTGTCAAGCAAGGCATCGAATGGGAGAATCCTCACATACCTCGGACTGATGACGCCGAATATGGCCGCCCCGAGCAACACCCAGTAATTCTCGCAGAAGGCAAAGGCAACGCCGCTACCAGTCATCAAAAGGGCGCCCAGAGCCAGAATCGCCTTTCTGCCCAATCCGTCGGCCACAAGCGTGAGGCAGAAGCTGATGCAAACATCGCCGACCAGCGTCAGCGTCATGAAAAGGCCGATCCTGGTCTTGGAGATGCCCAGGGCCTGGAGGTAGAGCACCAAGACCAGGGTCGACGCGCCATAGGCGAAGAGGCGGACGAATCGCTGTAGGCAGAGGAGCTTGACGTCTTGCCTGCTGTGATGGAGAGAAACGAGGCCCAGCTCGGAAAGGATCTTGAGGAGGAGCCCCGAGGATTCCTCCATATTTTTTCTTTGATCTGTAGTTTGTTCTACTTTTCTCTTTCTCTGGCTTGGTCGATGTCTTTTCCTCGACAACGATTTTGGGTAGCTGTTTTCCTACCTTATCCCCTTCTTTTGTCTTTGACTGATTGCACCTTTGTATTACTACTCTTCCATTTTCCAGTCCTCCTCTCCTCCCCTACCGTCTATGGAGGGTCAACGGCAATCTTTATAGCTTGTTCAAAAAACAATTGTCAGAGCAGATCCCGCCCCACTGCGTGAACAAATGAACCTCGAATATTCGATTCCGTTCACGCATCTGCTAATCACGGTGCGGGTGGGTAGCTCGGTGATAATCCCATAATCCGAGATCGGTCTCCATACGAGCCTTGCCGTTTGCAATCACCTATTGCGGGCTATAATTAGGCAATATCACCTCACGCCCCCAGAGCTCTACAATTCAGTCTCACGACCAAGTCATCTAATGCCGTACCTCTGGACACCGGCAGGTTCAAGGGTGCGTGTACAATTGCACTTGGGTCAAAAGCTGAACTCATTCGAGCTTTCACCACTGAACACCGCCAGTAGTGTTACAATCACACTGTCCGCACCTCTTTACGTGTGAACGGCCAGCATCACAAGCAATGCTCAGGATATGAGGAAACATGAGAAATCAATGGTGAACTAGGTACCTAAGGCAAGGCTGCACTTGGGGCCGTCTACGCAGGCGCTGCTAGACCTGCCTAGGCAGTAGAGTACCTCCAAACTATTTCGTAGTTTACCTGGCCACGCCTTCGAGTTGCCAATTCAATCAAGCAAGCAAAATGAAGCCTTCCGCGAGGGATGATGGACCGTATCTGGAGCCGAGCTGAACCCGATTGTCGAACTTACGTGACCCCAATCACCATTGCTCCCGTCCCATGCGATCAGACGACCGTTTCTCCTTAATCCCGAGACCTTCGAACCTTTCCCCGAGGAGAGCCCAGGAATACCCCAGGTGAGCTCATGCCGGCGTTTCAATAGTAACACTTGTGAGCAAAGCAGCTCATCACATTGACGGCGCGAGACAGTTCATGGCCAGAGGCAGCCTCAAACTCCTTGCGGAGATTCTCGCACTTGCTGACTCTTCGCAGGCCACCACTGGAGGAGCCGTAGGTGTGCCTGCAAGCGTCGCACATCTCTTCGTCGGTGCTGTTGCCAAAGTCCTCATGCTCGACTTCGTCAACCAGCAGCTCGCAGTCGCCGTCACACTCGTGATCACTGCCACGGTTGCGTTCCTCGTCGTCCAAGTTGTCATTGCCGTCAGCCTTGCCAAGCTGGGCCTGCTTAAGGCGGCAGCGATAGGCTGACGAGCGCTCGAAATCCACCAGCATGATTCTATCCAGCTGGGGGTTGTAGAGCATGTTGCCGAGTTTTGCGTCGCGGTGGATGATTCCCGCATCGTGAAGCTCCGTATACGCTCGTTGAGTCGACGAGACAAAGCCTCGGTTGCAAGGCGATCCCCAGTAATTCTTGACCGGCCGACCAGCCCAGCTGAGGAGCATGAAGTGCGTGTACTGCTTGGCATCGTGCTGGAAGGGCAAGGTGAGCTGCAGGATTCCAAGGTAGACGGGAATGCAGCCGCCCTGAAGGCCCTTGAGCCGAGTGTACATGTCGCCTTCGCGCAGGAGACGAGACACGTTCTCCTGCATGACGGCCTTTACGACAAACGTGTACCCGCGGGTAGCAAGCGTCACCTTGAAGAGGTCTCCCATAGAGCCGGAAAGTTGAAGGTAGATGCAGTTGCTGCCCGTGCCTCTAGCAAGGGCGAGCTGCTCCTGAACGAGCTTCAAGAACTCGACGTTATCGAGATGCTTGTCTCCGTGCATGTGAATGTTGGGGCAGCTCGTGTCCAGTGGTGCGCCGCTGGTCAAGCCCAAGAGGCACTCCTGAGTGCAATATTCCCGGCGTCTGACTTCACTGACGATGATGCGGTCGTCTTTACCAATCCACGCCGTACGCCTTCCGTCGTCGACGATGGCGTCTTCGTCGTCCGACTGAGCGTTGTCGGCTTCTTCGGCTGGCTTCCCAACATCATCCTCGGGTACCAGGAATCCATCAGGGGAGAACTTGAACCTGATTTCGACGGCCACATACGACTCCTCTTCATAATCCTCGTCAACGTCATCGTCCAATAGCTCATCGTCCAATAGCTCATCATCCAGTTCGTCCTGGTCGTACTCCGTGTCCTCATCTACCAGCTCTTCGTCGCCATCGCTAGTAGCAGGAGAAGAGCTTCGAGGACTCGGGAGCGGCGGCATGTTAAGCAGCACTTCGCCGTAGTCGGTCCTCCAAACATCGAGATTCACAGCCTTGTTGCGCCATTTATTAGAGATGCGTCCTGCTTGCATCGCGCGGATCATGAAGGCAAAGATTTGGCCGACGGCTGAAAAGTACACTCCCGATTCCTCCTGGACGGAGACATCGTCGTCGGGCACGCTGACGAAGCAGTGCACCACGGATGGGTCTTCCTGTATCTCGAGGAAGATGATGGCTACTCCGGTGTACACGTAGCCATAAGTCACCCCGCATCTGACCATGCAGTCATACAGCTGGGTGATGATGGCCGTCATGGTCTGCTTCGAGGAGGAGTCGAAGGTGAAGCTTTCGTCTTCCTTGCCGATGACATCGCTCAGAGGGGTGATCTCCTCGGCCAGTGCGGCGGTGACCTCCTGCACCAGGGGCAGGTCAGATGGCCTGTACTCAATTGCAACGGCGGGAACAGGCCGACCGCTGTTGACATTGGAGTAGACGCAGAGGCTGCAGTGCCGCTGAAATCCAGGTAGATCATATTCGAAGCTGGATTCATCAGGGGCACTCAGGGCAGGGTCGCCTTCGAGCGGGCCGTACGTCAACTTGCCCTCCAGCCCAACCGCCTTTTTGAGGACGGCATCCTCCATGACTTGCTGTAGGAGGGTGATGACGGCAGAGGACGTGCCCATTCTTTCGGAGACGCAGAGCGCCATGCGGCCGTTGATGGGCTCCATGGCAAAATACTGATTGTGGACTTGCTCGATGGAGGGGAAGAACTTTTGCAAGAGGCTAGAGTCCTTGTGCGGCATCAGAGAAGACCAGACGCCCCTCTGCTTCTCCATAAAGTTGGGAGACGGGACGATTCGTTGAGGATACACTTTTCCCTCAGGGGCAAGCGTAGCATTGTCGGAGGCGCAAGGGTCGAGAGTCAGGCTCTGTGCAGCTTGAGTCATGCTGTGGCAGGCCGAGAGATACTCTCGCAAGTTTTGGGAAACCGGCGTAGCATCGATATCTTCGTCTTGCTGCTGAACTTGGCCATTTTGCTTTTGCTGCTGGAGTGTCTCCTGCTGGCTATGGCCGCTTGGCCCCGCCTGTTCTTCCTCACACATGGCCAGACGAGTCACTTGCTGCTCGTCCTTGTAGGGGGGTGTGGTGTCGTTGTTGATGAGAGACGAGGCCACAGCCGTTGGAATATTGTCGCTCATGACTCCGATATTGGCAAGAGAGACGCTCCAGGAGCAGAGGGCAATGGAAACGATATCAGGGAATCAAAGGAGTGGTGTCTTTGCACGAAACAGAATCTTGTATGCTTGTGCTGTGGTCGGTAGACTACAGGCGTGTCGTTGACAGAATAGTTATGTGTTGGCTAGTGATGGGAGAGGTGGAAAAGAGGAGTTGCAGAAGATGAGGTGAAGAAGAGGAGTTGTTGAAGAAGAAGAGGTGAAGAAGCGGAGGTGGGAAGAGAGAAAGAAAGTGAGAAAGAGGAAGAAACGAAAGAAGAAGCAAGACCTGGGGCAACAGGTGGCCGCCGAGGGATGGGAGAGGTGACAGCCTTCCGCCAGCTGCGGCACCTGGGTACTAGTAGCTAAGCGCACCCAAGGTCATACTGCCTACATGTACCTAAGATAAGGTATGTAACATGAAGTTAAGGTGCTTCACAGTAGGTAGGTAGGTAAGTAGGCATGCTGCCCGACAGCGCACTTCAGTACACACCTTGGGCGGGTTGGTAGGTAGGTAGGTAGTTCCACCCCCCCTACTATACGCCGCACTGCATCAAAGCAATGCCTGTCACCCACAGAATCAAGGGTCGAGGCCGCTTGCTTGCACTGATGCCACCCACAGATATCCAGAGGCGAGTGCAATCCGGCCACATACAGCTTCCTTCTTGTCTCCTTGACTTACTGCATGGTTTCGTGGATCCAGACCATCCGATACTACCTCCATGTCGACACCTAAGGTAGCCCTGGAGGCACATCTACACCTGCTTGGCCCACGAACTAGCGCCTCTGAGGAAAAGAATACATATACACTTGTGAATCACACACAGTGGAGACCCGGAAACCGTTGTCCTGGCCCCAAGCACCGCTCAAGCTGCTCTCCCTTGTGGTTCTAGAGGAGGGGGGTTCCCCCAAAGAAATGCATCATGAGAGGAATCATTGCAATGAGCTCCAGAGGCGATACAACTCGGCGCGTCCATTCATGATGCTTGGCTTTATCTTGTAAGGCGTCATATCCGCTTGACTTCTGTTCCATTGGTCACCATTGTACGGAGTTTGCCACGTTGGAACGGACTTCGACTGAATTACGATGCTACTGTACGTTGTTCACATGCGTGAACCTAATACTACCTCTACGACATCGGTAGAGGTATGAGACTAAGATGCTTGATACTACTGCGGCTGTGTCGTATCCGATGCAAGTTGATAGATACAAAATGCTGATACCTGGTCTCTTCATGCAGAGGAGACTTGGGAGACAACGGCTGGATAGGGGGGTGGGTGATTTCGAGCACGATCACACAGCATACACCCACTACTTGAGGGACATATGCACTCGTATGCACTTGTTTTGACATGTCCTGTAGCAGCATGCAATGCCTCGTGAAAAGCAAGAAAAGGCAGAAGCTTGACGGGCTGGTCCAGCTGCTCCACGAAGCAGATACCTACCTACCTAGGTACATACATACTGCTGTGCACTTCATGTTTTTCCCCTCCACCTCCCCTGGCTTGATATGATTTAGCTCGCGGCAGCTAAGGTAGTAGTCGTTCTCTCCGCTTTCCGCGTAACGAAATGCGGTGCTCCCGAGAAGCGAGATTGCGGATCTCAACTCAGATCACCCCCGGGGATGGAAGAACCAAAGAAGATGTCTCCATTGTGGAGCTGCTTTTGCTCTTCCAGGTGCAAGGCGGCAAGTATCGTTCCATCCGGAAACTGCCCTGGGCAATGTCAAAGCTGGGGAGCTGGTGCGAGAGCTGGTGGCGGCATATTGCGAGGTTCGACTCGGGGGTTCGGCAACTTGATTTCGTTTCGGTTGCGATGGAGTGCTTTTGATTCCTTCAAGCATAGAATCGATGAATTACGAAGTAGACAAATCTATTATGCTGGAGGGGAGGTTCGAATACTAGGGCTTGTTCGGCTATCGAGGCAGTTGGAGTCACAGTGCAGCCAACATTTGGGGCGAAAGGGGATGACTGGCAATCTTTCCCACTAAAGCTCATCACGAACACAGATACTGGACGTCACAGTCCACCGCCTTACTATCGGCTCTCGAACATTACGTCTGTCGTTGGAGCTACTACATGTACACTGCGTCTCTGGTTGAAAGTTTACGTGCTTCATCAGACCCTATTTGCCTATGCTCCAGGATGCTACATACGATGCCACCTCAACAGGGATCGTAGTGCCCTACAATTAGCCGCCCGAAGGCAATAGTCGTTGCGGATACCTCGAGCTATTGGCCAGTCAGCTGCACTTGGTGTCCTCCACTTGTTGTCTCCCAAAAACCGAAACACTAATACCCAATGAAGGTTCGTCTAACACGACACTCTGCATCTGTCTCAAGCCATTCGCCACTACAGATTGAGCAGTGAATTTCTTCATCTGCCCGAGGTCTATGCTACGGTGATGAGTTCCTCATCAGGACCCATCGATCTTGCTACATACCTACCACTACCTACCTAGGTAGTAGGTATCCGAAGGTGCCAAGCGCCTGAGCGCCGTTACTGGCACTGATTCAAAAGAGCTGCTGTTACGTTTTGCATAACTGGGTACCTAAGGTAGTATTACTGTCCTAGGTCCCTTAGGTAGTGCTCCTTCTCCGGCTACAGCAACTGCTCCAAACTGTCATCAGGGTTTATAGATGATTCTGCCAGAATGGAAAGGTACCTAGATAGGACGGTGAAGAAAAACGGCAGGGATCGCACCTCTCTAGCCGACGGTACCAAATGCCCGTCCTCCCATGGTAGGTAATCCCGCATGAAGGCCGTAGAATGCGAGTCGATCGAGTCGTGCCACGCATGTGCCAACGCGTCACACGAGCGGGGGCGAAGGCCGTCTCGAGCCTCTATTTGCTGCAAGATACGTTCGGAGCAGGGAGCGAATGGGAGACAGACTTGGGGACAGGCAAGCAGATGCTGCCTGGGCCTACGCCTCCTTTGGCAAATTCTGAGCTGGCTGCTTCAGCGGAAACAGCGCCCTGGTGGCCGTTGTGAATCATCCCGCAAGTGTCATGTTGAAGATCGAGCCTTTCATTCATCACACATAGACCAAAAAAAAAAAGAGCCATCAGTGCTCCCCCCTTGCGTGAAAGATACAGCTCTTCGGATCAAGAGGCTACCATCGGCATATTTCACACGATACGCTTTTCGCCATGGTTCGGGTGCAGCAACTTACCGCCGAGGTCCTACTGAGCGACCCGAGGCGAGGCCCAGCCGTTCCAAATAGAGACGGGACACACGCTCTCTATACAGTCTCTGCACATGTTCTCGGCGGCAAGACAAGGCAAGAGGTCCGCATTCTCAATATCGAGACTGGGAAGTCGACGCAGCTTTCCAGCGATCCTCTTGTCCACGATGCTCTCTGGATTCCCTCTGCGAAGCTCGATATCATCTATCTGCGGTCCGCGGAAACTGGTCGAACTCAGGTGCTGGTAGCGTCAGCAGCAGATGTATCGGCCGAGCACTATCTCGCAGCAGAGATTGATGCCCCAGTGTCGAACCTGAAGCTGAGAGCTTTGGACAATGGCAGCGTCGCGTTCGTAGTCACTGCTCTTGTGGGCGAGTCCGGGCTGTACAACCAAGAGGCCGCCCAGAGGGGGTCAACAGCGAGAGTCTTTGATACCGAGATCCCTATTGTTGAGTCACTACCTAGCTACCTCGGCCATTTGCGAATGCTAACCGGTGCATGCAGTGGAATGCCTCGTGCAGGCCCAACAGATGCAGCCTCTGGTACAACGAGCTGGCGCTTCGCAACGGTCGCTGGGAGCTTCAAGGGGAGCTCTTCAATTTGTTTGACGACATAGATCTGGAAGCTCCATCCAACACCTATACCGACGCGCCCTGCAACGACTTTGATATCTGCCGGAACGGCATTGCCTTTGTCTCGCGGAATTTGAGGGAACCTGGGCCAGATGGAAGCCCGGCCCTGTCTCTCTACTTTGTACGCCTGGATTCCTTTTGTTTGCCCCCGGAGGGCATGCCCCGACAGATATTCATACCCACCACCTTTGAGCCTGCGTCCATCACAAACGTGAGATTTACGCCTGATTCATCGAGCATTGGATTCCTCTACACAGCCCATGAGGATCCCTACAACACTCGGTTGTTTCTGGCTTCTGTTCACTCGCTCGACGCTTTTGACGTCTTTGGCTTGGTGACTTGCATCGATGACAGAGACGACAACCCGCCAACGGCCTTTGAGTTTGCCGGCAGCTCTGATTCTTTGATTCTGCAAAGCCATCAGCTGGGTCACCGAGTGCTCTCCCACCTCACGCTGTATGACGGGGCCGAACCGGAGACGTTCTTCACGGGCAGCAGCTGCAGTGCCTTTTACCCGTTGAGGGAGGGAGACTGGAGCGTCCTTTTTACCACATCGTCCAATTTTGTCGACAGCAGCCTGTGGCAGATTGTGAACGTTTCGGAGGCCAGTATCCTGAAGACCGTATCTTCTGCAACCAAGAGTGGCGCCAAGTTTGATCTTGCGTTCAACATGGTGACGGAGCTCTGGTACGAGGGCGCAAACAGCTACTTTGTCCATTGCTGGATGATAAGGCCACAGGGCTTTGACGAGAACAAGAAGTATCCTTGGGTGTTGGTGCCTCGCGGCAGCCCGGGCACGGCTTGGAACAACGAATGGTCAACAACGGCACGTGTAAACGCATCGCTGACGATGATTGCCCCCCTCTGCGGTATGTTTGTGCTAACGGTTGATGTTGCTTTGTAGGACAACTTCGCCGCTTGGGCAGCACAGGGGTACGTCGTTGTACTACCCAATATCTCGGGCAGCAGCGGATATGGGCTCGAGTTCACGAAGCGTACGTTCACCCGTCCGAGAGGAGTTTGCTCCGTTATCTCTGACTTTCTGTAGGCATTCGCAGCCAGAGGGGAGACAAACCTTTTCAGGACCTCCTCAGCCTGATCACGTACCTGCAGGGGGTGCCTTATCTCGACGAATTCAGGGCTACTCTAGTGGGAAGCAGTGGTGCTGCCTATCTGCTAAACAAGATCCTGGGACACGACATTGCCAACAAGGTAAGCTGCGCAACCTCCAACGTAGCCAGTTTGGGGGAGAAGAAGAAGATGGGCAGAAAAAAAATCCTCACCCAGGCTACATATGTGAGACTGGAACCTTGACTGACTGAGTTGTCTCCAGTTCTGCTGCGCAGTGTACCATAGCGGATCAATTGACCCTCCCGCACCCCTTTCGCGCAAAGAGCCCGCCTTTGAAAGCTTCGACCAGCTCAACTCATCGTACACGCATGCGAATCTAGATATATACGAGAATGACATGGTTCGGTCGACGTTTTTCAACGGCTGGAAGAACGCACCGCCAACCCTCATCATCCACGGGGAAAAGGACAAACAATGCTCCCTCACCGAGGCACTGACGGCGTTCAACTCGCTGCAGGCCCAGGGCATCCCCAGTCGGCTCTTGACATTCCCAGATGAGAGTCACGTCACGGTCAAGCCCGAGAACACTCGGATTTGGTACGATGTGGTATGGGAGTGGGTAAGGAAGTGCTCCGACGGCGATCTTTATTGAGTGAGAAGAATGTTTCTCAGTTGCCATCATTGTTCGGACGCTAGCAAAGACGATTGATGAACTCAGCTTGAGACTGTTGTATATTAGATACTTGATATTGGAAAGGGGGGTTTTGCTTTCGAGTGTTTTTGTTTTGCTATTGCTTCTTGGCTTCAAGGTCACAAATTGTCAATGCCATTCCAGGGAGAAATCGAACCATCCACAGTGCTACAATACAATATCAACGAGAAGACTAGAGTCCATATTCCCTATCCTTGTCTTTGATGGGAAATTCGCTTCCCGTTGTGTCCTTGTACTTGCCGCGGATAAAGTCCGAGATGGCCTCGTCCTTGGCCTGTTCGGCGGCCGTCTCGTTGCTCTGATCACCCTGGCCAAGAACCTTTTCTTGCACAAAGTCAACAGCTAGAGGAAAGGAGGGCCCTCAAGTTAGTCGACTGAGAGCTACATCACTAGATAGTTCGTTGTGCAAAACTTACCCTTGTCGAGCATGTCCTCGTTCTTCTCGCCTTGGGCTCCTCCGCCGGCCATGTTGTTGACCTTGTCCATGAAGCCGCCGCCGCTTTGCTCTTGGGTGCCGGTGTTGTTGTTTCCTTCTGTGCTGTTCCCGGCTTCGTTGGAAGAGCCGGTGAATTTGTTGAGGAAGCTAGACATGGTTGCAACCGTGTGCACGTTTCGAGGTATGTTATGTCTTGTTGGGGGGGGGGGGGGGGGGGGGGGGGGGGGGGTCCGGAGAGGATGCAAGTTTAGACAGTCGAGGGGAGAAAGAGTAATTCGTAGGCTTTGTTGGTGTAAGTAGCGGAATTTAGCTGTGCAAGAAATAATGAGGTCAGCAGTGCAAGGGGAGAGGATCCAGTGAATTAAATACACTCTTTGAGATTGATGCCAAAATCAAGCTTGAGGACGAGTGAAGTCGTGTGTAACCGGAGAGAAACAAGCATCACGTCACAGACGTCATACCTACACACGGATCGCCTGGGGATCGATTGCCACTGCCTAGAATCTGGATCTCGTCACTAGTTTGCAGATTTCGGATCACGCCTGCTGTGCGTGCTCCGTACAAGTACGTTGGACTGGAGTTTGTGCAGAATCAAGATGGAATCGCAGGGCACCAATGACTGTAATGTCGCTTCTTGAACGGTCCAAGTATCTGGGGTAGTAGAAGCATCATGAAACCCCCCGCAATCTTGGCGCCATGTGTGCGATGGTGATTTGCTTCTTCGGGGAAGATGAGCCACGATGCTCGGTTTTGGTAGTCCTGGAGCTTAGCTACTACCTACCTGTACACTTACCCAGCTTGTCCCTGGCGGCACAGTACGAGCAGTTTTAAATCTGTGAGTTATTGGTTATTCTCTGTCCAGGTATCTTTGCTTTATCCGGGCTGTCTATCACGCGAAATCCTTTGGATACACAGTAGTGACCAACAGTCTGCTTAAGGGCTGCTACTGTAAGCATAAAGAGAGGGGCCAACGTCACCCTCCGCGCCCATATCGATGCTGTAACCTAATCGCAGCGTCGTATTCTAGATCAATAAGCCTAGCGGCTGGACCTTGTCGTATTGTTTATTTTCAATGCTCCGAATCCCTCCCTCTTCCCAGGCCCCTTGTCCTCTTCCAGGGTGAGCTGCCGTCTGACGATCATTTCTGCTTCGCGAGCGACCGCCATGTTCGCTACACCCTGGCCTGCCAGGTCTAGGCATGGTGACAATCCATCTGTTTACTCGTGCACTTCCTTGACTCCGACACGCTCCTCAGCCTCATCACTCCCATGTCCAACCATCAAAGATCTCGAAACTGTGCCGTCGAGTTGCTCTTTCGAGAGGACCCAATGCTTTCGAGGCAAAGCAGCTGACATCTAGTTGATCGAGACTTGCCAGGCCCTGCTCAGACGTGCTAAAAACTTCTAGTCTCCCTACACCCCGTTCTAGCACTCGTATTGCTCGTACCACTCCCCCTAGATTCATGCTGCTCCGCCTGCAATACCCAGATAATATCACTAGCAAACGATTCAACGACTATCGCAAACACGCTCCCCCCACCGCGGTCTGGGCCTCGTGCCTGGGCGGGCTGACAGCCTCAAAACTGAGTTCACCTTCACCATGGCTTCAACGCGACCCAATTTCAGGGACTGATGGGTTTTCACGATGGCAACCCCCCCAACCCCCGTCTGGTCCTCCTTCTCCCAGAATGCGGATCCTACTACTAGTAGTAGTCAAGGTCAAGTCAAGAGGCGGCATTATTACCACCGTTTCAGGGAATGAGTTGAAGGGCGATACTACGCCGATTTCAGCAAGATTTGCCTTCTAGCCTTGCCAGTCGGAGGCGTGTTACTTATCTCCGCCTCATGCCATGCCTCTTATCATTACGACTCACCTACTTCCTCCTCTCTCCTCTTGTCCTATCGCTCGCTCTTCTTCACGGCGAATCCGCTGCCATCGGTCATGGCAGGAAAAGTCCGACCAGCTGATGACCAGCCCAATTTCTGCCAACGGATCCTGCACCTACGCCCTATCTTGGCCCATGTGAGATCGCCGAACAAACTCGTCTAGTAAATGCCAATATTATGCGATTGTAGCCGAATATTATCTTTCGAATAATATATGGAGTAGCAGCGCACCGCTTGCTACGAATACCGTGCCGCCTCTCCACAACTCAAGCGGCTCAATGAATCGCGTCACCCACGGCTAGCCCTGTCGTTCTTCCTTTTCTCCTCGGCAAAGCCTAACAAAGTGATATGTAGCTTGTGCCAGTGTTAGCGAAGCGCAGAGAGTGGGTTTAGCGGAATGGGACGCGGGCGGGCCGTTCTTGTAAAGGGTCCATTGATGGCAGGACCCCTTCTTGTACAAGTGAATCAAAGCCATGGGACAGGTGTACGAGAAGTAGTCCATGTACGTGAAGCTCGATGAAGAGCGTCCGCGCCAAAGGGGATAAAGCAGTACTCGTATAGTGGTAGATCATAGCGTACAAGGACATCAAGAGCCGTCAGCTTTGGTCTGCCAATCTCCCAAGTCTGGCCAGTGGGTGGTCAGATGCTGTGGGAGCTGCGTGTCGAAAGGATCAGCAGAATATCGCAGGATTGAGGCATCCTACGTGCTCAAAAGGCAGGCATTGGCCCTGGCTCTACGGCTTCTGAGGAGCACGCCAGGAGCACACTGTTTGAGAGAAGACTTCCTTCTTTCTTTTGATATATGTCAATCGCAAAGTCCAAAAAAGAAGTGTGTGCGCGCGTGCTGTGCTGTGCTATGATACATTTCTCATAAAGGTCCCCAGAAGGCCATCACTTCCACAAGCTCAATCCATTCCGTTCCGTTCCATGCCATGCCATGCCATGCCATCCCGTATCTGAGCCACCAAAGATGCGTTGTACATAAAGAGGTATCTCGTAACATTGGACAAAAAAAAAATCAGACAATCAGCTTCATTAATGGATAGAACCGCTCCATCCTCTTTTTCTCCGAATTCATCATCCTCCCTCCCCCTTTACTAGATGGCTCTTGCGCTGATGGCGTCCCTTTCTGTGCTGTTGACCGAGGGACTGGCGCTGGCAGCCGGGTCGGGAAATCGAATATCGCGTTCCTTGTCGTCCTCCACCTCGACGACAACCGTTGTGACCAAGTCCATCTGAATGCCGGGGCCTCGTAGCGATTCCTGGCTGGATCCCCGAGGCCGCCTCCGCTTCTCCTGTCTCGGGCTGTTCGATTGCCCAGCCAGACGCTGCCACGACCACCATCCGCCTGTAGCCTTGGGCTCCATCTTCCGTCTGGAGCCCTCGCCGCCTTGGATCCAAATCATGTTGCCGTAGCGTCGAGCCTTGGGTGTCTGGAGAAAGGCGATGGTCTTCATACCCGTGTCTGCCGCATCCAGGTCGTACTTAGAGGCGAAGATGATGGAGTGTCGAGTTGTGCCGAACAGGAGGCAGTCAAAGAAGCCGTTGAGGGAAATCAACGCTCCCGCAAAGCAAAACCAACCCAGCGGTATATCGGCACCCGACATGGAAGCCACACGCTCTGTCGCCAGCGGGAGCGTGCATGTAACGTAGATGACCGCATAGATGAGAAAGGCCGGATTGTGTTCTCCATAGCCAGGGTCTGGAGCGCCGCCCGGGTTGGCGGCTCGACGAAGGCGAACCTGCTTACGGAGAGAGTACCAGATGGCAATGTAGAGGCCGGAGGTGACAGCGAGGGCAATAAAGATCCATAGATAGTGGGTAAGCAGGCGCAGGCGCTCATATTCGGCATTCATCCAACACTAAGGGGATTCAACCATGACGTTAGCCACTCAAACCAATAAAGCAAGAGAGAGAAAGGGAGAGAGATAGAGAGAGAAAGGACTAGAGATAGGCTGCAAACGTACCCAGGCGCCGGCTCGAACAAACAAGCCACCGTGCTCCCGGCCGTTGTTTGTAATGGCAATCGGCAACGCCGAGATAAAATAGACAAATAGCCACACAAGGACAATGGCGAGGTATAGCAGTCTTTGCGACGGCCGATAACCCTTGATCACGGAAAAGAAGGTGTGCACGGCAATGAGCATGATGAACATGCTCGAAGACAAATCGCCAGTCGAGACGAAGAAGCCCTGAGCCCAGCACGTCTTGGTGTCCACCAGGATAGCATTTCGGTTGATCCAAGTTGAGTTGAGGGCAAAGGCAATGGACTGGTGCAGGTCGGCAATGAGGAGGTTGTAAATGAGAATCAGGAACTGGTTGGGCGATCCCTTCATCGGTCGGAGGGGAGGGCCGTTGTCCTGCTGTGGAAACTGTCCATCCCCCTTGACGGAGGCGTCTTTGGACACGCTTGGGCGCGAGGCAAATACGCCATCGATGCCTAGAGTAAAATCAACAGCATGCTGGGAAGTTGAAGGCTCGTGGCCTGGTTGTTGGTCTTGCAGATTTGCCTCGCGCTGAGCCTCGCGCCCATCCTCGCCGTTGTGTCTGTGGCGGAAGCGCTTTTCGTTCTCCCGTCGAACGAAGAGTTGCCAGGCGACGATTTTGTATGTCAAGTAGATGAAGAGAGTGGCTGCGGAAAAGAAGGAGATGCATGAGAGAACCGTTATGGCAAGAAGTCCGCTGCGAAGAGTCGGGTCCAGAGGGGCGAGTGACTGCCCATCCGGTGGCAGCACCCCTAACGGCATGGCTGTGGTTGAGGTGAGCGAAGAGGCGAGACAGACTATGCCTTGGTATTATTATTATAGATGATAGGATCCACAGGAAAGGATCAGTGGACAATGTGCTTCGGGTTGAGTCGTTGAAGTCGTCGTCGCATTATAGGTTCCAGAGACGAAGGGGGGAAAGAGTATTCTCCAGAGGTTTCAACCAGATCGGAAGGCAGCCGGCAGCCAAAGTCCAGGAGAAGTAGGGACCAGAGCCAGACGGGAGAAAGGCTCAGAGGAGAAGCAAGTCTGCCAGCATGGAAATCGAATAGGAGATGGAGAAGGAATGGAAAACGAGGAGTTGACAAACGAAAGTAAACGAAGAAGACAGAGGAGATCTCGGATTCTTCGCGAAGAAGAGTGCGAGAACTTGGCCCCCTGTCGACGATGAAGAGGAGAAGCAATGAGGAGAGGTATGTTAAACGGATGGAATCAAGGTAAGAACGAATGCCGAGAGGGGGGGGTGTTTGTTAATAACCTGTCGACGTGCAGGGCATGTACCAGTCAGTTGCAATTCCCCACGTCGACCTCGGATAGCAGTACCTACACCTGCGGTCAGTAGGCAGGTCGAAAGGATGGAAGGCAATAGTAGCCATATGGAGCACTCTGACAACCCTAAATAGGGTGCGTGGGTTCTCGGAGAAAAAAAAAAGTAGGCAAGGTGCACCTATTGCGAGTTTGCGTGCTGGTGGCACTTGACGCTATTACTCTTCTAATCTTGCCTTCTAGTAGTACAGCACCAGGTCCCATCTGCTGTTGCTCGTCCTTTGTACTTTACGGGCAAATGGAGAAGGTATCCATCCGTTTGACAATTGGAAGTTCCTCTAAAATCTGTCTCCGGTCTCCATGTTATTTCCATCGTCCAATGTCGGCCTGGATGCGGCGTCCTGGTCGTCTGAGCTAAGCCCTGTGAAGCTTGGTGGTGAGCAGAGCCTTGAATCATGAAGCCTGCAAAAGCTAATCTGGCGCCTTCGGCTTGAAACAAGCACGTATCCAGGGGTGCTGTGACCGGTTCACCGTGCATCCTGGTGGTCGGCAAACCATCCTAGAGGTGGGCAAAGACGGGATACGGGAGCCAGCCAGCCAGCCAGCCAGTACAGGAACGGATATCTAGTCCGGACCAAAGCCGTCGGCCGACCTGCAGCTTCCACGAGGACTCCGCAGTGTAATCAGACACTGCATAGGCCTGCAGCTTGGTAGGGTCACGTTGCACAGAGCATGCTCTGTGTCTGACGGCGGCCCAGGAATCTGTCATACTCGCTCGCCCTCTCAATCTTGAACCACTGCAGGTAGCGGAGAGATGCCTCTGCTAAGTATAAGAAGTACAGCTGTGCTGCGGAACGTATCGTCAATTGGAATGATGGCATTCGTCCTACCCTTTGAAGCACATGGGTCAGCTTCTCCCTGCTCCACTGCTTCGCCATTGTACAGAATGTACTACTACCAGGCTCTGGTTATTGAAAAGCTGGGGTCACCTCGTGGAATCCCAAATCCACGTTTCTGCCCCTCTCTCCCCTCACTACCTAAGATAGTAGTAGTAGTAGGTATCGAACAACTTTGACAAGCAACCGGTTGGCCGCCAGCTCCTCGGTATTGCGTGGTGGCGTTGTTGGCGGCCCCCCCTTTAATGGCACTACTACCGCTGTCCGCTCACTGTCAGCCAACATTTGAACTTGATTGCAGAAGTTTGTTCGCTAGGCGAGTTCCGCTAACAAAGTGCCCTTTCTTTCCATATTTGTCCCCCCTCATCAGGGACCGGAGGCAGACGCAATTGATGTGGTGCCAGCTAATCCTCGCTGCGAACCAGCTTCATGAATACCCCTGGGCCTCGCCAGACCCATTTCGGAAGACTCTGCATGCCGAAAGGAGCGTGGAGGGTCCTGATGGGCGCTGATTCTGCACGACTCCCGGGATCATGATTGGCCTCTTGCTGGCAAGGGTAGGTTGCTGAACGGTTACATATGCAAGAGACCGGATGGACGGGGGAGGCAAAGAAAAAGAAAGGAAATTCTACAGCAATCTCACGTGGCAATCGGAGGGGTGGCTATCGCTCCCAGCCTGACGAGAAGTGGTGATACTACATATAGTAGCATAGAATAGCAGAAATTTCTTATTTTACAAGATTTCTGAGCAGCAGCTTAAGAGCCAGGCCTTCCTTGCCGCGTCCTTCTGCTCCAGGGCTATGCGAAAAATTCCCAAAGGGGGACCTAAGGGAGCCAGAGCAACTGTCGTGCCGCTGTTGGCAGGGTCATGCAGTTGGTTGTTTGCAGATATTAGAAGAGCCTCGGCCGCACCGTACCAGCCCAGGTTGATGCCCGTGGCCGTTATTTCGTTGAACCGACGATCGAACATGGACAGGCCCTGTCCTGCGCCGCTTCTTCATCTTAAAGAACGAATACTTGCACACTGTGCTTGATTCCACCTCGCCTTAGGTTCTTCCAAATTGCCACTGCTTTGATTACCTTACTTGTCCAACCACTTAGCAGCAACAGCCACACAGACAAGACAAGCGTTTAGCCGGCGCCTCGAGATCTACCGATAGAGAATTAGCGGTAGCAATTCTTTGCAACAGGGGCTGTGAAGGTACTTAGACGGATCCCTTTGGATGCAACGTGTTGGTGGTAGATGGCGCAGTAGCACAGTAAAGACCGACGACTTTGCGAGAAATCGGTCCAGTGACGAGGGAAACAGAAGCCAGGCCAGGGGCTGGTAAAAGGGCCGGCCAAGCAACCGTGCGCGGTCTGCAATAGCTTGCGGGAGAAGCAAGAGTTCGTCGAGGAGAATGGGGGGGCAATACGCTCCTCTGGCGATGGCGAAGGGGCACATCCGAGGCCAAAGCTTTCCGTGACGAGTTGCCAGTCAATCACCAATGACGGACAGTAGATTCCCATGGGACTCAGTTGGAGGGGGAAAGGGCTTGAAGATCAGTTACGCTATTCTCCCGGATCTCTACGAGTACTGTATCAACCCCGTCTTACCGCAGGGCATCTGCCTCCTCTACAGCAGATCAACACCTCGCCAGTCGGGATCCTGACGCTTCGCTCGCTCTAGAATCCGGACGACGCTCTGAAGGATTCACCGAGAGGTCCAGGTCGACGAGCTGACGGCTTCCAACACAATGGTGACAGATGGCAGAACCCCAGACGGCGCTTGACTTGTAGAGGCGAAGCCTACCTAATCAGGGCCGACAAAAGATACCTATACTCCAGCTAGATTCCCACAGTGTCGATTGAAGTTGTGATACAGAGTCCCCCAAGGCCCCGGCAAATTCATTTCATCCGACTCCAAGTCCTGCATTTCTCCTTGACCTAGCTCGGTCTCTTTGGCTTATCTTGAAGACCTGACTCCCAGTCCGTAGCACTTCGGTACTTCATACTACCTTACCTAGGTAGGTATCATGTAGGGGAGCCTTTGACGTCGACACCACTTGACCATTGCATATAGCAGTCGCGTCACTCGCAATTGTACTGAGAATACTTTATTCTATTGACATGTCGGGAATGAATGGAGATCTTGTAACAGTCCGTGCGCAAATCGGCGCTCACATTTGACAAGTTGCAAGAATGATGATGATGTCCAGGGTTGGATCGCACCGCACCAGCTTGTGGCTTGCATTTACTAGTAGGCGACTTGAAGACGCCTGTTGGCAGTAGTAGGTATGTAGTCTAGTTCCTCAGCTTGGCGAGGACAAAGGTCAAATTTGGCATATTACGAAGATACAGGGGGTCACCGGACAACTGTTTTCATGTCCACACCTTGAGTCCCCTTCTATAACCCTACTTCCTCTCTTCTTCTTGTTCATCTCCTTCCCTCCCTTTGCCAGACGCAGTCGACTCGCTTCAACAGTGAAGGGCCGAAAAGACCAGCAATCCAGTTTGCGGCTGAAAGTGGATCAAGCAAACAACGGCGACGGAGCAGGAAGCGGCCTTGCTCTTCTTCACCTTGTCAGTCTCCTTGTTTTCCCCCATTTTCTAACCCCCCCTGCCGAGTATGGAGTGGCCCTGCTGCGGCACTGCTTTCCAAGTCTGGGCTCCGATTTGTGTTGAGACTTGTCCTGGCAATACGACGCTCAGATATCAATGGTGGGTTGCATCGGCCGTCACATGAATCTCCCAGGCATTCAGCATCTCCATACAATACTCGCTACTCCATGTGAGTGCAAAGTACAGTTCGTACTCATAGAGAGGCCGTTCGTTGCCCCTTGTCTCTTCTTTGGCAGAGTCTTCCACCGATCAGCCGCAATGCAACGGTACAGGACAGGGGGAGTCGTCCCCGCAACCCAGATCTAAGCTCTACCAGGCAACGCCGACGTGCTTCGATGCAGCTGGCTGTGGAGCTTTTCAGATGGGTCAAAGAAGCCAGGGCTCAAATCGAAGGTTGAGGTGGAGCAATGTCGAACGCCCTGCTGACCAACTGAGCCCCCAGCACAAACTCGAGGTTTGCCGTGTCGACATTTGTTACCTGCTTGCATGTGCCGAATGTGCAAACCATTCCTTGATACAAGCAGGAGTTGCGTATGGAACAGCATCAATGTGATATCGATGTCGGACCAAGTCAAATGCAATTGCCTACTCAAAAGGGGAATCTGCATGGCCTCCTGAGAAACACATTTTCCACCATCAACTTGGAGCAAACTCCGAATCAAGCCCTGGCATAAAGGCCGGGACAAGGGTTTGTTGGTGTCTCGCAGCGCTGGAGCAGTGAACATTAAGGGAACATGAGCCAGATGGTCGGTCACAGAACCCTCGTTGGCCGGGCATGGGGAAACCGTTGCAGACACAAGTTAACCTCTAGGAAGGTGATGAGTGATGATGTCAACAGGCGTCGCATCATATCAGGTGATGGCTGATATGTCTCCTACTTTGCTTTGCACCCTGGTCTACATCTCCAGTCGTAGGTTGTCATAGAGGATCAACAGTCTACAGCTAAGCTTCGTTCACATCGCCTCGAAACCTCTCAAACGAGTCTGCCAATGCAACTCTCAAGTTGAAAGCTTCATGCCTGCAAGTCTCCGTAGACCCCAAATATTGGAGCCTAGATGAGTTTGGGTTGCTTTGCTTGCTTTGCACAATACAGCCAGCCCTCATGCAGTCAGCCGCGGACGTTGGCCCCGATGAATGTTTGGATGAAGAGTAGCATTGATGAAGAGTAGCATTGGTAGACTTCGTACTTCTTGATTTCTACAGAAGCTTGACCATCGGCGGCCCGTCTCTTGCTGCACCAGCGAATGTTCCCCGTCGTACAGAAGCCAGCCCCAACCAAGGTACGGTTGGGTCAGTCTGAGCTGGCAGTCGAGGAGGAGAGAGAGCAATGCCTCTCCTCCTTCGAACAACAGCTTGTCTCGACTCTAGACGCCAGGTTGATCTTGTTCTACAGAGGCCAGCGACTCAGCATAATTGCTTGTTCGAGCGGATTAGACAGATCAGTGCAGCCCTCGTCAGGCACAAGGCACGAGTCGGAAGATATGCCCCAACCCGCAGCTCCAGCGCCCGTACCCAAGTCTTGTTGCCTTTGTGCCACATTCTGTACCCAGCTGCCTAAGACGTAGCATTGGACATGTGATGCAGATGTATTTGTAGGGGGTATCGGGAAGTGCCCGTGTGCTTCGCGATGAGATTCCGCAGATTTACACCCTGAACCGCTACCCTACAATACCTTACATCTTACAAGTCTACAAGGGTAAAATACGTCGGCATGTGCGAGTACCAAACCACAATATGCCAACTTCCGCTATCTACTCACCTTTGATATATTCCCCAGGTACAATTATTCTGCCTTTTCGTTGGGTTACCGCTACTGGTCCTCGGCTGATACATGAAGGCGGATTATCATCCTGGTGTTGTGGATCAGCTGCAATCGAATGGGCTCTACGCAATCATATGAGGAAACATCAGCATAAACAATAATATGCTAAACGTCAGATTAGAGAAAAGCAATGAGTAGAATGACAACCTGACGAGAGTTCACGTTGTGAACAAGCCTCGAGGCTGTTCAAGGCTCGGACCCAACAGGGAATACTTACTACTAGGTATGGAGATCAAGCCTCGTAAAGCCGGGTTATGACTCTGTTCAGCACCTTATCTTAGTGGGGTGGTCGCCGGTTGACTCAACATCATTCCAGCCTCGTCATAGAGGGGCAACTCTTCAGCCTTTTCTACCACCGCAACTCCCCTCTTGCTCGCGACAAATACCTTGGTTGCACAGCTCTTTGCTGTTCACGCGTCTTTCTTTTGCTTCGACAGTTTGGATACAGAAGCCGCTTTGCTTGCTGTAGGATTCAACGATACTCCATACCCGCAGCCTCCCCGGGACTTGACACAATGGCTCAGAACCCGGCAGACGAGCTCCTTCGGCGTCCGTTATATGGTAAGTAAAAGCACTTTGTCGCGCCACTGGCAAGGCCTACCAATACCGGCCGAGACACGGGACACGAGACATACAGCTTATAGGACACGCGCTGTTTCTTGCCCGAGTCTCGATTTGATTCTACGATCTCTGAACAAGTGCTGACAACTTGCGCCAACGCGGTCTTAGTCTACGATCTTCCGCCAGAAAGCCTCGCAGGCTTGACGCTGAAACCGGACGCGGACGCAATCGCCGTCGAGGAACCCGAGACGTCAACGATTCCCAGCCAGGCTTCGGACTCGTCCTCCGACAGCTTTGTCGGTTCCCAAGCATGCTCTCTCTGCAAGCTTTCCTTCACCACCGTATTAGACCAGCGAAGTCACATCAAGTCCGATTTTCACAATTACAATCTCAAGCAGAAGCTGCGGGGTCAGGGCCCGGTCTCAGAGGCCGAGTTTGAAAAGCTGATTGAGACTCTGGACGAATCGCTCTCGGGCTCCGACTCGGAAGATTCGGAAGACGACGAGGACGAAGGGCGTCAGGATTCTACGCTTACGGCGCTGCTTAAGAAGCAAGCAAAGCTGACGGAGAGACGAAACGCCACCAGAGAGAATAACAAACAAGGCGATAATGACGACGATGAACTCTCAGGGAGGCCGGGCAAGGGGAAGCCGGCGCTGATATGGTTCAGCTCGCCGTTGCTTCCAGAAAACACGTATTTCGGCATCTACCGAGCGATATTTACAGATGAAGAGCAACGCCAGCCCGACTTGGTCGAGGTCATCCGGAAGAAGCAGCTCGAGCCCATAGCCATGCCTAAGCCTGCAAAGGACGGGACGCTGCCGCCGATCGCGTACAAGGGGCCGCACTTCTTCCTCTGCATGATCGGAGGCGGCCATTTTGCCGCCATGGTCGTCTCCCTCGCGCCGAGAGCCGCCAAATCGGGCAGCACAACCATGAACCGAGAGGCCACGGTCCTCGCCCACAAGACCTTTCACAGATACACGACGCGTCGAAAACAGGGTGGTTCTCAGTCGGCAAACGACAACGCCAAAGGCAAAGCGCACTCTGTCGGCTCGTCTCTGCGTCGGTACAACGAAACCGCCCTGGTCGAGGATGTGCGCGCTCTTCTCCAGGACTGGAAGGGGCTCTTGGACTCTTCCGAACTGCTTTTCATCAGGGCAACAGGAACGACAAATAGGAGAACCCTGTTTGGCCCCTATGAAGGACAAGTTCTTCAAGCCAACGACGCTCGTATCCGAGGGTTTCCATTTAGTACCAGGAGAGCTACTCAGAACGAGCTGATGCGGTCCTTCATCGAGCTAACTCGACTCAAAGTCAGGGAGATTGCTCCAAGCAAGGCAGGACTAGACAAGGCGAACGGGGCACCAAGCAAACCTGCGACACCATCCAAGCCGGCAAAGCCGACGTTGTCAGAAGAGGAGGAAACGGCGCTGCTTCATACGTCTCAGCTACAAGCCTTTGTACGGCGGTCCAAGCTACCTGCACTTTTATCGTACCTCACAAAAAATAACCTGGATCCGGACTTTGAGTTCTATCCTCCGGAACAAAACTACCATACACCACGCCTTTTACACTACGCAGCTGCTCAGAACTCTGCTCCTTTGGTGCTGGGGATCCTTACACGAGCCGGGGCGAACCCGTTGCTCAAGAACGCGGAGGGAAAGACGCCCTTCGAGCTCGCTGGAGATCGCTCTACGCGGGATGCCTTTAGAGTAGCCCGCTCTGAAGTAGGAGAGGGGAAATGGGACTGGGATGCGGCCAAGGTTCCTCCCGCCATGACCAAGGACGAGGCAGATCGCCGTGACGAGCGGGAAAAGCAAGAAGCAGATAAGAAGGAGTCCGACAGGAGAAAAGCGGAAGAAGAGAGGCTCCGTACTGAAGGGCCAAGGCTCCCTGAGCAGAAGACGAAGAAGGGAAACAGCATAGCGTCCATAATCGCCAAGACGCCACAAGAGCGCAGGGAGGAGGAAGCCAGGGGGCTGACGCCCGAGATGAAGTTGAAACTGGAACGAGAAAGACGAGCGCGAGCGGCAGAAGAGAGAATCAAGAGGCTACAGGGTGGTAGTTGAATATATGCTTCCTGTGAGACAGCTAAGCCACGTAGTAGACGTAGGTAGGTAGGTAGGTAGCTCATGCTGGCATCAATATCAATCTATCTGACCTTGAAATCACCTTTGGCTAGGTTGCCAGCCGTTCACTTATGATTCCTAGGACGAAATACCCATCAAGCAACTGAACAACACAGCAGTTGTATCTATTCAGAACCTTTCTTGCCGTAGCACCACACGTGAAATGCTCAGCGCGTGTCCTCGACTGGCCTACAACAGAGGAGGCACTCCCAAGATATGCGTACATAGTCCACGTCTAGCCCGAGTTGAAATCAAACATATGCCATACAGGCCTTCGTGCATCTTTTGGATGAACACCAACAGCATCGCCATCATGCACAACGCCCTGGTAGGGCATAAAAGGGGGGGAATATGCCCAAGTGCTCTTTCTTCTTCTTGAATGCGAAAGTTCTTCACGAGAACACGGAAGTCTCATCCAGCACGCGAATGCACCAAGCATCTTCGCTTAAGACGCTCCCATGTACGTGTGGCAATCACGACGGGCAAGTGGTCCGATGCCGAAGAGTGGCAGCTGCAAGAGCGCCTGAACCACTGCCGAGGGTTTCCACTCCCACACTCCCACACTCCCACAAATTGCTCTCCTGGAAACGACATGTTCTCCCACAAACATTTCTTCCTTCACGATACCCAACATTTCTCTCATTCCAGCCTACACTTCGAGCCACCCGTTGCCCTCGACAAGTGTCGAGAGATGGGCGATCCTTTGTCCATCATCAATGCTCTGGCGTCGGTCCCCATCAGCATCACAACCCTCAAGACCTCTTTCATTATTTTGTCCCATTATTCCCTTTCACTCCACGTTGTTCACTTCCCATCGGTTCCCGGTTTCCACATCCCCTCTCTTCTTCCCTTCCCTACCTGAACATGCACCTCTTCGCTTTTCGCTGCACCAACTCCTCTCCTGAATGATCGCACTCAACCTCGTCCCTTGAAGACGGCTGTGTTTTTATTGATGAAATGACGCTTCTTTCATCACTAAGCGATCTAATTTCACCATCATCCCTCTTTCTCAATGCACTCGTCATTCCATCATGCTTCTATATTCGTCTTTCCATTTCATTACGCGTCACAAGAGTCTGAAGGTTGTCTCACATGACACTCCAATACCCAACGCGCCTTATCTCCATGCTTGCCGGCAAGAGACGAAGGTTACTCCTGAGCGAGCTGCGCGCTCCTTGTTCTTTAGCTGGGAGCAATCACTATCATCGTCCTGATGCACTGAGAATGCCTGTGTCTCACCTCTCTGTCCCCTTGTCATCATCACCCTCCTCATCCTCATCATCATGGACCCCATTGCTGTTGACCTTCTAGCCCGACGCCTACTCCTTGTCAGTTGAGCAAACGCTAACACAATACCTTGCTCTAGTTCTCACGACACAGAAGAAGTGTGACGAACCGAGGCGAACCGAACGAACCGATCGAGCGGCCGGCCGAGTGTATACACAGAAATATCTATAACATATATATAATGGGGTGCTTTTGGACTGGTTGGGAATGGGGCTCATGAAGAGAGGTTCGAATTGGGTCACAACACGCCGCACTTCTTCATCCTTCGTTACGTCGGACGAACCACGAGTGGACCATGAGCGAACCACGACTGAACCACGACTGAACCACGAGCGAACCACGACTGAACCACGACTGAACCACGAGCGAACCACGACTGAACCACGGTTCAACGATCGATACGCACACGGCCGAGTCTTCAAGACATAATACAATACATATATATATACATGTTGAGTGATGGGTGGCTTGAGGGGTTGGTTGGACGATATGGCGCCTCGATGTGAGGTGAACCGTCAGCGACAACACTGCTTCTCCGACAAGTAGTCCGAGACGATCCCAATTTCTACGAGCAGTCAAGTCCCAGCGAGGCTAAGTCCGGCGAACGAACGAACGAGCGAGCGAGCGAGCAGAACGATCGATCGAACGGCCGAGTGTATAAGAAAGATTGATACAACGTCGAAACAAAGACGCACGCATATACATGGGTTGATGGGTTGCGTGGGGTTTATGGGGCATAGGAGGGGGCATGAATTACGAACACCCCTGCTTCCTGACTGAAACCCGCCGAGCAATTGCAAGGCATCGATATCACAGGAGTGGGTCGATCGATCGATTCAAACAAGCAGACACAGAGTCGAGCGGCGGAATATAACGACTGCCCACTGTCAATCGAGAGACTTTGGACGTTTGATGCAATCGTACAAAGCAGGCACGAAGAATGGCACTCAAGCATCGATCTACGACTTGAAAATCCCCCTAATCAAAGGAGCGCAGGCATCACGGTATACGACAGAGAAGGGGAAAACCTTCTGAGCGACCACTTTGCAATCAACGATTACGACAGGTCGCATCAAATGAAGTCTTTCTTCTTTATCGAGTCAACATCACCAAAGCTGCTGGTATGCCAAATTCCCAAAAAAATTTGTGCTCAAAGTCACATTCACGCGAGCATCGGCTGATAGTCACTAGAGATCAATTCCAAGTGTGCTTGTTTTCTCGACTAAGCAACGCACAACACGTCTCGTCACATTACACAGCTTCTGCTCGCGACTGAACGGATCTCTCGAGCTCCGATACTAAATGCCATCTGAGAACTATCATACTGTTCTCTCCAAACTGTCTGCGCGTAGAAGCCGACATCCGCCTTGGACGTTAGAGGCTACTCGCTGCATCAAGCCTGCCCAGCTTTGGAGTAGCAATCCATTGTGACGACCATTGAGTAAGCGTCGCGTCTTGCTTTGAGGAGAGTCGATGCTGCCCTGCTGTACAAGACGACTTCCTCCGATCCTCGACTACGGGCTAGCAGGCTCCGAGCTCAACATCTTTCGGTCACTCAATCGACAGTGAGCGCATCTTTATCGACCTGACAACAGCAGAGCAAACAACTGTCTTGCCTGGCCGGCACGACTCATTCATTGGTCGTGACCCCGCCAATGCGTTAGGTGGTGGTGTTCCTCTGGCTGGTCCCAAACCATCGAGTTTGTGGAACGTCCGCGCGAAAGTTTCACTCGCATCATCCTTCATCTCCAACCCCACGACGGCAGGCCAACCTCGAATGCTTCGCAAGGCAGCCAACTTGAGTTGTTGTGCTATTCTTGATGAATCTGATCATCTGGCACTTGCTCGCTCACTTACGCCGTCGGGCCGATGGGCGAGGAGCGATATCACCTTGGCAGCAAATCAATGGGTGCTGGCTTTGCTTGAGAGACTGACTAGCCATGCAGCTGGATGACGATGACAATTCAGCAAAGTCCAACCGGATCGACAAGGGTACATATTGAGCTAGGACTCAAGCCCTCCAACCCTCATAGTCTCATCAAGCTTATTCGATCTCAATACCGATACAACCCCAGGGCGACGCATAAACACTACTCATGCCGCAACTGATCCCCCATCCGAGAAATGGCCGTGTGCTTTGCATCATCATGAGACCAACCGGACCGGTTTGAATATCACCCCGCAGGATTAGAGCAGGTTTTCATTTCGAGTTCTTTCCCATAAAGGTATGTGGTATTTTCCACTGGTAGCGGCATTGAACATATATCCGTCGCCACAATATCTGTGGTCAAGATCGGCGGGGGGAATGGTGTTGCTTAGGATTACAAGACGACTGACTGAAACTATAAGTAGCAGCGACAGTTCTTATGGTTTCAAAAAATGAGAGACTTGATATTCAGTTCAACAAAGCACGACAAGAGGAAAACAACAGCGGAGCACGTAGAATCTTGACGCTGGTCCGGCCCTTCTGACAGAGAAGTGAGACCTCGAGCAACAATGGCGGCAAGGCTAGCTAGTCTGTTGGCCGCCCTTTTGGTGGTTTTCTCCGATGCTGTGGGCTTCGTCGTTGCACAAGGCTCCAGGCCGGTGTTTGCCCATTTCATGGTATGGTATATCATCATGGTGATAGCCTAAAGAACCTAGCTGACATAAAACCATTCAGGTAGGCATCGTTGAAAAGTTTACTGTTCAGGATTGGATCAACGAGATCCAACAGGCACAAGCCATTGGCATTGATGGCTTTGCTCTGAACTGCGCTCCCCCTTGGGTCGATAGCTACACGCCGAAGCAGCTCGACAATGCGTATACAGCCGCTCAGCAGCTCAACTTCAAGATGTTCATTTCTTTCGACTTCGCTTACTGGTCCAACGGCGACACGGGCAACATCACAAGCCTTGTGGGCAAATACGCTGCCCACCCGGCCCAGGCCATGTTCAACGGAGGCGCTCTCGTTAGCACCTTTGTTGGCGATTCCTTCAACTGGAACGCCGTGAAAAGCGCCCTGGGCAGCCAGAAACTGACGGTGATCCCGAATATGCAGGATCCTGCCTCACTCGGAAGCGTCAGCAACCAGCTTGGCATCGACGGGGCTTTCTCTTGGTATGCTTGGCCTACAGACGGCGGCAACAGCGTCATCAAAGGGCCCATGACAACCGTGTGGGATTTGAGATACATCCAGGGCCTCGGCGGTCGACCCTACATGGCACGTAAGTCTTTCCGAGCGATGATTTGGTGCTGCGTTGAGCCTGAGCTGGAGCTGTGATATTTACCGAGATAGCTGTTTCTCCATGGTTCTCGACCCATTTCAATACCAAGAACTGGGTCTTCATATGTGAAGAGCAGCCAGTCCGTCGGTGGCAGCAGATACTCGACATGAAGCCCGCCCTGGTTGAGATCATTACCTGGAACGGTGAGTGTACTCGGCCTTTCAGCCCCAGTTCCCGTATCGCAAACAAGGAGGCTGACCAACGAATACTTGATACTCACAGATTTTGGTGAAAGTCACTATATCTCGTAAGCGAACCAGTCCCCCCCTCCCTCCCCCTTGCCTCTCCTCTCTTCGCCACCCTCCTGAGTCCAGCTGGCGAAATGACAACAGCGTTGTTAATGTGTTTCACGTCTGCATAGTGGCCCAGAGCCCAACCACAGCGACGACGGGTCCTCCCAATGGGCCAATGGCTTCCCCCACGACGGCTGGCGAGACATTTACAAGCCATATATCGCTGCCTACAAGGCCGGCGCATCGTCCCCTACCGTCCAGGCAGATGAACTCGTCTACTGGTACCGCCCGACTCCACATGGTGCCCAATGCAGCAGCGATCCGTTGGGTGTTCCTCGAGGAGCTGAGCTGATGGACGACTTGGTCTTTGTCAGCACGTTGCTCACGCAGCCTGCGCAACTGACCGTGACCAGTGGAAACGTGGCACCTGTCACTATCAATGCTGATGCCGGCATCCATGTCTTCAACTTCACAATGGGCGTTGGCAAGCAGTCCTTCTCGCTCTCCCGTGGCGGCAGGCAAATCCTGGGTGGCCAGAGCGCAAAGGACATCAGCAACTCGTGCCAGACCTATAACTTCAACGCATACGTGGGCAAGTTCTAGACCAAGCGGACGCGTGTGCTGGGAGAGATGGCGTCCAACAGCAACAGACAGCGCTCATGAATTTTGCCTTCATCCGCTCTATTGAATCATTAACACGTCTTTAACCCCCCCCAACGCCGAGGTCAAGCCATGCTTGGTGGCCATCAACTAGTGTGACAAGAAAAAGCGCCCTTGCTTGCCCGCGGATATACATGATTCCTCGAAAAGGGCGGGCGGCGTGTGCTAGTCAAGCCAGGCCGCAGCTGAACCAAGGAATAAGAGATCTCGTTGTCGTGAGGAGCAGAGGCCAACACATCTGTCTCTTGTTATGGCTTGAGTGGCTGGCTGTTGGGCGTCTAGCCTCCTCAGACGGGGGCGGAAGTGACTTCTGATGAAAAAGACCGTCGTTTGGTCTCCTACAGAATATGTGGCTGCTGTTTACCGTCCAACAAGGCAATCGTCGTCTCGTTTTAGCCCTCTTCTTTGTCACCCGTATTCTGTCTGCATGGTGCTGCGGCTGATACATGTCACATCTCACCAATTCCAACTGTGAGATAGCTCTGGGACACTTAAGAGGTCCCTTGCAGGGGAGCCAATAAGGCCATCATCTGGGAGGGTCTCGAGCGGAGGTGGCTCCGTCTTGGCCCGTTAGCCTCTCTCTATGTTCTTGGTCGCCGTCAGGGTAAAAGGCAGCAGAGAGGGCAGAGAGGCAAAAGGACAGAGGGATCGGACGCCAGATTTCTCTCGCTTGCCTGTCCTGGGGCAGCTGAGACGCAATGTGGTGTTGTTCTGGTTGCTGTTGTTGTGCCTGTGTTTTTCCTCTCCTTTCTTTTTGCTTCCGCCCTGTCCCTTTCCTCCCGTCTCCGGCGCTCCATATGAAGCAGAAGTCGATCCCCCCTCCACTTTCTTCCTTCCACCAACATGCCCTTTGATACGATGGACTCTTTTGTCCCGCGATTTTAACACCATTCCTGCGCTCGCCCGTTCCTGTCCGTGACGATGCAAGATAGGCTCTCGCCTCCGAGCAAGAAGCACCGTCGCCTGGCTTCAGAACGTGCAGATTCCGCCGACCAGGAGCCATCTTTGGCCGAGGACAGCATCACGCCAGCGCAGACGCAGACATCCGCGCGTACACCGCCCCCCGCCTCTTCATCGTCTGAATCGACCGAATCGTCGTCGGAGTCTACCGCGCCCAATCCAGAGACTGCAAAGCAGCCCGCAAGAAGACGGCCTGTCAGGAAGGCTGTCAATGTTGCCTGCGAGTCTTGCCGGAAGCGCAAAATAAAGGTATGGCCGGCTCGAACCCCACCCCTAGCGAAGTCTGCTCGGAGTCTAAGCTCATACGCGCCAAACTGGTCGAGAAACAAAGTGCAATGGGAACCGGCCGAAATGCTCAGCATGCGAAGCTCGCCTGGTCGAGTGCGAATATGCGTCGGCCTATCGTGAGGAGACAATCTCGGCCGCGCTCAAGCGCAAGTACCAGGAGGAGAACAAGAAATCGAGTTCCTATGAGGAGTTCTTTACCGCTCTACAGAACTGCTCGGAGGATGATGCGATGACCATGTTCAGCTTGGTGCGTCAAGGCGTCGACCCCGGGGCTCTTCTGAGGCAGATGAAGGAAGGCGACCTGTTGCTACAGCTGTCCGTCGTCCCTGAAACTCGGAGGCGCTATCAGTTCCCCTATCTGGCCGCCATGCCTCTCCATCTCCAGACTCCGGACAACCCGTACCTCAACTCGGTTTTGTATGAGACGGCATTCCACGGAGTTGGCCAGCAGGGCGGCCATGGGTCCGCGTTGCCTCAAAGTGCATTGGCCAGCCGATATCAGAACATCTACCTTCAGCCGTATCACGCAGCCGAGCTTCTGGATCCTTTAATTGACCACGTCAAGCCGTCCAAATGGACCATGGTCAGCACTGACGACCACTTGATGCGGACGCTCTTGCGAGCTTACATTCTCCACGAATACCCAACCTTTCCCATCTTTCACAAGGACATCTTCCTCCAGGCCATGATTGACGAGGACACGCAATATTGCACGCCAATGCTCGTCAATGCCTTGTTGGCGGAAGCATGCGTAAGTTGCCGCGTTCTTCACAACGAATCTGGCCACGCCCGCCTCTGATTGCCCGATTTCAGGTCAGATCGGACATGTCATGAATGGACAGATGAGCTGACCGAGTTTCCTACCAGCACTCCTTCATTGGCATACCCAATCGGCACCAGTTCTGGGTCCCCCAGAGCCTCAGATACCGCTTCTTAGCCGAGGCAAAGCGCCTGTGGGAGCTTGAGAGCGACAGGGTAGACTTGGTTACCGTGCAGGCCGCCACGCTCCTGAACCTCATCTATAGCCACAACGGCATGGACAAGGTTGGCCAACCGTATCTGATGCATGGGCTTCGACTTGCCCAACAGCTGGAGCTCTTTGGAGACCATGCCCACGTAAAGAACCAGAGGATGATACACGCTCGCGTCTTCACCGCTTGGGCTCTCTTCAACTGGCAATGGTGTGTATCCCCCGTGCCTTTCTCTCGTCCAGTCACTGTACAAGCATGCACTCTGCGCATATCGTCTCGTCTCGTCTCCCCGTCCGCTGACATGTCGACCGCGCTCCTTGGCAGCATACAATCGTACTATTACTATCGGGCTCCTCTGATCCCTGATCCGCCGGCCACGCCGCTGCCCGACCCAGATGAGCATCCGTTTTGGTATGGGGACTTCAAGCTTCGATACCCGCTGAATCCGACGTTGGTGCCGGCACATTATGGGCATTACTTCAAGGCCGTTTCCGGTCTGCGTTCGATAATCCACGACATGGCTGCCATCAGCTACAGTCAGAAAGAGGAGCGCACAGTATCGCCCCGGCAAATATGGTCTATATTTTCGAGGTTGGAGAAATGGTATCTGGGGCTGCCCGCAGTTCTCTCCCCCCGAAACATCGTCTTCCCATGGCAGCTCAAGGTGCAGTACGTTTCCCCTGCTGCCCGACAATCCGCGATGATGTACCCTTCAACGTCCTGTCTTGCCGTGCCCTTGTGTGAACGAACGCTGACGAGACCGTTTTTGTTTCAGCATGGAGCTTTACCTTGCCACCATTCTGTTTTCTACAAAACAGGCGGATGTTTCAGAGGCTTCGACGCTCATGAAAGAAACGGCCCAAAAAACGGCTGCCCATGCAGCTGCTCGCCTCGAGACTGTTGCGCGCCTGTACTATATCCGGCACAGCTTCGAGTACTGCGACCCCTTCTTGACGATTCATCTCTCCTTCGTAGCGGGCGGGGCCATGGACAGCCTCAAACTGACTCCGGCTCACGACGTGGAGACAATCAAATCCCTAAAGTCCACAATCATCCTCAGCCTCAAGGGGCTATACGATCAAGGCCAGCACATTCATCTGACCTCGGTCATCTATCGGCTGCTGCGGGATCGGCTCAGTCCAGAAGATCTAGCCCTCCTCCAGAACTACGTGGTCTGGGATCCCCTCGCCCCCGAAGAGCCGCTCTTGGTGCAGTATGCCCAGTCCCATTATCCCCTGACTATGGGGAGCAAGCATCAAGACCCGACTTCCACGCGGCTTGAGAACCTTGTCAAACAATATGGGCAGCTATCGACCGACGACAGTCAATGATCTCCACCGATATCATTGCATAGAACCTCGAGAATTTCGGCTCGGTATGGCAGACGCATCATCAAAAGTTGACAACGCCTCCCCCCTCACCTGCGCGTGAATGACGAGGTGGTCACATTTTCGAGCGACTGCTATGAACTTGTGCAACCGAGCGGAACATTGGGGGTCAGGGTACGCGGGAGATCCATTCGTTGTCGCTTCAGGCACTCAGGTGGACGGACATGAACCACCTAGAGCGTTTGGTGATGGTGCTATCAGTATCAGTCGACCTACGATGCGATGCGGACCTGTTCCTGAACGGAGGGGCCAAAGCTCGAAGGCTCGTACTCTTGTTAAAGACAGGCCCCGGAAATGCCTTCTCAGAGTGGTCAGGATCCTGGTGGTAGAGCTCGGTTTTCAGGGTAGCTCTGCAAATCCCAGCGTATGTGGTGTGCATCATCACCGACAGCTTCACCCTGAGCCTTGATCTGCGACTTTCGATTCTCTCCCTCTGCCTCACCCCCTCTCTCTCTCCGATCTCTGAGGCTTTTCCTTCTTCTCAAGCTCGTCTTGCCCAGCCTTTTGTATTCCCTCTCCAGTTCTCATCCTCTCTCGTCATTTGGCGTCAAGGCGCATGGGGAACAACGGCAATTCTTTTTCCTACAGTACAATGGCGCTCAGACATGGAGCATGTATACGCAGAGTGCACCACATTGTCACAGGGCCCGGCTGGCCGCCGCTATGCGTACATAGGTACTCTGTGTGAGCTGGTTGGGAGTTCAGTCCATACCTAGTAGCTAGGTAGTTGCCATGGGATTTCTGTAACAGACGGTACACGTAGCAACAGTATCCATGAATTGAATGCTTGTATGTAGGTTTCATTAGACCCTGACAATTGTTCGGATCGGACCCTGGACTGGCTCTGCCGGCAAAGCAATGTTTCGAGGCGATATGAGGGATGCCGGCCGCACGCGAGCAAGGACACAAGTAAAGCTGAGCTCCATGAAACCCTGCGTGTGCCCTGTATGCTGCAGGAGGACATCAAGAATTGTACAAAGTCGAAGCACCTCAGGGGGAACGGAGTATCACTCGAAGCGCTAGACGAAAGACGTCTCTGTCGGACAATTGAGGCACTTCTGTACCTGAGCAGACAAGTAAGGTGGTACAGTAATACATTCGGACTTAACAAGAATGCAAGGCAAGCAGGCCGGTGGGGGACCAGCCAAGCCAGCGTAGCAGCGCATGATGGATGTCGAGCTTCGCCACCCCCGTTGGATCGGGTGGCCGCTTCAGGTCATCCTCGTGGTGAAACAACACGGGGTCGTCTGCGGGATCAGCCTGCCTGGTGGGCGGCAATCTTGGTGCACGTTTAGCCGATACCGACCGCCCGTGTGGCGTCCAGCAGTGGAAGCACATTCGTCCTCGTATTATACGGCGGAGCGGTAAATCACACCGTTTGATTCGGGGATGACCTGAGCGTATGGCTTTGCCAGCTCTGCCTGCAGGCCCCTATGCATAAGAATGACTGTATGTACTTACAGCCAAGCGTCATTAGACCTGAACATGGTGGACGAGCATGGGCCGGCAATGGGCGTTGCCCTCCTCATCAGGATAGGTGGGAGAATCCGAAGTAATGAGATGAGCCTTGGCCGAACTTCTTTAAACGTGCCGAATTCTGCCGTTGCCCTGTTTTGCTGGCATGCACCAAACAGTAGAGACTCCTGACGGCATTCCCAACTAGGTATCTCGTGCAAAGAACCGACCGGTGAGGGCAGATGTAGTCCTAGGCGAACGGCTTGTGCGCAGGGGAGAAGCTCGAAAGGCTCTTGGAACAACCTCGACATGGCATCCTGGTGCAGATTGGTTCGTACCTGCAGCACAATGAAGCCGGTAGTAGTAAGGTAGGGAGAGTTGACTGGGCGCTTAGAGCGTAGCGTACGGTGCGGTGCACCTATTCCCCAAAACCCCACTCTCCCGCCGTCGATAGCCAGGTGATGGCGAGTTAGCCGGTAGGGAGAAAGTACTCGTACAAGTACAATGCAGCTGAAAGAGACGGGTGGCTTCCCACGCGTGATGGCAGCCAACACTCCGAGGTTCAAGGGCCGTGAAGATACAGAGTACAAGTATTCTTCATGACAAGCTGATGGCAGCTTGTCCTCGCAGGCCGTCCAGACGACACTTTGCACTCGCTTCCGCCATGGGCGGGCCTCTGTGGTGGATTCACAAGCGACGATCTCGGAGACAGCCGACAGCGCGTGCAATATGTCGATCCGGGCCATGATTCCATAGCGTTGCCAAAGGCAAGAAGAGCTGACGGCCCTATTCTAGAAAGGGCTTTTGCAAACAACGGGGTGTAGTAGAGTTCTCAAGACACATCTGGTAAAAGTTAAAAGCCCTGGGAGAGGGCTGTTATCCTCATTGTGTCTCCTGAGAAGAGGGCGGACGATTTGAGAGCCACCTCGGCGGTGTTGGTATGATCAACTCCGTACCCCGTGGTGGGAATGTATGCCGTGTTCATCAAAAACCCCTTTGATAAAGGCACGTGTACCGCGAGAAGCAATTTCACAGCGACGTCGTTGAGCGAGAAACAGGCTGAGAGCGCCATCCGACGGACACATGCTTGGCATTGCCGATGCCGAGCGGACGGAGATTATGGAACCATGACATGATGTTGGACAAACGAATGCTCTGCATGCTGTCCTACTGCTCTGGAGGACAGTGGCCAAGCGCCAAGTCCCTGTAAATCCGTAGTCCGTAGTCCGTAGCACTAGGAACGACAGGGGCATCGCGACCAAATATCCGGGCCTGATTAGATCGACGAAATATCGTCCGAACGCCATGGCTGACTCGAGCAACTCCGAACATGGCCAAGCAGCCATCTTCGTTGGATGAGCTGAATACTCGTAGGCTGTGGGTATGGAAACATATCTTCACATCGGCTGCAACTCGGCAGGATACTCGAACGGGGAAGAGGAAATCGTCCCTCTAGCCCGGCGACAGGAGGGGCTGGTTGGTGGGATGGCTAGGCCACTACTCCTTCTCCATTTCCTCTTTCGGAGGGGTTTAGTGATTGATCAGTATGGTGGTGTAGACATGTCGGGCCACGCATGATGTGCTCTCATCTGTCAACTCGTGTTAGTAGGGAGCGCGGAAATTGTACGTACGGATACAGCAAGCTCTCTAGTCAAGCAGGCCCTTGGAGCAAATGGGAGCTGGGATTTGATGCAATGGGAAGAGTATTGCCCGTGGAGTGGTGACACTTACAAGCAGATGATTGAGAGAGGCTGTACGTGTTTGGTGCCGAAGCCCCCCGTGTTGTGAATTCGAGTATCTCTGGATTGGCGAGGAGAATGTCGCCATACGAAGCTGGATTCGCCGTCATTATTGGTGCTGGTGGTGTACTGCTGTATGGGCTGGCACGAAGCTCCTAGGCGCGGCGAGTATCCGAGGTGTTGAGCATGGGTGTAACTACCAGCGTGCTGGGTGCCGCAAATTGTTCGCAGACAAGATGCGTCCAGCGTGGGAAATGGGGCTGTGAAAGGTCGCTTCTGCGTCGCTTAGAGATGTTCGTCCGCCAAGGGGCGAACAGGGATTGCTTCGCTTCTCTGGTCTGATTGAGCCGGCGGCCGGGATCGGTGGCGGAGGCAGTGTTGACGGGGAGAAGAACCTGGAAACCTGCCATCAACTAACCAATAAACAGAGGCCAAGGCAGAAAGAAAAGACGTTGCCGGACGCGGTTGGCACTGACAAGGCGTGGGTTGAGAGACATGGGCGAGGCATGGCGAGGCATGGGTTAGCTGGCATGGGGTGATAGGCGACCGGCTTCTGGTCGAAATGGGGACGAGGCGAGGAGAGCGAGGCGAGCGCCATACGAGGCGACTTAGACGAGGACAAGGAACTGTGTCTGGGTTCGGAATAGCGGTCGGCGGATAATAAGGGTAGCGTCGACGTGCAGCTTGTCCATCTACAAGTAGCACACTCGCATCAGCCAGTCATGGGCCGAGGAGGAGTCAAGGAGTCAAGGGGTCAAAGCGAGAGGCTCCATGTCGAGAAGCCGTACCTGAGCTAGTACCGCATTAGCTTGCGGGTTGCTGCAACGAGGCGCCGCCGAATATTGGATGCAAACCAAAGCAGGTCGTATGACAAAGCAGAGACGGTTGGTGTATGATCTCAGCTGGAGATGGTCTGTCGGCGTCTGTGCGGCGGATGTCGGCTGGTGCAGATTGGTCTGTGTCGAGGGTGTCCAGGGTCAAGGCGCGGGATGGCAGTCACAGACGGACGGCCGGTGAGCTGAGAGGGAACAGAGAACAGTTTGATTCGTCTATGGGAAGAGCAGAGACGTGAGAGAGAGAGACAAGGGTCATCATCATGGCAAGGATGTGACAAGGCGTGAAAAAAGACAAAGGGAGGACAGGGAAGGAAAAAAAGCAAAGAAGCAAAGCAAGTGGAAACAAACAGGGGCATCAGGCGGTAACGTGATATCGATCGAGGATCAAGTGGGAAGGAAGGCGCCGGCGAACCTGAAGCAGGAGACACCCGCAAGCATCTCCCAGATTTGGAAGCTACGAGCCTCGGAAGGTGCAGTGCAGCGGCAGGAGGTTTAGCCTTGTTTGGCATTAGGCTCGCGGGTTAAACTTGTCTGCAAGCTTAGGCGCTAAGAGGCCAATCAAAGGCGGTTGGCGAGCTGCAGGTGAGGCTTGGGGGGGAAAGCGTGCGCGCATGAATATTGGCCATTTCGACGAGATTGGATGCCTGCGACTCTTTTGATTGGGCTTGTTCTGGGTATTGGTGAGAGAGTAAAGCCAAGGTAGAGAGGCAATATTCAACATTGACTGACCTATTGCATTGCTGCATGGCATGGCAAAAGGTAAGGTTAGTGTTAAGGTAAGGTAAGGTAAGGTAAGGTAGCAAATGGTTACTATCCAATAGGTACTCTAAGTCAAATGCAAGATGACCAGCAATCAGAGTGGTCAAAACACCAAAAACTAAAACTAAACACCTCTCAAACGTGCATAGCGGCGCCGAAAACCTCTCCCAGACGGCACACCGGCGCATGCTCTGATTCGACCAGACAGCCACCTGTAACGCCCTCGACCTGAAGCGTCTGGCCACCAGACACTACACCTACCTACCTTATGCTTGCCTCTCTCTGCGTCTCGTCCAGCTATTTTAGGGGGCACCAGTCCGTGAACTTGCCTCCTCGACCAGTCAATAGCGTCGTGTGCCTGCCAAGAACGCCGTAGCGCGACCCCTGGATCATGGAGCCGTTTCGGCAGCAAGCCATCCAGGCGCCCCTGGGGGCTCTTGGCATCGCAGGCAGGGCGACAAGGACGGGACGTAGCCAAGTGGTACCTGGGATGCCCTCTCCAGATGGAACTGCGGCTGCTGCTGCTGGCGAGAGTGACGGCTCGTCTACCTGCGGCCCAAGTCCCGCCTCGCCGGGCTCGTGTCCGGACCTCCAGGACCCTTTTGCGGCTGCCAGCATCCACGCTCGACGTTCCTCTCGCCAGACGTCCAAGTAGGTACTCATCGCCAGTAAGGTACTGTACCAAGCCAGCCGCTTCAGGGACTTCGTCTCGGGCAGCTTCAGGGTCCCGTCTGTTATCGTCTGCTGCGGTCTGCTCCCAGCAACCGCTACCTATGCTCTGGTACATGGGGATTCCCCAAGCTCGCCAGCCGCGTACCGGTACCTTACTATGGCTCGATAGTGTCTCAACCCTGTCTCCGGCGCTTCAACCATGGGTCTCGTCTCGATTCGGTCTATTCCACAGGCCGTGGGGAGTCGCTGCGAGGCAACAGGGGTTTAGTCTTTGCGCCTGCTCAAGCGCCTGAGCAAGACAAACGTGGAGTCATACAGTACCTAGTGCGAGAGGAAGAGGAGCGTGAGTGCCAGCAACCTGAATGTAGGTAAAGTACCTCTACCTACCTACCTACCTCACCTCAAGGCATTGAGGTACCTAAGGTACCTTGCTTGGTTGGGAGACGGAGTCAGGCAATGCTGCAAGCCCCATCTCCGGCCGGGAACCTCGTGCTGGCCTTGGGTATATAGATTTGCCTCTCTCCTCCGTTTCCCTTCCCTCTCTTGATTCCGGAGCATCAACCAACCTTTGTTTGTTTTCTTTTCTTCTTTCTCTTTTTCTCCTTGTTCTCTATTCCTAATCAGCACCAGTCTCTCATTTCTGGATCAAAGTCATTCGTTTTCTTTGCATCCCTCACAACAACGACAAAACCTACAAGCCTAAAGTCTTCCATATCGATATTAAATATTTCTTGAGTCCTATCTTTTGAAAGCCACACGCTCACTACCGTTTTGAACTTTGCTTCAACATGAAGTCCGTCACCTTTGCTCTCCTGGCTGCGGCCGGCGTGGAGCGGGTTACTGCCACCGTAAGGCCTAGTCCCTCTCTCCGTCCTTAAACCCCCAACACCTTCCATGATATAAACGCCCATCTGCCCTCTACAACGCTCGGCTGGCTAACCCCGTCGCTCCAGTATAACCTTGGCAACTCGTGGACCGGTGCCAAACCCTTCAGCTGCCCCAGCAACACCAACAACAACCACTGTACCGAGCAGCAGCACCATGGCTGGGACTGGAGTGACGTCCCCACTGGTCCTATCGGCCACTACAGCGGCTGCGAATTCAAGGGCTGGAGCTGCGAGAACGACTTCGGCAAGCGTGATAGCCTCCTGAGCGCTCGTACCTTTGGCTCTACCGGCCGCTCCATCTCTGGCCAGTGCACGGGTGACAAGACCACCACTCCTTGCATCTACGCCAGCGGCGACAAGGAGCACTTCTCCATCGACACCTTCTCCGTCACCACCGAGTTTGACACTCGCCTCGAGTTCCACTACGACATGCCCGACGGCTCAACCTGCAAGCACTCTGCCGACTGCTCGTCCCACGGAACGACGGTGAAGAACAACCAGTGCGGTGGTGCCAAGTCGGTCTGCGTCGTCTACCCTGGCGGCGGCAACAAGCCCAGCACTCCCAGCAAGCCCAACAAGCCCAGCACTCCCAGCAAGCCCAACAAGCCCAGCAAGCCCAGCAAGTCCACTTGCGGTGCCAAGGTTCACCACATCGGCTGGAACTGCGACAACAACTCTCCCCCCTCCGGCGGCAACCCTGGCAAGCCCGGTAAGCCTGGTAAGCCCGGCAAGCCTGGCAACACCCGGCCTCCTTACACTCCCCCGGAGACCACCCAGCCCGGCGGCTCTGTGCCTTCCAACACCTACACTGCCCCTGCTGAGACCTTGACTGTTCCCGCGGGCGAGACCACTTACACGGTTGGCGCTACCACCTACTCCATCCCTGCTGGCGAGACCACCTACACTGTTCCCGGCTCGACCTTCACGGTCCCCGCTGGCGAGACCACCTACACTGTTCCCGCCGTTGAGACGACCTTTACTGCTCCTCCTGCCACCTACACCGTCCCTGCTGGAGAGACTACCTACACCGTCGACACCACCACCTACACTGTTCCTGCTGGCGAGACGACCTACACTGTCCCCGGCACCACCTACACTGTTCCTGGTGAGGCCACGACCTACACTATCCCCGCCGGCGCCACGACCTACACTGCTCCTGCTGAGACTGTCACTGCCCCTGCTGGCGAGACCACTGCCACTGTCCCTGCTGGCGAGACCTCAACCGTCCCCGCTGACAGCGCTGAGACTACCACTGGACCCGCGGTTGCTGCCACCACCACTGCTCCGGCTGCGGGCGAGACGACCACTGACGTTGTCGTGAGCACCTCCATCATCCCTGGAGGCGAGACCACCACTGCCCCTGCTGCCGGTGAGACCACCACTGCCCCCGCTGCCGGTGAGACTACCGTTCCTCCCGCTGGCGAGACGACCACTGCTCCCGCTGCTGGCGAGACCACCGTCCCTCCTGCCGCCGAGACCACTGCTGCTCCCTCCACCACCGGCGGCTCTGATGCTGCCACCACCGGCCCCGACTCGGTCATCACCACCACCTACCAGACCACCTCCACCGTCTTCACCACCACGGTCCACACCATCACCAGCTGCGCTCCCGAGGTGACCAACTGCCCGGCCAGGCCTGACCAGCCCGTCCTGACCACCGTGACCGTTGCCGTCAGCACCACCGTCTGCCCCGTCACTGCCACCATCACCCCGGCTCCCCCGGCTCCCACTGCCACCGGTTCCACCCCCTCGGGCCCCGGATCTCAGCCCGGCTCTTCTGCCCCCGGCTCCGACTCCGATGCGCCTCTTCCCTGCCCCGAGGTCCTGCCCAGATGTCTCAACACCTGGCTGACGCTGGTTCCCCACTGCGATGGCAACGCCGATGCTTCCTGCTACTGCCCCAGCAAGGACCTCGTCGAGAAGGTCTTCGAGTGCGTCTACTCCAACGGAGACAACGACGATGACGTTGCGGCCGCCATCACCTTCTTCCAGGGCATCTGCGCTGGCGATGCCGGCTCCAACCCTGCCATTGTCACCGGTGCCGAGACCATCACCTCCATCATCACCGTCACCAGCACGCCCGTTGTCGCCCCGACTGACTACACCACCATCGTCGTGGCCACCTCGGTCACCCAGCCCGTCGTCTCCGAGGGCACCACCATCCCCGGCAGCAGCACCACCTACTGGGTCTCGACGGCCGTCACCATCCCCCAGGTCTCCATCACTGCTGCGCCCGCTCCCCCCGCGCCCACTGGTGCTGCCCCGACTGCCCCTGCCGAGGCTCCTGCTCCCGCCCCGACCGTGGCTGTTCCTCCTCCTGCCGGCCCCATTGGCACCGCCACCGGCACTGGTGTCCTTCCCGGCGGCACTGGCATCCCCGTCATTGGTGCTGCTGGCCGCGTTGGCGCTGGCATGAGCCTTGGTCTCGCCATCATCGGCGCTGTCTTTGCCCTGTAAAGCAGCCTCCGAGCAAGCGATGCCCTTTGGGGCCGCACGCATGTGCTATCTGCGCAGTTACCCGTTCCCTTTTTGTTGATTCATTCTATGGGAGGTTATTGCTTGCGCTACGTGCCTGTGGTAACGTGCGCAGGATTCTTTGATTGCATGGAAAGTGGGAGGAAGGAGGCATGTATGTGTATACGGACAAGACCACCTGATTAGCGGAAAACATAGCCCTCATACAGTAGGGCAAATATCATTCTTACGATCCTTACGAGCACATGGCAGGACAGCTAGGGGGAGGGGGTTGCCCTCTCATCACCCGCTGGACTGGCCAATGTGCCCAACTTAATCTTAATATCGATATGAGATTCATCTGCCGTTTGGCTGCTGCCAAGGCTATGGACGTTTTGGACAAGACAAAAAAATAAAAAGGTTGATTCTTTTCATTTATTCTGTTCCTTGTTTGTTCTATTGGGATCATGTCTTTAAGCGAGTGAGAGGCTTTTGTTCATATGTAGACGTACTAGTGCTGTTTGCATCTGGTGTGGAAAATAGAATCATCATTGTCACTTATTCCGTCTGATTGTCTGTCTATCGTTGTACTCTGTAGCATCTATGCAATCGCCGCATAATACACGTTCGTGGTGTAGGACAAGCACAGCAGGAACAAAGACGAAGTAGGAAAAAAAAATCCTTATTCCAACAAGGGACGAAACAAGACATAGGTGGAAGCTCGTCGTATTACACTCATTTGCCTACCTATTCAGGTACTTCATCTCTTAAAGTTTCGCTCTCTTGGCCTCTCTGGCCTTCTTCTCCCTGTCTCTCAAGAGGCGCCTCAGAATCTTACCGCTAGGGCTCTTAGGGATGGCGTCGGTAAATTCAATGCCGCCGGCCAGCCACTTGTGCTTGGCCTTGTGGTCTTGCACGTGCTTGTGGATGGCAGCCTCGACATCGCTGTCCGCCTTGCCGGCGCAGTCTGCAGACTTGGTGACGAAGGCCTTGGGCACTTCGCCGGCGTAGGAGTCGAAGACGGGGATGACGGCGCAGTCGGAGACGTATGGATGGCTTAGCAGATGGGCCTCGAGTTCGGCGGGAGCGACTTGGTGACCCTGTGATACACGTCTGGTAAGCCACTTCTTCTCCTAGGTAGTATGAAATTCCCTCCCAAAGAACGTGTGCGGTGGAAGAGAAGGCGTGAATTGGGGAGATCATCATGGGGGCATGGTGGTGTTGTACAAGCAATGCTTTGCTTCACATTGTCATCTCATCTCCTGCCATCCCATCTCAGCAGGCTTACCTTAGTCTTAATCAGCTCCTTGATGCGGTCCACCACAATGAGATGCTCGTGGCCCTGTGCCGACTTTCGAATGACAACCTCGTCACCCGTCCGTAGCCACCGGCCGTCGTCGTCGTGGACAAACGTGTCCGCATTGGCCTTTTCGTTGTTGAGATAGCCCAGCACTACGGACGGAGACTGGATCAGCAGCTCGCCCGGAGTGTCGTACTCGGTCACCTCCTTGCCCTCCAGATCAATGACTTTAGCCTTCTTGCCCGGCAGCAGAGACCCGGAAGAGCCAAAGAGCACGTCCAGCTCGTTGGTCGAAGAAACGGTGGGCGAGCATTCCGTCATGCCGTAGCCCTGCCCGATGCGCCACTTGGGATACATGCCGGTCAGCTCCTCGACAACCTCGGAGCCCAGCGGAGCCGCTCCGCTGTAGACGTAGCGCACGCTGTCGAGGTTGTACTTGGCAGCCTTGTCGCGGTTGCCAATGATTTGAATCAGCATGGGCGGGACGACGAAGAGCTGCTCAATCTTGAAGCGCTGGACGGCGTCAAGGAGCTCGTGGAAGTTGTATCTCGGCAGCACAATGACCTCATCGCCGCGGTACTGGCCGAGGGTGGTAACCAGGACAAGCGCATATATGTGTGAATAAGGGAGCACGCCCAGAGCGACCTGAGTCTCGATGCCGAGCGCCTTTCGGGGGACGCTGTCGAACACGGAGACCTGCATGACGTTGGCAATGACATTGCGATGGGAGACCATGACGGCTTTCTGGGAAAGCTTGTTAGCCATCGACACAGTCAACAAACACCGTCCAAGCCCAAGGTACCTGGGTCATAGATGACCTGGAAAAATTCCTTTGCACATCATGCTCGGCAAGGTCCTGGCGTTTCAATTCAAATGCCGCTCTTCACTTACCGGCAGGCCAGAGGTGCCGCTAGAATAGCACAGATAGGCCGTCTGCCTGGCTCCCTGTCCCTTGACCCATTTCAAGGGCCTCAGCGGCGGCAGCTCCTTGCCCTCGGCCACCAAGTCGTCAATCGTCACATAAGAAGGGGGGTTGTCGAAGCCCGCGGTCCGCAGTATAAAGATGCGGTCCTTGGGGATGCCCACAGCGGCAGCCGCCTTGAGGGCGTTGTCGAGGAGGGGAGCGCATGTGAAGACGGCCTTTGATCCTGACGTGCGGAGCTGATGCTCAAGTTCCGGTATCGAATATGCGGCGCTCGCGGGCGTAACGATGCCGGAGAGGCGGTGGATGGCGTGCGTAAAGGGAAGATAGTCAATCTGCGGCACAAGAGAGGAGCCAGAGCCTCGTTAGATTGTTGCCATGGTAGCAGAATCGAAGCGCGTGTCGGACAGGCCGCGTTGGAGGGGGGGTTGGCTATTCTTGGCTGGCTCTGGGTTTCGTACCGTGTTGACCGAGTATATCGCGACCACTCTCTCCCACTCCGACTCCTCTTGAGGGTTGAATCCTAGCCGCTTGCTAATCGCGCGAGCCATGTAGTCGGTCCGCTCAGCTACCTGTGCGGCAGTGTATGTCGTGCCCGTGATACCGCACGTGTAGGGGTTCCTGGCCTTGGCCAGCGGATAGCGGCCATACTGCTCATTCCGAATGAACTCTTCGATGGTGATGGAATCCGGCAGTTCTGTCGCGCCAAGGCTGCTCGTCAGTTTCGTGTGTGCGCGTCCTCGCAGGGCAGCTGGTGCACAGACCTGGCAGCGGGGGAAGATATGAGGGCGGCGTGAAGACCATGGCGAACCGGCCTACCAGACCTCTCAGAGCAGGACAAGACAAGGAGCAGAAAAGACGAGCAATGGGCTAGGACAAGGCCAAGAAGAGGAATGCGGAGCAGGAGCCGAGGAGACGCATCGGCGCGGGTTACGGTAGGAGATAGTAGGTATATGTAGTAGCTGCATTGTTCATGTACCCCAACCAACCTAACTCTTTAGCAATGGCTGATCGCCTACCAGACGCATAGGATTGAGGAGTTGCGAGTGGAGATGCAGATTGAGAGTAACCTCGGGAGACGGTATCGGCTAATGGGGGAGAGCCACGATCTACCAGTTTGAGGTGCTAGCAGCCTAGAAGAAGCAGGAGTTGGCGGCCCTTGTCTGCCCCCCCACGACGGATCACGACCCCGGATTATCGCGTCTCAAGACAAAGATAGTAGAGTCAAAGGGGATAAGTGTGTCCTTCCCCGCAACGCTTTCACCTCGGTACCTCCTATACTCTAGTACGGGCGGTATTCAAAAGAATAGGTATATACTCAAGCTGTCCCTCAAGCCTTTGCACGAACGCAGACATTGCGAGATCGGAACCAGCTGTCTGTTTCTTCCAGAGAGAGACAAGCAGTTGAATGACGCGATTCCCAGGTCTCCACATGGTTGATGGAAACTACCTAGGTAGACAGCAACAGAGGGCTCCAATGTTCTCCAACTCCATTCCTTTTGCTGGCCGGGACCAGTAACCAGACCGCTACTAGTAGTAGTATTCTCCGGCCCAGATTCTTCCCCAGATTACTCCGTTGGCTCAACTCCGAGCGCCGTGGGCTTGTTGTGAGAGCTGCAGGAGGACAACATTGCCTCGATAAGACAAAGTGCATGCAGTCACCCTGTGAGACAGAAAAGGCCAACTATACGGCTTACTGATACTTCATCTCACAAAGACCCGTTTCTACATGACATACTACCTACAATAATCAATGTCACATAGGGATTACGCGTTGAACAGGCTGGTGTCTTTTGCAGAAAACCAAAGACAATGCATCGTCCGTCTATTCAAATCTCCTGCCTCATATACAAGATCCTAGGATAAATCCTCTACCCAATCGCGAATGTCCATAACTGTCGGCCGATCCAGCTCACCCGTATATACAAAAGCTTCGAAACGTGTAAACAAGCTCTGAGTACCTCTCCAAGAGAAATGACCTCCTGGACAATTTATACAATGTTGACAAACATTGCCAGGGTGCCCAGCGCCACGAGCACCCAGGTAAAAGGGACAAGCCGCACACCAGCGTCTTCATCACCTCCGCCATCCCCGTCGCCGCTGCCGGAGCCGCTGGGAGAGCTGGTGCTTGTAGGTTCGGCGGTGGCTTCGGCTGGCCGAACCGTCCGCGTCGTGACGACGCCGGTGCGGCAGTTGATGTCGAAGACCGGGCAGGAGGTCACCGTGAACGTCGTCGTGAAGGCAGAGGTCGGGATCAAGTTGGTGGCTCCGGAGTTGGATGCAGTAATCTGCAGCGAGACATGTGATTAGTCGTTGGCCGTGAATGCAGTTTGGACAAAAGAGATGCTTACCGTTGGGCTTCCTGAGCCGGTGGGAAACGCTTCGTTCTCATTGCAGTTCCCCTGCACGCTGGGAACGGCATCGGACCCCCTGCCAACAACAACAATGTCACTGCTGCCGCAATCCGCGGCCTGGGCAATGTGAACCTCCCGGTTGTCCCAGTCAAAGACAAAGTATCCGGCCCGCAGCACCGTGTCGCCCAGAATCTGCTGGTCGGTGGTGATGACGATGCCAACGAAGCAATAGTCTGAGTCGCTCGAATCTTCGCCCGTCAGTATAAAGTCGGAAAAGGGGACGCGGACAACCTTGTTGCCGAAGCCGAAATCTACACTGCCGCCAGCGTTCCGGGTCGAGCACGGCACGTAGAAGTAGCCCTCGCCGGCGTCTTGCGCGCCCAGGGCCTCGAGGATGGGAATGGCAGCAGCCTCGTGCATCCGGCTGAGCGTCGTGCCGGAGTCGAGCATCACGTTGGTGTCGGCAGCAGAGAGCCGGAAGCTCTGGGACCGGCCCAGGGTAAGGCCCAGCGTCGTGAGGTTGACGGCCAGCCGAGTTTCGCCCTTGATGCCGCGCACAATCGGACGTGCCTCGAGAGATCCGACAAACTTGCTGCGATCGAGGCCGCCGTAGATGATGGCGCCTGTCTCCGAGTCGGAATGCCGGAGATCGAGTGCAAACACTCGGCTTGCAATGACGCCCTGCTCGGCCATGGTGTTGAGCAGCAGGCTGTACGGCTCGTCCCCTGGGAAGCCGCCCCGGACGTCGGGTGCGAGGCCCATGATGCCCTGCGCCTGGCCGTCGCTGGCCGTGACGACGCCAAACGTCTGGTTCTTGACCTGGATGCTGCCAAAGCTCAGCGTGTCGGCATAGTAGGTGATGTCGACCGACGTCTGCGTGGACTGGTCCGTAGGGTCGCCATAGTTGATCTCTTCACGCCCAAACGGGCCGACGGGCGGTGTCCTTGATCTCCTGGGGTTGTACTGGCCCAGATTCTCGCACATGTCGGCCTGTTGCTGAGACGGTGCGGTTGAGCAGTCGGGATTGACCCATAGCTCGCTGGATCCCGTGTCGACGAGGACGGTCACATTCTGGGGAGGCGTTCCCATGCCGACTGTTGCCGACCATTTATTAGCATGTACACTTTGCAGACCCTAGGTAGTGCACTTGAAAGCGGACGATAGAGACACGAGCTGAACAGAAGCTTCTGGTGGTGTTAACAAAGGTGATGCATTACCTTGAATGGCATAGAAAAAGTCCATGTTCTGTAGCGTAGCATCGATGGCGCTTCTCTTGCCGACCTTGCGCGGCCTCGGGATGGTTCCCACGGGAATCGCCAAATACCCATCCCCAGATTTCGCTCTCGGGAAAACGGGAGTAGCGATGGCTTCAATGTAATCCGTCGCGAGGAGCAGCGTCAGAGCTGCTGACAACGACGTTGGCGGCCTCATGGTTGCGCTGAGAGCTCTGCCGACTTTTCTTCTATCCCCTCTCTCTCTCTTCCTGTCACTTCCTCTTCGCTTCTCTTCTCTTCTCCTCTCCCTGTAAAGTATACTGATCAAAAACCGGAAGCAAAGGGATGAAGAACTGAGAACGGGAGTAATACAGAATGAAGTATTAGGATAAGAGAAAGAATAAGTAGGTAGGCTGAGTTCGTACGACAACGAAAACAGAGCACGGCAAACCACCAAAGCAACAGAGCAAGATCTCGGCACGATCTTGCTGCTAGCGGGGACGACGGCGACAAGGGTCGAAAGTGACGGGACAAGGAGAGCAAACGTCGCCAGCTCGTCCGGTTTCCGGGGTAAAAGTAGTATTTGTAAGAAGAGCCTTCTCGTCCTCCTTCATGATCTCATCTTCCATTCATCTGGCCTCCTCCCCTAGCCATTATCGGTGAAGCAGCCCCTCTGGCCTGGTGGCTGCACTGCTCCATAGGAGGAGAGACGCCCACAGCCTTTCCGAGTCGCGTCTTGCCGACAACTTTCTTGAACCTTGGAGCTTGGCCGGAGCTGAAGCTGGAGCAACGCGGCGCAGCTCCTCTTGGACACCCACTAGTGCTGGACTTTATTGCTCCGGTCCGCCTGGATTCGAGCCGCCAAGCTCGTCTTTCCGCTTTGTGGCGCTCGGTTCATCAGCTACGCGACGCTATTTCAGGCGGATCAAGCGGCGGGTGGCCTGGAGGAGGCTCGACAAGCTACTCACTACTACTACGTACGAGGTTGCTTCAGAGTAGAGTTGCCTAGTCCTACTGCTACCTACCTACACGAAGAACTATTCTACTACCTTATGAATGCTTATAGTATCAAAATTCTGTCATTCTTCAAGATATGCGTAAAAAGCTTGTTGCTGGTATGGAGATTATGGAGAGCATGGAGCGTCAGCCCAATCAAGCAGCCAGCTGAGCATCAGAGCATGCGGAGTCTGTGGGGAGTCTTCGGATCGCTGGGAAAAGGCCTCGACAGCCTCCGTCGTCATCGAACCTTGCGGATCGACTCCCGCCTCCAACTTTTCAAAGGCTGATGGAGCATCTTTTGATGAGGTCTGTTGACACAAGATTTAAGCTGCGAAGTTTTGAGCCTTCATATTGGGCATAAAAGCAATCCCAAGTCTGGTGGTATTAAACATTCCAGTGAGATGTCTGATGGATTCGCTCCCAGCACTATTCATAGCCCAACGATCAGAGAAAAACTGAGGGGACATTATTTAGGTAGTTGCAGAATACAGCATTTAGTACTATTGATGTGAACAACGTGCTCCATAGAATGAAGCCAACCTTCCAGCATCGGTCACCAGTTCAACTCATACCACAACCTGGCCATGCTTAATTCATTTCAATCATTGAAAATTCATAACTGCAAGTCTCTTGTTGCGTTTTTCAAAACCACATAACCAATATCAGTCTACTCTACCTCGAGCTTGGACCTCCGTCATCACAGTGGCGGTGGCTTGGCCCTCACAGACAAGTTGCACGGCGTCTCAAATGCCACTCGGGCGGCAAATGACTCTCGAGGACGCGCAAGCCGTGCTTGGCAGCCAAGAAACTACCATCGGAAAGGGGTCATCACTTGGTTGTGATACACAACGGGAGAAGTGAGCCTCATGAGCAAGCCTATCAGCTGCATGTCTCAGGCAAAGGAAAGATTGAAGGACTCTCTTTTGTTTTCGGCGTGCAGTGAAGGTCGACGAACAGCGCTGGGGTTTCTTCATTGCATGTTTATTTATTGTTAACCTTGGCGATTGAGAAGCAGAAGCCAGCAAAGACATAATCACATCTTTTCACGGAGATATAATGTCATGCGTCTTCATGAAACATGCTGAAATGTTCAGTCTTTGATTCGACTCAGCTATGATCACGTTCTGGCCAGGGATACATGAATAGAAAATCCCAAACTGTCGAGCAAATAACGATGCGTGTGCGTCCACCAGACAGCATAACGAATAATCCTTCAGGTTCTTTCACTCCCAGTGATAATCTGAGAGCAAGAGGCGTGACATGTACATTGGGGGCCTGCTCCTCGTACCTAACTGCAGGATATTCATTCTTGCTCTCTACGCGACTTTTACCACCGCTTATAGCAAGCCCTTGAACCACTGCTTCATCCCAATCGTTGCTTCCCCAATTTGTCCCAGTATGCCTTCGGCCACAAACAGGTCATGTCCCGCATTCGGGTAGCTTTGCAGCGTCACTTGGACTTCCGTCTTCAGGACCTCGAGCATCTTTGCCAAAGCCTTGATCTGGTCTGCCAGAACCTCCCTCTCACCGACAACGATGTGAAGCCTCTTGACGGCGCCATTCAGCCCGTAGAGCCAAGTCCCCAGGCACTCCAGAGGCTCTGCCCAACTGTCATCTCGATACGAGTCGATCTCATATCTATGAGTCCGAGCATCTGCTGCCAAAGATCGCATGATGGCTATAGAGAGCATGTCGTTTCGATCATGCTTCCGGAACGAGATACTGGAGATCTCGCGGCTGAGCCACGGTGAGACAAGGAACGCGGCGGACAGGGGCTCGGTCAGTGAGATACGGCTGGCTTCGGGATGAGGCTCGATGATGTGGTGAAGAAGCTGCATTGCCACGTTGCCACCAGCAGAGTCACCGCCTACAGCAATATCCCTGGGCTCGAATCCCGCCTTGAGAAGCTCGGACAGCGCGAATGCGGCCTGACGGAGCTGCACAGGAGCCTTTGCAGCCGGGGCAAGAGAATACTGCAGAAATGCCACGGCCACCTCGGTGTCCATTTCGACCCCGGAGAGGACAAATGCATTCCACGCACATTCAAAGTGCCCGGGCTGGCCCGGCATGACATAGCCTCCACCATGGAAGTAGAGCACTACCTTTCGGGCTTTGTGGCGGTTGCCAAGCCAGAGGATACTCGAGTTCACCTCGGGTAGAGGTTGTATATCACATCGGAGTCGCTCTTTCAGGCTTGGGTCCTTGACAAGGCTCTCCTTTCGTCGGATCCATGCTCTGTACACCTCCTCGGTAGGTGGAAGCAAGGTCTGGATCTCGCGAGCCGTAAAAGTGCCCAAGAGGACCCTGACTCCAGCGTTCAGTAGATAGATAGGGATGTTCAGGTTGTTTCGGAGGGCGTGTAGGAGGAACCGTGCAGCGACGATTGCGAGCACCCAGGGAGCTATGTCCAACATCTCTTGTCAGTCGAAACTCCATCAACAACCCGCATCATTCATTCTTCGAATCGCCAGACTGCCCACATGAACTTACCCACAAACAGCAAAACGCAAATCAACCTGATTTTCTCGCAAAAGGATAGGCGAGGCTTCATAGAGTTGGCCTGTGGTGTGTTGGCAGAATCCGTCTACCTGTCAGCTACCTATGTGCCAAAGACATACCTTGCTATGCGATTGGAAAGCAAAGGATGGGGCTGTTCTTTCTCACCATCGGAAATGAAGGCGGCGGTCGATTTGTGTCGATTTGTGCTCAACCTACACCACCAGGAGACTGTTCAAAGGTAGTACTACTTCACCAAATTCATGAACCGTGTCACGCGAACAAGGCTCAGGCAGGGCCGAGCAGTGGTGAGTCGGGCCATCTATTTATAACCATCGCCTTGCCCTCTCTTTTGCTTGTTTTCCAATGATGCAGTTTGCGTCTGTCGTTACACCGAATCTCCTGCAAGGGATCTGATCTGGACTCTTCTGTCTCAGTTTCTTCACATTCAGCTGCCTGTTTTCATCATCCTGCATCCAACAGGCTTTTTTTTCTTCTTCCCTAGGCATGTAGGGTTACCTCGCATGGACGGCTGTTGCCGCCGCCCCCGCCCCCAGGCTCTTCGATAATTCCGCACATTAAATGAGCGCAACCACACGCATCTCGAGTATGTACTTTGCGACGATGAATGTGACACTCCAAGTCTGCTGGAGGCAATTGAAGCAATACTGACTGAGCTTGCCATGCATGATCTGGTGGCGAGTGGGGATTATGCATCAGGCTCGGCTATATCACACGGCCGAAGTGGATGCGAAGATCATACATAAAGTAGAGTAGCATCTAGGCAACAGGGGGTAATCACTCTGTACTGTAATACTTGAAAAGTAGGTAAATCAGCATGCTGCGGAGAGCAGTCGACAATACAGTTTGGTGTGTATTGCTGAGTACGTCTCGCTTAACAACTCCAAGACTGTTGTGGAATGGCCCCTATGTTTGCCAAAGGGCCGCCAGACACGTACACCGACTCATGCAACCAGCGATTCGTGGTATCACCATGGTTGCATGGGTATGTGGCCTTAAAAAGCGGCATGATGTGGGCTTTTTGGGCGATATCAAATCCACTGAGCCCCAGCATATGTATATAAGGTATATAAAGGAGCAACAGTTTGTAGCCCCTGATTTTTATCAGGAATAACAACGCCAACGAAAACATCCAAGAAGCCAGAGTGTATCAACTGCATCAAGCTGGGCCGCATCCAACTACATCGTCAGTCACATCCATTCAGTTGAGCATCATGTTCAGCTCACGAGAGGGGGTAACCCTCGACTCTGTAGCTGCTCCTCTGCGGCGTTGGCTCCTCAATCCCGTGATCTCAGTACCGGCAGCTCTCGTCTTGTCAGGCTTGGGATGGACCAATCCCAACCCAAACACCGTCAAGGCGCTGGCTCCCGTCTATCTCGCCACCTTGGCCGGCGTTCTTCTGTCTCTCAACGAGTACCTGGACAGGCAATTCGCAAACAACTGGGTGACGGATAAGACCTGGAACTGGAACGAGGAGATTGTCCTGGTCACAGGAGGAAGCACCGGCATCGGTGCCAGCATCTGCAAGCAGCTGTTGGCGCGGAACCCGCGCACCCGAATTATAGTCGTCGACTATGCGCCCCTGAGCTGGAAGCCCGAGCAAGAAGGTGTCCGTCTGTCGTACTACCAATGCGATTTGAGTAAGGCAGACGCCTTGCGGTCGACGTGTGAGCGCATCAAGGCCGAGGTTGGGCATCCGACGGTGGTCTTCAACAATGCAGGCTTGGTTCGCGGTGCCACCATCATGGAAGGGTCGTATGGCGACGTCGAGGCGACGGTGAGGACCAACCTCATTGCCCCGATGCTGATTATCAAGGAGTTCCTCCCAGAGATGGTCAAGAGGGACCACGGCCATATCCTTCACACGGGCAGCTTGAGCTACCTGACGCCGCCAGCCCTGATTACGGATTATGCGGCGACAAAGGCGGGATTGCTGGCATTGCACGAAGTGAGTCAAACTTGAGATCCCTTGAGATGTGACGAGATTTGAGCATGAGCATACACCAGTATACAGCCCTGTGCATGTCATGTTGGAGGAAGAGTCTGGAAATTGTTCGACTGACGTTGATACAAATTGTAGGGCCTTCAACTCGAGCTCAAGCACATCCACAAGGCACCGCGTGTGCGTCTGTCCCTGGGCATCTTCTGCTTCATCCGTACACCCCTCGTCAGCGGCCATACAAATGTGCCCAACTTCCTTTTGCCGTTCCTACACGTCGACACTGTAGGCGAGGCCATGGTAGATGCGGTGTATAGCGGCTATGGGTCAACCATTTATCTGCCTGGCCTCAACAGGGTAGCAGCAACATTGGTGAGCTTCCTTCCCTTCTTCACCCGTTGTTGTCGTTGTCGGAGAGCAGTTAAAGCTGACATCGTGATTCTGTTTTCTTTTTCGTGCTTTGTAGAAAGGAGGACCCGAATGGTTCTTCCGAATCATACGAGAGAGCACGGTCAACTTCCGAATCAACTTCCACGGCCGCCAAGAAGTCGACAAGGAAACGGGCAAACTGCAAAAGGCGTAGGTGGATACATAACGCCAACATCTGCTTCGGCATATCGATCCGAAATAGACAAAGAGCGGGATGCCCACGTGGCGAGAAGGGTGGGAGATGCCCTGAGTTGGTGTGGAGCGGCTGTTACTACATAGGTACATGTATCTTAGGAGGTACCTAGTTCATGCGGACATTCCGTACCTGCAAATACCGATCCTTGTCTCCGTTCAATATCAATGTCGGGCCCAGAAGGATCAAGTTGGTACATGTGGTGTAGCATTCGGTGAGTCAAGGTGTGGTCAGGTATGATGGGCAGACATGTAATGAACAAGGATCATACCTAGTAGGTAGTATGTGATATGAACATGAGCAATGACGAATCTGTGTATGCCATGGGGTTATAAACAGGAGCATTGCCCTCAGACGGGTAAGACTGCTACCATGGGCCAGCCACGTGGGACGGGAGTATTGGAGTCTATGATGTCTCTCAAATCCAGTGTCAGTTTGTTCAACGGGCGGCTTGCTGCTGCTGAGAAGCTTGTCGTGAGAGACGCCGTGTCCTAACGCAACGCTACCATCAGATATCTTTACGCAGCAGAATATCAGCCCTTGAGTGGGGTTCTGGGTGCTTCCCTGCCCTGTGAGGGTGATGAAGCCCGAGAACGCTCCTCTTCTCCGTACAGTACTGCTTCCAGCTTTTTTATGCTGGGTTCAACCCGTCAACAAAAGATAGCTCCTCGATATCACAAAAGATCAGAGAAAAGGCTGAATAGGAGCACGTGTCTAATACTGTCCGGGAATTAGTATGATTGTCGATTTCAGAAGGTGACAAGCTCTTTGCATAAGATCCTGCTGCTACTTTCGGTCGATCTGCTTTGAGCATGTGCTTATCTTCTTGTTGACACCGTGCAGACGTTGAGCTTTGCGCAGTGATTGTACAGTGTCTGGTTGGTTTCTTCACACATCCCCTTGGCATCGCTTCGGCAATAATTCGCCGGATTCTCTCCACCAAAAAGCATCACATGTGCCAACACCCTCTTTGTATTGGCTGTCGACGGCTTGCCTTTTCTCTCGAACATCTCTGGAAGAGACAAAAGTTCACGTTGGTCCCGATCTAAGATGGGAGAGACATGCCAAGGGAGGCAAAATATGCTGTATCTGGACTCCCAAGTCTCCTTCGATGGTGACCAAAATGGAAGGCAATCAGCCCGAGGGCACGGTAGGTTGTCGTGTATATATTCTCTGGAATCATCCCGGCGCCTGCTTTGGAGCTAATGGTCGACTTGCTGAATATTTGACAAGGCCCAACGTATCGGCTGTTGCTATCGGGCTACGAATCAACTCGGCGTCAAGACGTTTGCTATCTGCTGCTCTAACCCGGAACGCCTCATCAATTCGGTACATGCAGAATGGCTGCCGAGCCCAGCCAGACGGAAAAGTCGCCTGTTGAGGTGGCGACTGTGGGAGACGGCGAGAATGGTGCTGTCGTCGTTGCGAATGACTCGGCCAAGAAGCGACAGTCCTTGTCGGACATCTTCACCATCGTACGTCCCGATTGTCACCACAGGCATCTGAATCTGAACAAAGAGACAATAGAGGCTTCACTCGTGTTAGAGACGTTGAGACGAGAGTGCAATGCTGACAGAGCGGCTCCATTGCTTCAAACCAGATCGCAGCCGGCGCCGCCCTCGTCTCGGATGGCTACCAGAACAACCTCATGACCATGTCCAACGTCCTCTTCAAGAAGGAATATCCCGCCCAGTACACCTCGACCGTCAGCACTCGAGTGTCTAATTCTCTCCTGGTCGGAGCCATCCTCGGCCAGGTCACGGTAGGCTTGACGTGCGACTATCTGGGACGCAAGACGGCTATTGTGGTCACGACGCTCCTCATCGTCATTGGCGGCATACTGGCCACTGCCGCCCATGGAGTCACAATCGACGGCATGTTTTGGATGCTGACGATTGCACGAGGCATTGTGGGATTCGGTGTTGGTAAGAAGCTTCTCTTCTCTCGTTGGGGCTGGGCATGCCATCATACATAGGCATGTCACGTCAGAATAGCAGACTAACGGAAGCTCTTGACGACGCAAAGGCGGCGAGTATCCGGCTGCAAGCACATCGTCTTCTGAAGCAGCCAACGAGCACGCTCTGGACAGACGAGGCCCGATCTTCATCCTCGTCACGAACTTGCCTCTCTCCTTTGGTGGTCCCCTCGCCGTTTCCATCTTCCTCATTGTGCTGTCTGCCGCTGGCCAGGAGCATCTGTCGACGGTGTGGAGGGTGTGCTTTGGCATCGGCATTCTTCTCCCGCTATCGGTGTTCTACTTCCGCCTCAAGATGCTCAACTCCAAGCTGTACCGCAAGAGCGCCATCCGGCACAATGTGCCATACGGCCTAGCCCTGAGATACTACTGGAAGACCCTGATTGGTACTTGCGGTGCCTGGTTCCTGTACGACTTCGTCACCTTCCCCAACGGCGTCTTCTCCGGCACGATCCTCTCGTCCGTCGTCGATGCCAACGACACGCTTCGCAGCACTGCGGAGTGGCAGCTGTTGCTGGGGGCCATTGCCCTCCCTGGCGTCTTCCTCGGCGCGTTTCTGTGCGACAGGATCGGCAGACGCAATGTCATGATGATTGGCTTCTGCGGGTATCTCGTCTTTGGCCTCATCATTGGGTGTGCCTACGACAAGATCACAAAGATCACGCCCCTCTTCGTCATCTTCTATGGCCTGATGCAGAGCTCCGGCAACTTTGGTCCGGGAGACATGCTGGGCCTTTTGTCCTCGGAGAGCTACGCCACCAGCGTCAGAGGCACTTTCTACGGCCTCAGCGCCGCGTTGGGCAAGACGGGAGCTGCCGTGGGCACGCAAGCGTTCACGCCTATACAAAGCAACCTGGGCAAGCAGTGGACATTTATCATCGCCGCCATCTGCGGCGTTGTGGGGGTTCTGGTGACATACTTCTTTGTGCCCAATGTGACGGGCGAGGATCTCGCCGTGCAAGACGACAAGTTCAAGGCTTACTTGCTGGAGCACGGATGGAGCGGGGAGATGGGTCTCAAGGACGACAAGGAGCCGACTGTGGAGGAGGACGAGGAAGTGGCCTTGCCGGCTGTTGATGAGAAAAGTGTCCGGGTATGAGTGCGGAAGGGGAACACCGAGCGAATACAGTCGCAATCCGACTCACGTCGGCCGCTCACTTTGCTTCCCCTTGAAACATGTGACGGGGATGAACGCAGCCGCCTTCCCAGTCGCCGATCAACAAGGGTATGAACACGAGACTTAGTAGTCACATGGACTTGACATGCATTATACTCCTCCCGGGGCAGCAAGTACTGCATCTGAAAGGATTGCCTACAGCTGGTTTGCCTTTCTGGATTCGACCATACACCTGTAAGGGAGGACCATGAATACATAATACTATTACTACAAGTACTACTGCATTGAAGCACAGATAGACTTACTCAGAGAGTAAGATTGCTATGATCCTAGTAGAGAGCTTATCTTGTACCGTATCACCTTGGCTGAGTTGGGGCAGAGTCCAACTGCGCGTAGCACAGCCGTGGCCTTGATGAGGCAGCTGTCCATGCCCTCGTCTGCACAAAGTAATACCTGACAGAGCTGAGGTGATGCTGAAATGGGAGAAGACTTCTTCAGCTGCGCCATGCTAAAACCAAGGGATATCCGGGGCGGCAATTTCCCTCCCTTGTCTGGGCGTTTGTTTGCTTCACACAGACAATATCGTCCCATGGTCCCGTTTTTTTGCGGATTATTCTGCAGTTGAGAAGCATCCTGATAGGTAATCTGAATCTACTGCCTTACGTCCGAACGGTTTGTACCGACATATCTTTACCGTGAACATATTCAGGTCCTGAGGTATAATATTTGTGCCTATCGTGAGTTCCCGGTTCACACTCGAACCCTTGGACGCACATGCGGAGACCACGGAAGGATGTATTACCAGACGCCTATCGAAGCCACCGCGTCTTTGACCTTGTTCGTGCACAAGAAACACCCTGGCGGACCACAAGACTTATCTATGAAATGCAGTGCCATGTCGTGAATATCTGCAAGGACGGCTAGCTGTGAATGAGAATATGATGACACTCGTCCGTCCCTAGATAAGGCGTCAGGCAGGCAAAGGGGCAGCAGCCTTTCGTACGGCCTCCCTCTGTGCTCCCCCCAGCCGCTCTGGGTGTGATGGATGAGTAGGTGCCCATCACTTTGTCTGCTGCAGCTGCCAAGGAATGCTTTGCCTCCCTGATGCCATAACCAAGAACCCTCAAAGTCCATGACGCTCTCGTACATGCCTGTAGCACAGAGTACTACACTCGGTGACAGCATCCTCGTTTGTTCGCTGTGCTTACTCGGACAGTATGTACAGGATGCTTTGTCTCAGAGGAATAGACGCCGGCAGGATTATCATACAGTAGCTTAAATCTCTACTAGTCTGTCCTGTGTGTCGACATGATGCGCGCAAAATGGATCGATCGGCCTCCGCAGCCAAGGGCCGTGCCGCTTTTGTTTGGTGACCTGGCCAACCACGGGTGGATGCAACTCCATGGCGAATCAAAGCACTCTATTTGTTCCGACGGAATCGACGGAACAGACGCCGCCAATGCAATGCTGCTGCTGCCACTTGCTTCCTCCTCTTCCTCTCCAGCCAATGGCTCCGACTTTGACCTGACCGGTGAGCTGGGGGCTGCGATAAAAATACTGACATACCGCGGCAAGGGGCCCGCCGGGAGAGCATGAAGCAGCTCTGAGCCGACTGGGGCACGTCTGAGCTCTTATTATTCTCCGCAGATTGATTACCTGCAGTGGGCATGGGGGAGTGCTGTTGCGTTGCTTTCGGGGCGGAGACCTCACGACTCGCAAGAGGCCAACGCAATCACCACAACGTTGAAGTACCGAGCCATATCGCCTCATCCCGACGTGTCTGCTGCCCTTTGCTATGCGGAAAGTAGGGATCGATTGAGGGTCGACGTGATGGGGATAATCAACCATGCCGGCGCTTAGATCCACGGCCGAGGCATCATGGAAAAGAGGGGGATGGGGGCGAGGAGGGAAGGGTGACCATGCAACAATGCTTGATTTTTTTTTTTTTTTTTTTTGTCTTGTTGCCGCGCATCATGGAGACACAAGGCAGTGACTCCTGTTATCTTGCTGTATTCGTACGAGGTCCATCCCTACCTTACTTACGTATCGGGTGTGATTGAGAATGGAATTTACATATTTAAACGATGTGGAATCTCCATTGGAGTTCAGTCTGGCTCTCAGCAAGAGGCGGTGATTGCTTCATCCTCTCCCATCGATAGCCTACATACACGTACCTCACCTAATCCAGCGGCATCCAGGTCTCTACTTGCAGGCTCTTGGATTGTCATCAGACTTCTAAGTCATCTATTGCATACCTACCTAAGTACTTTCTCATCTATGAGATAAAATGGCGAGCGACAAAGTCACATACAGCCAGTTTGCCTGCATCGGCACTGGCTTTTCCGGAATAGCCCTGGGATGCACCATCAAGAGGTGGTATGGAATATGCGATATTCGCTTCTTTGAGAAAAACAGCGATCTAGGCGGCACCTGGTTCGTCAACCAGTATCCAGGTACCTCTCAGCTCTAATCCCGCTTTCTCTTCCCTCTCTCTGCCCTTGGCTCTAATGCTTTGCCAGGGTGTGCTTGCGATGTTCCGAGCCTTCTCTACAGCTTCTCCTTTGCCCCGAACCCGGAGTGGTCCAAAGTGCTGCCCTCCAAGGACGAGCTTTGGAACTATCTCAGCAGAGTCTGCGACCAGTACGGTCTTCGTGACAAGATGTCCTTCAACTCCACCGTTGAGAGGTGCGAATGGATTGAACAAACGGCTCGATGGCGCATCACTGTCCGGGACACAGCCTCCAACACCACTTTCACCCACGAATGCCAGTTTCTCTACGCTGGCTCTGGCCTCTTGGTTTATCCTCGCAAGGCAGATCTACCAAACATCGAAAGCTTCAACGGCCCCGTCTTCCACGCCTCCCAATGGCGCCACGATGTCGACCTGACAGACAAGAATGTCGTCGTCGTAGGCAATGGTTGTTCGGCTTCGCAGATTGTCCCGGCCATCAAAGATCAGGTGAAGCACGTCACACAGTTCGCAAGATCCAAACACTGGATCGTTCCCGATGTCAAAGTCCCCCACACAAAGGTGTTCCAGTGGCTGTTTATGCATATTCCAGGAGTCATGGCCTTGGGCCGCTTTGCCGTTTTCTTGTTCATGGAAAATAGTGCAAGGGCATTCGGAATGGATAAGGCTTCTGCCGCCTATCGCCGTCAAGTGACTGCCGAGGCGGAGCAATTCATCAAGGATAATGCCCCTGAAAAGTACCATGACATGCTGATTCCCGACTTTGAACTCGGCTGCAAGAGGCGCATCTTCGACCCAGGATATCTGGGGAGCCTGCACTCCGATAGGGTCACGCTTCGGGACGATCCCATCCAGGAGGTGACGCCCCACGGCATTCGCTCAAAAAATGGCTTCACTGAGGCCGACGTCATTGTGCTGGCCACTGGCTTTGAGACAAATACATTCTGCACAGGCATCGACATTGTTGGTCGTGGAGGGGTGACGGCAGAGGAGCATTGGAAGTCTCTCGGCGGGCCTGGAGCATACAACTCGACCAACATCTCAGGCTTCCCGAACTTCTTCCTCTTGTTAGGTGAGGCATCGTCATCCTCCATTACTCATTCTCCGGGAGGTTCTAACGTGTGACAGGCCCCAACACAGCGACGGGCCACACGTCAACCGTCATGGCCATCGAGAACGGCGTCAACTACTCCCTCCGGCTTATTGAGCCCATCCTGCAGGGGAAGGCCACGGCTGTCGACGTCAAGCTCGACGCGGAGAAGTCATACACGAGCCAGATCCAGACAGCTCTCCAGGATACGGTGTGGCTTTCCGGGTGCAACAACTGGTACAACCGAACGCAGGACGGAACAGTGCGCAACGCCATGGTCTATCCTTATTCGCAGGCCTACTTCTGGTATCGGTGCCTGTTCCCGGTTTACGACGATTTCGAATACGATGTGAGTTGGTCCTGAACTCTCCCCTGTCCTATCAACAACAGCCCCCCCCCCCCCCCCCCCCCCTGTGTGTCTTACACTCGTCGTCTGGTGATGACTGTTTTGCCAACGCATCACTGCAGGTCGCGAAGAACCCGCCACGCAGGGCGACCTGGAGAAAAGCTGTCAAGTACCTCGTCTATGCTGCAGCATCACTATCTAGTCTCGGCTTGATGATCGGTGGGACCAAGAACCAGTGGGATTTGACACGTGTGATGCCTTTTGCAAGAGACCGGGTAGGCGGGTTCGGAAGTGACCTCCTAGCCCGTGTCAAGGTGTAAGACATGTCGCAGACAATCATCAGGCTGAACCAACGCACCACTTCCTATTAGTCCGTAGGTAGTATTACTACATACAACATTACTTCTATGACACTGCCATGAACGCCACCTGCATGTTACCCCTCGGAAGAAAGCACATACGCCGCTCAACCCATCTACTACGGGCCCATGTGTGTTGCAGGGGGCTTCATTTCGCATAAGGCTGGCGGCTATCGGTCCTTGCAAGTTTTACCTTGTCAATGCCCACCCACACAAACCGGACTCTCATATACAGTACCACAAGCTCACAAGCTCATACAACAAGATTACAAGTGCATAAAATTGTGCTCGTGGGGGCGGACGCGCTGACTGGGATTCATTACCCGTAACATCACAGAGAAAAGTCTGGTCCCCAGAGGTATCTTCGTAGAAAAATGCACAGATCAAATCGTACCTAGGTACAAGCCCATCCAGGCAGTGAGACACTCATCACACAGCGTTGGGCGAGAAGTTCCCGGCCGAAGCCTTGTCAGGTCCTGAGATCGGATCGTGGGAGCAAGATCTCAATCACGTACAGGCTACGTGCGGCACCGGGGGGTAATCATTTCTGGAATGATCATCTCTCTCTCTCTCTTCTCTTCTCTCCTTTCTCTTCCCTCTCTCCATCTTTGCTTCTTCTTGTCTCCTCCCTCAACACAGGTGAGACCGGACTAAAGAGAGAGAGAGAGCGAGAGAGCACAGCAAGTTCGGAGTTTCCCCACCCCCCTCCTGGCCTTTACTGCGGACACTACGCATGCATGTCTTATAGTTATTGAGTCGAGATTCGTTTGCCATTCTGGTTTGCGTCCGCCACAGCCTCATCTCCCAGATTATCCTCCGGCCTAGACTACAGTACGAGCTCATAGCTCACGACGTGATGTGCTCGCACTTACCTCCCATAGCAATCTTTCACTCATCTTCCACAAGATGGCTTCCATCCCCGACAGTCCAAGCTCCCAGCCTCTTTATTCACAAGCGGCGCACAAACATGGTGATGCCAATCAGACGGCCTGCACGATACGGCGTGTGCCGGGGCCCCGGGCCAATCACGGAGACGCTTGGTTCCTGTTTGCGTAACACTCGCGGCGAATAGCAGGCCGGCCTCGACAGGGAAAGGGGGGGGGGGCTCCCGGTCGTCTTTGAGCGGAGGAAGATTTTCTGAGACCTGGCACACCGGAGAGCTGAATGTCCTCCGAGCTGCTCCACTGCCTGTGTGCCAAACATTTGGTTGGGCTTGACCGGTCACAGCTGCTGGGCAAGCAAGTGGAGGATGCTCTTGGACAAACTTGCGTCGAGCAGGAAGTACGCCCTCTTAGGTACGCACCATGTTGTAGGTAGGTAGGTACCTTACCTGGCGTGCGTCTATGTGTCTCTCCTCCGCCCATCTCTCTTTCTCTCTCTTTCCCCCCCCTCTTCTCTCTCTTTCCCCCCCCTCTTCTCTCTCTCTCTCCACACTTACGATCCTCACTTACTCACACATGCCTACGTACTTACTCCATACATGTCTCTGATCTTCTCCTCCATGTCTTTTTGCCATAAATAGGGGGCTTTTGGACTGCTTCTGATGCTCCATGGATTCTATCTTCTAACTACCTAGATCTTGATTCCTTTTGCTTCGCTACTGTCAATTCGGTTTCTCTGCCTTGCCAAAGCACCTAACAGATGAATGCCAGCGCTGGCGTGTAAGTCTACAACAGACTTGTTGCGTCACAATCACACATAAGGGACACACACGCACAAGCACACAGACATACAGCATACGCAAGGCAAACGGCATTTGCAACCAAGTCAATCATGGTTCCACATGTCAAGAAGCCCGGGGTCGGTAGCAGTCAAAATCCCAAGACTGCCCGCAAGACATCCAGACCGAAGCCCAAGGCCAACCCTAAGGCCCGTACCAGGAGCAAGATTGCCACTTGCTTGCACTGTCGCCAGCGCCGAGTGATGTGCGACAGCCTCAAACAAATATGCATTGGTTGTAGCAGGGACGTTTTGCTCAGGCTTCAGGCCCAACGTATGGACGTTGACCGTGGCTTTAGCAATGCCGAGTAAGTCGATAGGAGCACAGATCTAGAGACAGACTACTGCTACATATACGATGGTGGTCAGGCATTGTGCTAATACATTGTCATCTAGCTCGGAAAGCTCAGTGCCTGCAGAGATAGAGACATCGGAGCCCATGCAGATCGACTCCGGTAGCGGCAGCAACGACATTGACCAAGTGCCTCACCCTCAGTCGAACCCATATGCACCGCCTACACTCGCGATTGCTCCTGAGACTGGAGGTCAACCGCAGAATGCGGAAGACGCCCGAGCATCAGCCCAAGGAAACATGGTGCCATTCGGCTCTCAGGGCCAGCCGTGGCCCGGAGCGCCACCACCGGGCTTCCTGAGTGGAATCACACCCTGGACACCCATGGACTCGTCGACTTTTACCAGCGTTCAACCATTCATGCTCCCTAATGAACAGATGAACTCCGAGGCGTTGATGGCTTCTACAACAAACACGAAGCCTCCCACTGTCATAAGTCATGAAAGGTTCACGCCCGGTACAGTGAAAATGGACCATCCAACAGCCGTGGATGCTTCGAGAGGGACAACAATGAATACATATATACCAGCAGATGTCAATATTGCGGCGCCTTTTGCGAGGACTACGTCGTCAGTGGTTTCCACAGCTCCCAAGGAGTTGACATCCATGGAATTTTCAGCAGGGACGAAACGGGGAACGAATTATCAGACACCTGTTCCCTCTCAAATATCCATGGCCTCCCAACTTCCAGAGGCTGCTCCAGAGCCTAGGCTCTCTCGCCCATACACGGACACTGAAGCCATGAGCTCTCATTCAACCATGGATCCTTCTTTTGCATCCATATACTCTTCGGATTCCATGTACTTTGCGATGCCCATGGATATACCTGAGACGGTATCTCCCCACGAACTCATGATGATCAACAACCCCAGGGCTCTTCAACCGCCCGTATGCTCCAAAGCAGTTGTCAGCCGACCAGCACTTGTTGATCAGCAAGCAGTCACCAATCAACAATCAATGGTTTCTCCATCAGAAGTGGTTCCTCCATCAGAAGTGGTTCCTCCATCAGAAGTGGTTCCTCCATCAGAAGTGGTTCCTCCATCAGAAGTGGTTCACCCACAAGCGATGATGATGCCACCGGTCTCCAACAGTGTCTCAGCTTCTACAGCTTCTCCTGCAGTCGAAATTGCACCAATGGCTAGAGATCACACATCCCTTACAAGCTCTCCGGCACATGCCTCCACGGGGCCGACAATGGGCAATCCCTCGGCTGCTACAAGCTATCCGGCGCCCATGATCCCATTTACCTTCCAGCGCCCTGCGGCGAGCAAAGTTGGAAAACCCCGGCCAAAGAAGAGTTATTCAACCTCGGCGGCATCGCTTGGAGGTTCCCGAATGAGAAGCCAGGCCTCGGCATCATCGTCCGTCCGGCCGGCCCTCAATCCTCCAGCAACGTTGACGCATCCTTCAAGATACAGACAACCTCCACCAACTGGCGGCCGTGCGTTGGTTAATGTTCCTCCAGCTTATATGGGCTCCTTGGAGGGAACGCAGCTCCCGATAATCTTGGTATCGCCGCCGCCCGGGAATCTTCGAGCAGGTTTACAGCAATCTGTGGGCGCCAACTCTGCCCGTGGTTATAATAGCAGGTATCTGCACCCGCCGCCCATTGTGACTTTTCCTCCACATGCGGCACTCCCCATGCCCATGGGACCGTCGGCTATGGGCCCTTGTGCGGCAAAGATATCCTCAATCCTTCGTTTAGGGGTTGCCGCCCAACATGCCAAGCCTCGGCCCGCAAACGTTGGGGACTATCTTTGCATGATGCAGAGCGAGAGCTTCATTGACGTGAAGAGGCCAAATGGAGCTCCGAAGAGGCTGGATCAGAAGCTCAAAAGAGCATTGCTCACTATGGAGCAGCTCGCAGCGGATCCTTGTTCTTCCACTTCCTCTGCCTCTGTCTCTGTCTCTGTCTCTGCCTCTGTCTCTGCCTCTGTCTCTGCCTCTGCCTCTGCCTCTGCCTCTGCCTCTGCCTCTGCCTCTGCCTCTGCCTCTGCCTCTTCCTCCTCCTCTTCCTCCTCCTCTCCCCCTCCCCCTCCCCCTTTCTTCCTGATCCCTCCTCGCAGCCTGTCCCTCCACCTCCTCACCATGTATCGCCATGAAGTGTACTTCATGTATCCGTTCTTCAACATGTCCATATTCGAGGAGGCCTTGCGTCGGCTCTTTACCGTTTCCCCAATTCCCGGGGTTGTCCCTGCGGATTTTGGTCTCGGCTGCTCAGAGGAGGCGGATGGCACAACGCCCGTCTTTCAGTGCGCACTCTTCGTGATGCTCTGCCACGCAGTCTCCTTCCTGGACCTAGACCAAGAGGACAAGGCAGTTGTTTCCCGCGTCTTCTGGAAATGTGCAAAGCGTTTCATGACGCCAGAGCTCCTCAACAAGGGCAGCTTGGCAGCCGTGCAGACGTTTCTCATCATGGCGATAGCCGTCAACAGCGCCCTCCTCCCAGGAGACCTGAGCAAGATACCTGCTGCGTTGGCATTCCGCATTGCGCAAAGCTTGGGTATTGATAGCGGGCACGACCAGATTCCAATCGCCGCAGCCAGCCCACTTCATGACACCCACAGGCAGGCCTGGTATGGATGTGTGATGATGACACTGTGAGACCTCAACTTTCCTTTCCCCTTGTCTTCTTGGCTTCCCGTTTTGCCTTTCCATTTCAACATCCACTGTGATGCTTTCCTCTTCTAAACTTGAATACTAACGTACAATTCCGTCTTCAGTTTCTCAAAGACCAAAAGATCCAACTTGACCTTGAACTCCAACAACTTCGAGGTTCCGTTATCCCAACATGGGTCTGCACCCAGCAGCGTCGACTTCAGCTTCTTCATCGACTGCGTCGCCCACACTGAACAGTTGGAGAAGTTACTGGCCGCCATACGTCGAGCGCGCGAGCCCGTCTTGAAGACAGGCGCAAGAGATGGCTACAACCGGTTCGACGACATCGTAGCAGAGCTGCGCAGTGATCTCGACCAATTCACCGCGACACTCCCTGAAGCACTCCGATGGGGCGTCTCGGGCCTGCCCAGCGAGCGTGTTTCCCTCGTCGGCCGTGAGTCGCAAAGGATCTTTTCCAATGCCAGGTAAGTCGTCCAGATCCAGCAATTGAAGATTATGATGACCATTTCATTCAGGCCACTAACACATATCCAAAGGTTCATGCACTTGCGAGCCATGCTCTTTCGTCCGATCCTCATGCAGATAGGCCTGAACGACTGCCTCGTGTCTGATGTTTCGGCTGACAACATCGACCCTCGCGTCAAGGGAAAGACCCTCATGTGTGCCATCAATTGTGTCAACACTGCTGTCAACCTCATCCTTCACATGTACCAGAAGTACCTGCTCGATGTCAAGATCAACAGAGAATGGTGGTGGGATCCATACCGTACGCTGGCCTTTGTTCCAGATGATCCATGTCCCTGCAATGATGCATGGGTAGCTGGCTGACTTGCTTTGAACAACAACAGATACGAGCACTGCAGGGCTCATCCTCGTCATGGCTCAAACCTCGGAGTTACTGTGGGCAAGCATCCAGGTGGGTGAAGTCAAGAGGGCTTGGGCAGCTTGTCAGGATATGCTCGGCTACGGCGCCACGAGCAATTATTTCCACCGGGATGCCCTCACGTATCTGTGGGATCTGAATAGCGGCATCTCGGGCTGCCACGTGCTTGAGAACAATCACGATGCCCTGCCGCGTAAGGAAAAGGGCCCTCAGCCCGTGAGCTGGAGTTTTTATCGGACGCCTTATAACCAGTTTTTGAATCCTTGCTCGCCGTTTCTGAGCAACAGCATGGGTCAACGCCAGGGCAACTCTGACGGCAAAGTCATCCCCACGCCGTCGAGGCCGGGCCCGAGTAGAGTTGCATACTCAGCTTCCTCGGGCTCCGGTGCGTTGCCGTCTGCAGGGCCTTCTACTGATGGCTACGCTGAGTCTATCAGCCCGAACAAGGCTCCAGTCACAGCTCCTTCAACGTCTCCTACAGTTGTTTATCCGACGACCACCGGTTCAAGGTCCAAATCGACAAGGTCTCAACAACGGTCGACAACGTCTAAACAACGGTCGACAACGTCTAAACAACGGTCGACAACGTCTCAACAACAGTCTTGCGCAATTTCCTATGTCGCCGCAGCAGCAACAGCAGCCGCTGCTTCTACATCTTTCCCTTCCGCCGGCCCCGGTACAGGTCCGCTGACAGATTCTCTGGGGTTTCCTTCTCATGCTGTCGCCTATCCGTCGTCATTCACTCCAGTTAGCGGTTCTTCTTCTAACATGTCTTCGAGCCCAGACATGATCCCATACACTCCTCCGGGTACCGCTTCGCTTCCCCATTCTGCTGCGTACCACGCGAGTACCGTCCCATATCCAGCTGCTTCAAAGCTGAATATCATCCCCCATGGGGCTGCCTCAAGCCCGAACATGGCCGCCTCTTCACCTGATTGCGGGTTTCCTACGATTCCATTTGTAGACCCCTTGATAGCTTCCTTCGCTCCAGATCCAAGCCTCTACGGGGCATCTTTGGATCCCAGCGGAGCCTTTTGGACAGTCCACTCTGTTGGCAATCAGGAGGCATTCGGCATGGACCCTTCGTCCTCCGGCATGATGCCCGGCCTGCCGCCTTGGGATCCAAACGTGGCCGATCCTGTCAGCTTGGGACATTATATCGACCTTGACACGACACCAATGAACATACAGACTTTGTACCAACAGGATGTCTCTATGGGAGACTATTCAGGGGGGTGGAACCCTCATGACTATCATTTAGGCACCGACAATTGGCAGGGCTGACGATGTCAATTCGAGCTCGACAAATGATGCCCCACGGCAATTGGCCGCCCTTTGGTTGGTGTGTGGACAGGCAAGGTTAGAGAAAGGACAAGGAGAAGCCCCAACTATTCATTTCCGATTGTTAGGTTAAGCATCCATGGTTGCTTGGTATATTGGAGGAGCCATAGCAGATATGCAGGACCAAGCATGGCTGGAGAAATACTAGACACACTTTCGTATATACACATTTGGTATGTTGGCATTCTTAAATGTTCGCTTCTATGTATTCTGTTCATATTCTGGTTTATATAAAGGTCATCGATCTATCGTTTGTTGTACAATTCCAGTGTGGTGCGATCTAGTATCTTCCACCCATCCGTCATGCCCTTAACCCGCTGCGCCCGTGCCATATCTATGCCATGCATTTGCCTTCCCTTCATTGGCACAGCCGGTGCCTTTTCTCTCAATATCTCTGCTTTCCAGTGCCAGACACTAGGAGGACCACGCTGCCCAGCTGCCGCCTCACGTCTTCCTGGTTCACGTCATGGGTATCCTCCACCTCTCCCCACTGCTCAGCCTGCCAATCCACCTCCAGGCTCGTAGCCTTGGCGGCTTGCTCGACGCTGAACCGCCCCAATGGCAGCATTCGGCCAGTGCCCACGGCCCCTTCGCTCCATTCTGCGACGATCCTCGCGGCGGCGACGAAGCTCTTGCCAGCAAGCACCGCTCTCTCCAGTCCGGCAATCTCCCAGGCATCGAGGCCCATGACCCATCCCTGGATGACCTCCCGGACGCCCTCGGGCTGTTTCCTCGGCACGATGGAGTGGCCATCGAGCACAGGTTCTATGGTAATTCCAGGCCACACGTGGGTCGTCAGATAGCTGACCGTCTCCTCCGCAGCCTTCTTCTGGACGTCCCTCAGGCTCTCCCCAGCATCGTTCCTCCTGTCATGGGGTCCCGCCGGAGGGGCCCAACACAGCAGGGAGTCCGTGTCCAGATACCGCAGGACGGTGTTGGTGATGGCTGTGCGAATCTTGGCGGCTTCAGGCCTGTTGGATGCGTCGTCTTCGAGAATGTCGAGAGCGCGGCAGACGAGGCTGGTGAGAGGGATGAGGTGCTGCTTTGTGGCCTGCTGAGCAGACGTCAGAATGTCCCACTCGAGAGCCAGGGCCGAGGCGAGGTTCGGCTTCGAGAGTGGCAGGCGAATAATGGCCTTGGTGTTGGGGTGTCTGAGGGGTCGAGCGTCGAGGTGGACTTGCAATGCGCCTGCCGGAGAAAGTCGGTTATGACACTGATTCTTTTGAAACGAAAGAAGATGGAAAAGAGTTGCAGCAGAACGGTTCCTTGCCGTTGCTGATGAGTACTAACCGTCAACCTCTCGTACGGTGACCTCCTTCCAGAACCTCCTGGCCACAGTCTCCGACTTGCCCTCCTGCGCACTTCGAATCTCCCTGGCCGTCTTGAGCAGCTCTGCATGTTTCCTTCGCCGCTCCAGACGCTCCTGGGCATTTCGGGCAGCTGGCGTTGGGGGGTCGGGAGGCGGTCCAGCGCCGACTATCGGAGCGACATTGGCGGCTCTGGCGATGCTTTGGTGAAAGGGTCGGACAAATTGCAAGCGAGGCACAGCCAGCTGAAGGGGTATTCGCGTAGGAACTTTCATCTCTGTGGCTGGCTAGTTTTTTGTCGATTGATGGTTTGAAAAATGAAGAGCTGGGAAACGAGAGGACGAGAGGGGAAGAGATGGGAAAGCTGTGAGGGGTTTGGTTGGTTGGTTGGCTAACTTGGAAAAGAAGAGAATTTCCAGATGGAGGAGGAGGCTCGAATGAGTTTTAGCTGCGAAAAGAAGCGAATGATGTCAGCCCTTTTAGGGGTTAGTTGGTGTACACTTGGGCAAAGAGGCAGTCGGTGAGCCTCTTTCACCGAGGGGCTGGTGGGGCAATTGTTGAATAAGAACTTGGAACCTCTATGGCGCTACCATAGGTACGTTTTACTTGCTTCTTTTGCAACCCAGCACCATGTTGATGGGATCTTTCATGAAGAAAATAAGGATTGTTGAAGTACTTACAAACTCATGATATACTGCTCTATATATAGAATTTCTTCAAGCAAGTCATGAAGCAGTGGAATGGCAATTGAAGCAGCGGCATGCGAGGTACCTCCCAATTGCTGATCAAGCGCCAAAGGGTCCAAGCGGGCCAAAAGCCTCAGGTTCCTGCTTCCACGAGTGCCTTAGTACCTAGTACTCACCTTACATTGTACTGTACACTCTACAGCTCAGTCCTCGACCATCCGATCCCCTTGACATCACAGCAAGACATTCGAGAGCAATCTTTCTGACTATCACATATCTCTACCAATTTATATCAACTCAAACAGAGCCACAAACCTTTTGCATTCTGACACCCCCCAACTCCTTCTGCGAGGCACCAGACGGACCATCCTCGGCAGGCCGCTCTCCCATCACGTGACCCTACACGACCGTCTCCGCCATCCCTGAGCGTAGCCTTACCTTACCTTAACGTGTCTACTACCTATCGCCTTAACCTGGTGGTTCTGCTGGGAGCTGAGCCAAAACCGCCAACCGACTCCAATCACCGCCATCCTCCCCTCCCCTCCCGACCAAACCGCCCAATATGAGTTACGGCAAAAAGGACGAGGATGCCGACCTGGGCCTGGTCAAGGTGGACCGCACACAAGTCTTCCAAGAAGGTACCAATTCGCCCGCCCATGCGCCTGCGTCTTCCCTCTCCCACCAGACATCTTGTCCCTCTCGGCCCTCTTATTCCTCTGCTCCCAGTCGTCCCTCTTCCCCCCTTCAGCTCCTCCTCTCACCGTCTGCCAGCCAATGTGGCCGCGCTTGAGTGCTAATCGAAAGGCGCGCAGCTCGACTGTTCAACAGCTCTCCGATCCAGCCTCGACGATGCCGCATTCTCCTGACCAAGATCGCCCTCCTCCTCTACACGGGCGAATCCTTCCCCAAGAACGAAGCCACCACTCTCTTCTTCGGCATCTCGAAGCTGTTTCAGAACAAGGATGCCAGCCTGCGGCAGATGGTCCTCCTCATCATCAAGGAGCTGGCCAACTCGGCCGAGGACATCATCATGGTGACCAGCACCGTCATGAAGGACACCGGCGGCAGCAGCGACGCAATCTACAGGCCCAATGCCATCCGTGCTCTGTGCCGTATTATCGACGTAGGTGGACAATGAATGCTACGTGCTATGGCGCCACCCTCCACCCGCCTTGGCCCCAACTTGCTAACGCTCGAGGCGACACAGGCTACAACGGTCCAGGCCATTGAGCGTGTCATGAAGACCGCCATCGTGGACAAGAACCCTTCCGTCTCTTCTGCCGCGCTTGTTTCATCATACCACCTGCTGCCAATTGCCAGAGACGTTGTGAGGCGATGGCAGAGCGAGACTCAGGAGGCGGCCGCCTCCTCCAAGTCGTCGGGCGGCTTCTCCCTCGGCTTCTCGACGTCCAGCGGCTCTCTGCCCATGAACAGCTCGACAATGGCGCAATACCATGCCATTGGCCTCCTCTACCAGATGCGCTCGCACGACCGCATGGCGCTGGTCAAGATGGTGCAGCAGTTTGGCGCTGCCGGGGCCGTCAAGAGCCCCGCGGCCACGGTGATGCTTGTCCGGCTGGCCGCGCAGCTTGCCGAGGAGGACCCCTCCCTCCGCCGGCCCATGATGCAGCTCCTCGACGGCTGGCTGCGACACAAGAGCGAAATGGTCAATTTCGAGGCCGCAAAGGCCATCTGCGACATGCGCGACGTCACCGACGCCGAGGTCAACCAGGCCGTCCACGTTCTGCAGCTGTTCCTCACCTCGCCCCGCGCCGTCACCAAGTTTGCCGCCCTGCGCATCCTCCACAGCTTCGCCTCCTTCAACCCCACCGCCGTCAGCGTCTGCAACACGGACATTGAGCTGCTCATCTCAAACTCCAACCGGTCCATTGCCACCTTTGCCATCACGACCCTGCTCAAGACGGGCAACGAGGCCAGCGTCGACAGGCTGATGAAGCAGATCTCGGGCTTCATGTCCGAAATCACCGACGAGTTCAAGATCACCATCGTCGAGGCCATCCGCACCCTGTGCCTCAAGTTCCCCAGCAAGCAGGCGGGCATGCTGACATTCCTCAGCGGCATCCTGCGGGACGAGGGAGGCTACGAGTTCAAGCGCGCCGTTGTGGAGAGCATGTTCGACCTCATCAAGTTCGTCCCCGACTCCAAGGAGGACGCTCTCGCGCATCTGTGCGAGTTCATTGAGGACTGCGAATTCACCAAGCTGGCTGTCCGCATCTTGCACCTCATCGGCCTCGAAGGTCCCAAGACGGCCCAGCCCACCAAGTACATCCGCTACATCTACAACCGCGTCGTTCTCGAGAACGCCATTGTCCGCGCCGCCGCTGTTACCGCTCTTGCCAAGTTTGGTGTTGGCCAGAAGGATCCAGACGTCAAGAGTAGCGTCAAGGTCCTGCTTACGCGCTGTCTGGACGACGTCGATGACGAGGTGCGAGATCGAGCTGCCCTGAACCTCAAGCTGATGGCCGAGGAGGATGACGAGCTGGCTCGTAACTTTGTCAAGAATGGTGAGTTCAATTTTACTATACCTCTTAAATGCACACACCCCGCTCCTTGCTGACAGATTTGCCCATTCGCAGACAACATGTTCTCGCTCCCCTTCTTCGAGCACCAGCTCGTGCTGTACGTCACGTCGGACGACAAGTCCACGTTTGAGGAGCCGTTCGACATCTCCAAGATCCCGGTGGTCACCCGAGAACAGGCAGATGCCGAAGACAGGACCAAGAAGCTTACCGCTACAACGCCCACGCTGAAGGCGCCAAAGGCCGGCCCGACCAAGACGCCAGCAAGCGGCGCGGAGGCTGCCGCAAGTGCCAGCGCCCAGGCTCAGCGGTACGCCCAGGAGCTCATGCAGATTCCCGAGATGAAGGAGTTTGGCAGCGTTGTCAAGTCGTCGCCTGTTGTTGAGCTCACCGAGGCCGAGACGGAGTACGTCGTCAGCGTGGTGAAGCACATCTTCAACGAGCACATTGTGCTGCAATACGAGGTGAAGAACACCCTCCCCGACACAGTGCTAGAGAACGTGTCAGTGGTGGCAACGCCTTCGGACGAGGAGGAGCTGGAGGAGGTGTTCATCATCCAGGCCGAGAAGCTGGCCACCAACGAGCCGGGCAATGTTTACGTGGCATTCAGGAAGGTCAACGGACAGGCGTCATTGCCCGTCTCGACCTTTTCCAACGTGCTCAAGTTCACCAGCAAGGAGATTGACCCGTCAACGGGCGAACCCGAGGAGACGGGCTACGACGATGAGTATGAGGTGTCCGAGTTTGACCTCAGCGGCAGCGACTACGTCATCCCCACATATGCCAGCAACTTCAACCATCTCTGGGAGCAGGTTGGCGCCTCAGGGGAGGAGGCGGAGGAGACGCTGCAGCTGAGCAGCATGAAGAGCATAGCCGGTAAGCACCATCCTAGCCCTTTATTTCCATTCTCTAAGCAGACACCACATTTATCTTTCTGCATCATTTCACTTTGGCTAATCGAAGAGGCAAACAGAGGCAACGGAGCAGCTGGCCAAGATCCTGTCCCTGCAACCCCTCGAAGGGACAGATGTCCCCGTCAACCAGACCACGCACACGCTCAAGCTGTTGGGCAAGACGGTCAACGGCGGCAGAGTGGTTGCGAACATTCGCATGGCATTCTCGTCAAAATCCGGCGTGACGACGAAGATCACGGTCCGGGCCGAGGAGGAAGGCGTGGCGGCTCTTGTGGTTGCATCTGTGGCATAAATGTAGGGAAGCAGGCGTTGAGGGTCATAATGTATCGGTGGTTAGACAAACGTCTCTGTCAATTCTTTCTTTCGCATTCTTTTTTCGTTGTTCTTTTCCCGTTTATTCTTCTCAGCCTTCGAGTGGCGGACGGCAAGCAAAAATATCTCGTTTATCTTGAAACACATTGTAGGGAAATGGAGTGATGATGATGAACATGATGATGATGATGATGACTGCGGTTATCCGCTGATGTGGTCAATTATTTGTCAGCCTTTTTTTTTTTTTTTTTTTTTCGGACAACAGATTCGCACGGTTAATAGAGCAACATCCAAGAATTTGGCACCTCCTCGAGGTCAGCTCACAAGTGCGTCTTGCTCATCCAGGGCTATCCGGGGTAAGACGGTGACATGGAAGCTGACTGACTGCTGTAAGCTGTCGGGAGCAGCTGTACATACATAGCCTTCTAATGTGTGCTAATACTAAGCTCACTCGGACTTACACGCAGCTTTGCGTTCATCACGGCATCCTGGGCCGATGGTGCTGTGGAGCCTTTCCTCGCTGGTTGATGATTGAAGATGATCGATCTCGATGAAGGCTTTTGCTATACTATGTAATGCGTCGAGCTCGAGTGACACAGATATGGTGCTTCTCTTTATCGCGTTTTGTTGGGATCGGTCAAAGGAGCATGATTACGTCACCTGACGGCATTTTCAACAATTCTGTCCTCTGCTGCTTCTCTTTGAGCCTCAGTAGGTAGTATAGGTAGTTGTTTGTGAGAGCCGGCGATGAATCACATGAGCCATGTAGGGTAAGTTGAGGCCCAGCGCATGACCCGGATCGAGAAATCGTGGATGGGGTGTATAAGTGAGAGCCAGCGAAGCGCCTCTGCGCCATTTGATGAGGATGAGGATGAGGTGTTGGATGCGGGAGGGCACCGCTTATAGTCAGAGGATTAGCGATACGGAGTAGATGACCGTGGATGTAGAGGTAGTAGGGATAGGTTCCAAGGGCACATATAGCTGGAGCGCCTCCAATTCTACAGGTGCTGTCAAGTCTGAGACGGCGGGGAGCAGCACTGAGCACAAACCTGGGCCCCGGGGCACCGCTAACACCGCTAAAGGATGACCGCTATTGATGCCATGGAGCACCAGGACGCTAAATCGCAGCCCGCCATCAATGTCTCAGCCAAAAACATGTGCCAGATCGCAAGTGGTGGTGGGGTGAGGCTGGGTGACGAAAACAGCCGGGCATGACACACACTGCAATCTCGAATCAAGAAGCTCCTGTCTCTCTAGAAGACAATGAATGAAAGCATACCTCAGAAAGGGAGCAGGGACAAGAGCGCAGATACTCGTAACGACGCGCATAATCTCTCGCAAATCACGGCCAATGCCTCACAAGGCCATGAATGAGGACCACCTGGTACTTGCACAGAGCCGGAGTACATACGCGTAATAATGTGTCTGCATTGCGGCTTTCACGTGCTGGCGCTTTAGACTATCAACATGAGTTTACATGTACTGGCCCCTCCAGTTACCTAGTACCTACCTAGGTAGGTAGTATGGAATCCTTTCCACGAACGGTTCCAAGGTTCCGTAAGGTGTAGCGGGCTAGGTAGGTACCTCTAGAGCTGTTGCACAGTACATTCATGTTGCACCTGCATCTTCCAACGCAGAGCTTCGCAATCAATTCAGTTCCAGCGGCATCTGGCGCCCGCTGCGACATTGACGAGATTTGGTAGGCGTAATAATACCCCATAGGTCCTAAGGCACCAGACAGTTATAGTAGACCGGGGGGGTGCGTCAGGCACACGCACAGCGGGCTGGACGGGGCTGAATCCGGCCATGCGTACCCCGTACGCCGCAGTACTTGTGGCGACGCGCCACCCAGGTACAGTGCAGCGCTCCGCTAGCAGCCCCCCGGCGCAGACGGAGCCCCTCAGCGTTAGCACGACGTGGCGCTGGAGAAGCAGGACCCCAGCTGTGCGTCGAGCTCGAGTAGCGGTACAGCGAGCACGGAGCGCGGCTAGGCGGCCAAGGCCACGGGCAATCTCCCTGGGCACAGGCATTCCCTCCTATCGTGTCTTTTCCGCTCGACCAGTGCTCTCTCGGAGTACCTGACCTTACCTTACCTTACCTTACCTAGACCTTAGCCAACCAACCACCAACAAGGCAAAGCAAAAGAGAGAGAGAGGGAGAAAGGAAAAAGAAGGCCACCTTGCCCGGGGCTCCCTCTTGAAATCTCCCCTTCATCTCGCCTCGCTCTTCCGTCGAGCAGAGTGAAGAAACACACACCGAAGAAAGCGACGGCTCTCTCGCTGGCGCCATGAACGCCATCCAGCAGAAATGCCGCCCGAAGCATCAGGTCCTGGTGCTCAAGTGCTATCCGCGCACGACCAAGGGAGCAGTCGACGTCAAGCCCAACAGCAGCGAGCTGAGCTATCTGCTCTACTACGCGACCAGCCGCCGGTCCAAGATCCAGAAGATTGGCGCCTTTCTGGAGAAGAAGACGGCCAGCGATGTCTGGCGATTGCGCATTGGGTACGTGCCTCTTCGTCTCTGCCCGGGCCTTGCCGGGGCTTCCGCCTACAAGCCCCTCGGTGGCGACCATGACAGGCTGTGATGCCGGCCATGGTGTTGAGCCTTGTCCAGAGTGTTTCCAAGGTGCTGACCGCGGCGGCATTGCCCGCGCCTCTCGTGCAGTAACGTACAGGTGACGCTCGGCATCCTCGCCGCCCTGGTCGAAAAATCGCCCAAGGATGCTGTCCTCATCGCGCCGTGCATCCTCAAGATCCTCGAGCTCATCCTCCGCTCCAACGACATCACCATGATCGAGTCCTCGCTTCCGACCTGGGAGGCCTTCTGCGAGCATCACGATGCCTCCTCCCTCTTCGCCGACCAAGCGTACCTCAGCCACTACGTGTCCGTCGTCCGGTCCTACGCGCAGCTCGCGTCGACTCGAAACTCGCCGAACCCAGCCGCCTCGAGCCGGCCGGTCCAGATGCGGTGGAGGAATGCCGGGCTGGGTGCCATCCGGTGCATATCGACCTCGGATGCCCTGTCCTCGGTCAGCGGACGCCAGATCGACGTCATTGTGCCCATGATCCTGGAGAACCTGTGGACGGACGACGAGGCGCTGCTGGACGTGCTCCTGGAGCGCGTCGAGGCCGAGGAAAAGGTGGACACGGAGAAGCTCCTGCGGCGAAGGACGAGCGTCGCTACGGTGCAGACGGGCGAGGGCAGCGGCGATGCGAATCCGCTGGCCATCTCGGGAACCGCCATGGACGTGGACAAGATGGCCGAGGAGGACACGGGCGTCCTGGCCCTGCAGTGCCTCAAGAGCATCTTCGTCGTGCCGTCCCGCTCCCAGATCCACTCGGCGACGGCAGCCCTGCTCAAGTTTATCCTGGAGCGCGTCAAGCAGGGAGAAAAGGTGACGGCCGCCGACGCCGCCGAGAACGGCAACGGCAGCGACCGGGGCTGGGCCATCAGCATCTTCAACATCGTCGCCCGCTGGGCCCCCGTGCAGGACCGCTATGTCATCTTGGTCATGGCGCTCGACACTCTGACGCACACCCTCATGAGGGACGACAGCCTGGACCAGCACATCGCCCTGACCGCCATGATCGAGTCGCTGCTGAGGTCCGACGTCAACCTCATCGGCCTCAGCGTCATGGACGTCCTCCTCGGCCTCATCAAGCAGATCAGGAAGCTCTTTACCCTCGCAAACGTCGGCAGCCGAGCCGAGACGCCCAACGACAAGGTGGCGTCGGACAGCGACATGGAGCAGAACCTGCACCAGCCGCAGCGCAAGGAGCTCCTGGCGCGGCTCGAGCGGTGCATCGGAGACCTCGCCAGCCACACCTACTATGCCGACCAGGTGTCGGACATGATTGCCGCCATTGTCGGCCGCCTCAAGCCCGGCCGGTCGTCGAGCGCCCCGTCGACGCCGCAGGGCGAGAAGACGGAGGGCACCGAGCAGAGCAACCCCTCGCCTCCCTCGGGCACCGGCACGGCCGACCTCGCCGAGGGCCAGACCAACGGCATGGTCGACGTCTACTTCTCCTACACGCTGGGCCGCATCTCGGCGCTTCGCATCGTCAGCATCATCCTCCACGTCGCCAACCCCAAGGCCAAGGTCAAGACCAACGCCGACCTGGGCCGGAACCGGGTGCCGACGCAGGTCTGGGAAGGCACCCATTGGCTGCTGCGCGATCCCTCGGGCCAGGTGCGGAGGGCCTACATCGACGCCCTGCTCACGTGGCTGGACCTGGAGACGACGCCCATGGATCTGCTGGCCAGGGACGAGGCGCTCGAGCCGCACAAGTCGACTGCGGCCGGCATCCTGGCCGCCGCCAAGAATGCTCGCGACCTGCCCAATGGCCGGCGCGTCGTCTCCAGCGCCTCGAACAAGGACCGCCAGCCGAGGACTCGGCGCTCGCAGTTCCTGCCGCAGCTTCACCTGGCCATCTACGACAACGCGCTGCACTTTGTCGAGTTCGAAAACGACCTTGCCGCGCTGCATACGCTTCTGGCCAAGCTCGTGTCCAAGCTCGGCGTCAACGCTGCTCGCTACGGCGTGCCCATGATCTACCGCCTCCAGGAGGAGATCTTGGCCCTCGACCAGCCCATCCACAAGGTGCGGATCGCGGCCCTGTGCCACGGCTACTTCTGGGCCCTGACCGACAAGTTCGAGTTCGAGGGCTCTGCAGTAGGCAGGGCGATTGGGAACGAGGTTGCCCGGCGAAAGAGCAAAGGCTTCTGGGTGCCGGGCATTCACGTCCCGGCGCTGCCCCTCGACCAGATCGGGCCGCTGGGTCAGGCGTCCCCCCCGCCCTCGTGGGATCTCAGCGCTCTCGAGACGGAAGAGCTGTTGCCCTTTGACGACCGGGTCGCTCTGATCCAGTGCATCGCCGTGGGCTACGAGGAGAGCACCTCGTTTCCGCCAAACAGCCCGTCTGCCTCGCCGGGCCGGACGCTCTCCGGCCCCATCCTCAACACCCCCATGAGCCCCGGGTCCTCCTCCGCGGCGGTTGCCCCGGACAGGGCCCTGGAGCTTCCGGACGCCTACCGCGATGAGATGCTGACGGAGTGGTCCAGAGAGCAGGTGGCCGCCGCCCTGGCCGCCGAGGGCAAGACGGAGTCTATCAACGGCTCGCGGACGGGCACTGTGGCTACCGGCCTCAGGAACCTGACCATTGGCACCGGCACCGGCACCGGCACTGCCGTCAATGGCAACAACGGCTATCTGCCGTACTCCCCATACGGCAGTCAGCATAACCTGCGACCGCGCTCGTCTCAGACGCACATGATGGCGGACCAGCTACACCTCGGAGCCCTTGGACCCTCGCCCAGGTTCCGGCAGGGCAGCATCCGAAGCGGCATCTCGCAGACGATATCATCGTCGAGCAAGGCCGGCGTCCCCTCGGTGGAACAGCTCAAGCGTGTGCTCTCCGGCAACGTATCCCCCAACGCCTTTGGTTCCGAAGACGACAGCGGCGAGAGCATGGTGAGCTACGAGGAAGACCCGTCAGAGAAGAGCTTCAGCCCGACCGGTACGGACTCGGACCGGCCCACCACCTCAGCCGACGGCTTCAGCAGGAGGTCGAGGTCCGGCAGCTCTGGCGCCCCGCTTAGCTCCGGCTCGAACCGCGACAGCTTGCCGAGACTCCATCTCGATGGCGATCGCGAAGAAGGAGGCGGGCTGGGCATGAGCATCCCTCCCGTGCCCCCTCTCCCCAGCCTCAGCGTCCTCTCGGAAAAGGGAGGACCGCTGAATGGAGGAGGAGGAGGAGGTATCGCCGTTCAGGATTATGGCGCAAAGGCTTCGACCAGGCATACTAATAGCCGGGGAGGCGACAGTATCGCTGCCCGGTCCCTCTTTGGTAGCCATGATGATGGCGGCAGGACGATGGACCTTCAAGAGCTCCTCAGAGGCATTGACAGCCATCCCAACGAGGGTAGCTTGGGCAATCTGACCCGCCCTCCCTATTGATGTGACACGAGTACGCGACATTTTGTTGGGCTTTCAGATGCTTCCTTCAATCACACATGCATATCCTACACCGAGAGCGTCGACGAAGAGATGACCATGACCTTTGGTAACAAGGAGTAGCCGGGCCAGGCCCCTTTTCACCTTACTCTCACAAGCTTCCACTTCCGTTGCATTATCACCTACCGCAACCTTTGCGCGCACATATACACACCAATCAATCCAAGAATAACAATGCATCTCACCCCTCTCTTCGCATACTTGGATCTATACCCTCTCTCACAAACTCACAAACTCACACAATACATACCTATATCTACCCCCCATCGATCAAACGGCCTCTCATCGTCTGAGTCCATGAAATTCTCCCCTTTTATCAGTCACTTATGGTGATAATGATACTTGTCAGGCGGGAGAACAAGTCTAAATGCAGAGCACGTGAAAGGAGTGTTGCATGAGAAGTTTCGACTCGCGTTCGTTCATCTTGTTAGAAAAGCAAAACACACGCAGAGGGATGAAGAATCACCCGCCAACAGCGGCAAACCTGCATCCCGGAACGAAGAGGTGGAGGCTCACGAACCCCCGTCTACCTCGTCCGGTTTCGAGCCTCGTCGTCCCAGCTCTTGCCATCACTCTTTTATCAACTTCTCTTTCCTTTGGCATCTTCTTTCCATCTTTGAACCCCTCCTCATCGGCAGCGGGTTTGCGTTTTTGAAAATATTCCTTTTGTTCCTCTCATCTGTTTCTCTTTACTGTTTGTCTTTTGCGTTTCTCTTTAATATCGCAATGTACCCTACCTACTAGAAAGGCGGATTAGCCGGTGTTTTAATTTAGAATGAACGGGGTTGAGCCTGGAGAAAAGAAAAAGTACATGTAGTCAAGCCTTGCCATGTCTGCATACCTTTGCGTACCTTTGTTTAATCCCTTTTGTTCTTGTTTTGATTGTTGCGAGTGGCTCTACATGTTGGTGGGCTTGAAGCTGAGAGTTGGTGGGTTGACTTGGCATTGTAAGAGTAGGCAACGAAAACGAGCGGCCTTGATGGCTCGCGATGTCGAAGAGCGGTGACATTATTTGGGCAGATTGAAGCTTAGGTATAGTTGAATGGAGCTATTCTGCAGTCTTCATTGTATCTTCAATTGTATCTTCATACTGGATGCTGGGAGCTGTGCCAGGTGAAACATCATCAAGATATGAGGTAATGAGCTCATCAGGAGGCTATTCGTGAGAACAGGGTAGCTCACAACCCCCAAGTCCACGACGAGCAATATGTATCAGCAATACACCAGAGGGGAAACATGCCATTCTTTGGGCTGTCATCGGGCCAATTCTTGAACAAACTATCTCATATACCTACTCATCACGTAAGGCGTCTTTTGTCTTTTCCTCTCACACAGCTTGAGTCCTGTATCTGCCTATACCTAAGGTAATACTTGAGTCAAGTCCCAAGGCAGTCACGCTGCAATCGTTCTTGCTTCCTCCACACATAGACTGGTACGTGGCATCTCTGTAGTCTTTCTTGACTCAGCCTCACCTCATCTTCGACCTTGCAACCACTTTTCCTTCTCAAGCAACGAAAAGCAAAATTGGCCGCTTGTTCTCATCTCGCCTCTTCGCACAGCCGCCTTCTTCTCGCTAGTATTCGCCTGTGGCAGAATATGCCTATTTGGGGGAAACGTAGTCCAGCAGGGTACAAGTAAGAGAGGTGCACGTATAAAGACAGGCATGTTGGCGCAGTTTCACCTGCAGCATTGGGCGCAGACTACCAGCTAATAATCTCCGCGACAGGGACCTTGGAGCAGGTGGCGGCGTTTCCCCTGTCCTGTTTCGCGACCCCTGGCTCGATCCGAATCAAAAGATGCTGTTCTCGACACCCGTGATCTGTCGTTTGAGGACTCTTCTTGCAGCCTGCTCTTCCTAGCCAAGGGCGCGCGAGCTGAAAAACAAGCTTTGCTGTTTCTTTCCTGGACCTGAATCAAGCACTGACGATGACAGCTCGGTATGATTCAGCTGCTGGAGCGAAGCGGAAGGCGGCTCTGTTGAGGATTGTCTGCCGATGAACAACACCCAAACACAGTACTCCATACTGTCTCCCTCAGTGGTGGCACAAATGGAATATCAAACAAGGCTCGACGCGGCACGTGGAGACAGCAGATAGATAGTCTCATGGCCAGCGTCCATCCTGGGCGACTTAAAGGTCATGATCTTCTCGGTCTTTACGCCTGGGAGGCGCACGGCCGTGTTGCCCACTACGGTAAGCTGCGAGCAGCATTCGTGCAAAGCCCCTGTGGGTGAAGCAGTGGCTGAAGAAGAGATGTGGTTGATAGATTGTTGACAGTTCGAGATATCGCCAGGCACTGCAACTGTGCTCCTTCACCGGAGTCCACCACTGCACAGACAGGCTCGTTACTCGCACACGCACATTCTCCTGCACTGCTGGCATTGCTCGCATTGCTTCACGGCTCCAGAGTGACACCCACATGAGCGTCACTAGACCCACGCCGCGTCGATCCGCTACCCCCCGAGCACAGCCTCGCTCTTGAGCATTCTGGAACAAGCAAGGACAGCTCTTCTAGCCGTCCGCGCGTTTTTTCCCTTCTACCACTCTTCCTAATCTCCCAAACCAACAGTTCTCTCACGCTCTGGCCCTGTAGGGGATCCATCCCTCGTTTCCCGCCAAAGACGATTGCTCGCAGCAACTCGAGTTCTCCATTCGTTTCCTCTTTCCATCTCCTGACACACGCCGACATTCGTTTACGTCACTGGCCTACTGCCATATGCTGGCATAGTGAAGCCGTCGCGAGCTTATCGACTTCCCCCTGATCAGCCAGCCACTCGTTACCTCAACTTTGCACGGCACACACCATCACACACGTTCTCTCCTTACGATTGATAAGTCCGTACTTGTTCACTACACCGAGATTGCCGGCGCTCTGCCTCGTACCGCCAACTCCTTTGCGGTACTTTTCATCACCTTTCATTGCTCGAGTTATACGCTCTCGCCTCCACGACCCCTTCCTTGCCGCCAATATCCATCGCTGAACAAAAGGCCTGCATCACCGGTGGAGTCTTCCTCCAAGGCTCAACCGTTTGCGCTCACTTCTATCTCGCATCCTGCGTGCATCTCGGACCCTTTCCACGTTGCTCGGCTGAATCGAATCCCCTTTTGTCTCGACCGGCCCACGCTTTTACCACGGCTCGGCCCGGGCCATGGACTCATACGATGACGACATCCAACGGCAGCAATACCATCCCTCGCACTCGATTCCCGATGCTGCCTACCCAGACGACTCACCATTCCGGCATCAGCAGCAACAGCAGCAGCATCATTTTCAGGCGCCTTACAGCACTGGCGGGTTCGGCGCGAACACAGTGCATCGTCCCCCAGCCGCAGTGACGCCTCTTTCTTCGCACGCGGGAGGCCCTTCCGGATACCAGCCTCAACATCAACACCAGACTCAGAATCAGGAAGCCTGGCAGCCCTACGACATTCCCAGCAGCCCTCCTCCCCCATATGACCCGAGCCAGGCCCCAGGCGCCTACCAATATCCATCCATTCATGCACCAGCCGTCGCCACTCCCGCAGCTACATATCCAACTGCGCCTGTCGATGGGCATGTCCCGACGGTGGGCATCGAGCTGATGCCCTTGCCTCCTCAACAAACGGCACCCCTAGCACCGATCGTCTCGACGTCCGCATTGACGCACGCCAGCAACATCGCCGAGGACCCTGATAAGCTTGACGCGGCATCCACGGAACGTGTGCGCAGGCAGAGGCGCCTCAAGATTTGCATCATCATCTTGACTGTGGTTTTTATATTCTGCGGTGCGTTGATCATGGGAATAGCCTGGGGGGTGTTCAAACGGTCAATCAAGCACCCCGACGACCCCGACGACCACGATGTTCCAATTTGATGTCCGAAAGCGATTCCAACCTGCTATTGCGACGCACTCAAAGCCACGCCGTGATTCTTGGAAACCCAACGGCTTCGTCCTCTTTGTCTTGAGACGCTATCCATGATCAAGCCTTCTTTCTTTTCTTTTCCCCCTTCTTCTTCTTCTTCTTCTATTCTTTTCTTTTCTTCGAATTCAGGCTGCGATTGGAATACCGGCTGTGGAACTTTTCCGTGCAAGAACTAGAATGGACAGTGATGGGCATGAGGTGTATAAGCGTCCTACCCGCGCGAACAAGGTGTCCTGGCGTCTATCTGGTTCGGTTTAGTGTCAAAGATCTTTTGTTCTTCTTGTCTTCTCTTCAATTTCTTTTCTTTTCTCATGGATAGTCAGGCGTTGGGGTTACACAAAGGATGCAGGCTGGGAGCTGCTACAGGGTTTTCTTCTTGGTGATATGCATACATATATTTTCGGGCAGATGGGAGTCAGCCCCAGCATTGTGGTTGGGCAACAGGGAATGGGCAGCGAACATTACAGACATAGCATGCGAGGCATTATGAATGATTTAGCTCGCCTGAAGATTTGGCCTCACAGTCACCGCATGCTAGAGAGCAATTGCATGGAAGCCCGGCTCATGGTGGCTGCCACTATGCATACCTAGGTAGCATGAGTTGAAAGAAACAGGCATGCAAAAGGAATGCTTCGTCTCCCTATCTGGTGAATCGTCTGTTGATGGGCTACATGTCCCTTGGGCAGAGTCATACCATACCTACACAATGACATCAGCCCCCTATAAGTGCACATGCCAAACCCGCATACGTCTTTGATACGGTGTGTCATGGTGTGTCGTAGCAAGTCGAAGGAAGAGAGAGGGAAAACCTACTACTGTGGCCAAGAACAAAGTGAAAGCCATCATGAAGCAGTGTCTGTCGATAACATAGGTGTGCAGTATCATGTGGAAACGGGGCACTGGTGGAGCGATGGAATCGCTGTCAACGTTCCGGTGGCAGCGACAGGGCCAAGAAGAAATCGGACTGCAAATGAATTCGAGAATTTGAGGAGCCAAACTTTTAACATTCGACCAATCTTTGCCGGTAACCAGCAAGGGATGCTGCTGGGAAGCACGGAGGAACAGCCGGTGATGGCTTCATGAGATGAGTAAGAGCGCAGGCATGGCTGATCACAGCTCCCTTCTCAATGGAGGACCATCTGATGCAACAGTCAAACGCTGCTGGTTGAAGCACCTGCATAGATAATGCAAAGACGCCTGTGTTCAGCTCCCAGGGTGATGCTATTCTGTCGGCGCCGGGGGATAGGGAGCTATACCGAGCTTCTTGAATGCTTTCTGCAACTCGGAGGAAGACGTTACAAAGGGAATTGCCCTGCTATTAGATCAGTGTTGGGTAAGAGCATCAGCCCTCCCTCCATCAGGCGAGGAATTTACAGACGGAGAAGCCAAACAGTGGTCCAGGGGTTTTGCTCAAGTCCGGGATTTCGGACCCGAAGGTGGGTGGGTTCAGGTTGTAGCACTGCTACTGCACCTACATGCAGAGCGGTAGCAGTGGACAGTGGATTATACAAATCGTCCCTCAGCTGCCATCCTCGTCAGTCGTCAAGTATGGGCGGAGCATGCCGTAACAGGCGATTCTCCCGTCGATGGGCCCAAGATCTGGGCCTGGGCTGAGCAAAGCTGATTGTCCAGCTCGGGGATGCTGTCCATGCTTGAGATCTCCAAAAACCCCCCCCTTCGGCCTCGTCCTGTCCCGCTCGCTTCTCCCTCTTCCCCACCTCTGCCTGTCACCAGGTAGGGTTCCCTCGTGTGGATATACTTCTCATCCAATGAGTTGTGCCTGTATCCTAGCCGATGGGCTGAACTCGTGACCGTTTCTCAAATTGCGGAATTCGCTCCCCCAAACATGTCCCGGACTCAACCTCGGTATCCTGCGAGGGGGCTCGCATGGGTACTAGTTGCACTCCGAGACAAAGACAAGGGCGTATGAGCTGCTACCATCACTAGCACGTAGTCCCATGAGGCTCTTCTCTCTGTGATTGAAAGTCAGTTGCGTTGTTCTTGCGCCGAATCCAGAACCCCCGGTGGTTTCTGGCGGATTGAGCAATCCAGAATGCAAGTAGCTAACAACAATGTGCGAAGAATACGGTAAGGGGGGAAGTCAGGGCGGCAAAGGACGTAATAAAAGCAATTAGGGATCGTCATCCACAGGATAAGATGCCCTGAAGCGTCAGTATGAACCTCTGTTTGTGACAATGTGATGACGGGGATGTTTGGCTTGACCACGGCTGAGGTTTGTCCCGCGGAAGCTCGAGAGATATTGCAACGGAAAGCTGGTCACAGAAGGGTGTATCGGGAGGAAAGTGTCCAGGGTGCTGAGTTAGTACTCGTGTGGAAGAAAGAGGAGAGGCAATTTGGGGTTTCAGATCAGGCAGGATGGATCCATCAACACTGATCTTTGAGTTACCGAGGTAGTCAGGCATGGAGTACCCAATGGATCGATCATAGTGTGAAGAGTCTCACTCCGTATGATCGAATCCGACAAGGACGAGAATCTAGCTAACATGACATGTATTTCAAGTTTTACCCAGCCTTTCCAAATTGAACTTGAAACGCGAGATCAAGAAGCAAGTGCAAGTAACGCTGCCAGTAGGTAAGCGAGGTCATAGGAACCGAGGCGAGCCGTATTGCCTGCTTCCTGCCCTGTTGAATTCTCACAATACCCATAGAGATACATTCTACCTAGTAACGACAATGATGACTATTCTCGATCTTGACGGTTCACGATTGATATCCTCTTATCATTGTTCAATTTAGTGTGCTCTTGACGTTGCAAATATGCCCATCCTCGACCAGATGCCTTCAACACTTCTTGTTGTTGTTGATCTTATTCTTCTTCTTCCCTCCTCCCTTCTCCTGGCACCAGTATCATCCAAAAGTCCGTCATCCATGATATATCAATGGCCATATCAGAGACACTACTGATACCAGCTGACAGGTGCCTTACTCGTGCTGATGGTGCGATGTAGTACGAGATAAGGTAGTGTAACGCTACCTTGGCACATCCATCTTTGCGAGTAACGAGCTGACATGTACAAACGAGCACAGACAGGGCCCTGGAGAAAGCTGATCGCAGACTAGCTGGGCCGCCACGCGCAAGAGGCGATGGCACGGGAACGGACCGGCCTCGTTGTGACAGCTTCCTGGTAGAAACTGGACTGGGGAGGGGACGAGATGCCGTATCACAATGCTCCGTACCCCCTACGAGACCCAAGAGGGACCCCGGCTCGGCTGCTTCGACTAAATCAGCCCTGGCACAAGTCTGGTCTTTTTCCCGAGCCACTAATAAAACACACAGACGCAAAGGAGAGGAAGCTGAAAGATATTGTACAAGGAAGCACCGGTACTTGTATCAGCGCAGCTGGACACTGGTGGTGACATCTGGGCACTCGAGCATCATATATCTCAACACGACGGTTACACTCTGCATGTAGCCGAACAAGCAGACGATGCCGCCAGAGATCCTCGTCTGCAGCTCATGTAACTGTCTGCTCTCAGCCCACAGGATGCAGATATTAACGGGTGCGTACATTGTTGGTATCGATTCGTCGTATACTGATTGTACTGGTGGCACGGGATGTTAGCCATGCACCATGGACTGCCGCCACTGCTTCTCTTCTCCTCCCCTGCGGGTGATAGAAATGCTGCTAATTGACAAGTTTACGCGAGTACCCTCCTCCAGAAGATTGAAGTCATGCGGTGCAACGCGAGCTCTCTTTGCCCAGAATGGAGCTGAAGCTGGTATCACTGGCACTGCCTTGCCTCGTGGAGGCAGTACTACCAAGGGCCTCGTAGGTCGACACCCTGTACATGAAGCTGAGCTATGCAACGCCATGGGGTAAGTCGGGTTCATCTGGCTCTTTGTACCGTCTATCTTCCAGCAGGCAAGCCATGTTTCGCTCCCTGCGTGTTATCAATCCCAACTTTGTACGCACCTGATACATCATCTGCCTTCGCCTTGGTTTTCATGTCGCGCTTAGACTGATGCAGCGGTGCTCTATGAAGTTGTCATTGTCTGAGGCGGGCGGTAAGACCGGTGGGAATACCATGATGGTGGTGGTATCGACATGATCAATACCTGCTTGCAGTTTCGAGCGTATTGGTTCATGCCCGCATCGTGAGCCAGAACTCTTGCTCATCAAGGAGGCATTCTCTCTCTCTCTCTCTCTCCCGCTGGTTTTGCTGGGATTGGAGTTCCATGTACTACTGGGAACCCCTGCCCCCTTTTGGGCGCTCCAAATCCCTGGACAGCCGACCCGACAGAGACATCTTAATTTTTTCGAAAGGGGGATCCTCATTTTGCAAACCCTGCCCTGCCCGGTCTGAGAACGCAGCTGTCCAGCAGGACCAGGTCGACATTGGAGGAACAGGAAAAAAAAAGGAAGAAGCGTCGGTAGAGCATTCGTGCCCAATCCTACTCTGTCCGGCGATTTGGCCCTTTCTAGTTTTTTGTCGTTCTCGCATCCCTCTTCTCCTCCCCCTCCGCCACCGCGCAATTTCTACTGCGTCGTCTGAGTGAATTGTTGCTCGCGCGTCTCGCCTCTTCACGTCTCCCTCGCGAGGTCATCCTAGGTGTTTTCGCAGTCTTGGCTGGCTGCATGTATTCTCTCCCCTTCCTCCTCCCTGCCTTGCCTGACCCCCGTCGACCAACAGCATGACCCATGCTAACCAGCCCGTCCGCCGCCGCCGCCGCCGCGGCGCCGCCCTTGTTGCTAGCATTGGATTGGCAAAGGAACAGGCCCTCTCCGAGCTCTTCCGTCATCAAGGGGCGGCGCTGTTGCATTGGCTGTATGACCCCGGCCCAGTCCGCTCGGTACTCGGTCGTACTAAGACAGGCCCAGGACCGGGCTCCATCATGCCCCAGAACTACCTAGTAGTGCTCCGACTGCTCCCTCAGCAAGCCAGGTATCCTACGCTGCTACTGCTGGTACTGATTTTGCCTATACGGGGGCGCAAGAGGACCAGCATAGACGCCGTGGTGACTAGGTATGCTCTCGAGGCTAAATTGCTGGTCCGACAATAAGGGCTTGGATGGGTGCCGTGCATGCTGAGCAGGGTAGACGAACAGCTGAGTAAGGAGCAATGCGTCTACCGCAGTCAAAAGTGATGGCGGCGTCCACGCCTCGTAGCCGTAGCCAGGGCCCGATTCGCCTTGCCTTGCCTTGCCCTGCCCTGCTTTTTGTCCATCTCAACTCAATCATCTCACGCATACAAACAGCAATGTTATCTGGTAAATCGACAAGTTTGGCAGCGTCTCTCGGCATACGTAGCCATGACAAAAGTAGAGCTATGATGGCCATGACTGCTGGTGTCACCTTCGTCCACCATCTCAAAGTCGATAAGCACTCCAAGGTAGGGAGGAGTCCGTAAATGCTGTTGATATCTGTGCATGCCGCACCACACCTTGCACTCTATTCTCCACACTCTCTCGATACTACCTAGGCATTATGTTGAATCATCTACTTTTGCATCCATAACCGGATCATGCTCTGCTCACTCCAAGCCGGTAGAGTAGGATACGATACACGCAGAAGAGATGATTTGGCACCTGATGCCCCCAAGACATCATCAGCTGCGCATCCCGCACTGTCTAATATATGAATCACAAAAAGCAACTAGTAACGCAGCTCTCCCTTCAAATCAGCCTGTAAGCGCTTTTCCTCATCCTTTTCGTTTACCTCCCTCCGATTTGTTGAATGGCTCGCCCTGCTGCAACTCTGTCTCTCTAAGCGTCATCCTGCTGCTTTCAGCTTGCCAGCGGATTAGATCATGACTTGGATGTGCTTTTCTCTTGTGTCATCCCGATTTTCCTTAGGGTGACGTCCCGTCCTCTTCTTGTTGTAAGACGGCTCGTTGCAGGCCTGCGTGCCACTCGCTTGCCATATCTCGTCATCGTTTCGCTGCCCCTCCTCAATATCTCTCGCTCTTCCAGCTTTTGATGATGCCTCCATCTTGACTTGCCTATCGCCTACTGCTAATAAATAGCTACTCCCAGCCTGTTTCGTTTTTGGACTGTGGCTTCACGCTCACTGCCATATCTCCCTACCTACCTCTAATATATACCCACTGGATCATGCCCACTCCATACTTGGGTACTACATAGGTACTCAAGCCCATCTGATCATACCTTAGTACTTCTTGATACCTACCCACCTACAATACCTAAGGCAGTACCTACCTAGGTAGTAGGTAAGGTACCTAGGTAGTGTCTCTTACCTCCTGTAGGCGGTACCTGCCGAGATCTCAGCAGCTGTCTACAAATGCGAACCAAAGCCCCCTGCTCCTTCCCTTCGTGCTCAATTTAGTCCAGCATCCGTTTCGTCAAACTGGCTGCTACTGCTTCTTCTGTTCTCCTCTCCTCATGAGCAATTTCTTCCTCCATCTCCTTTGCTGTAACCTTTGATTGAGAGCATCATTATCATCAGCTGCTTCTTCTTCAACCTCGATTCGAGCATACCTTATTACTACCCAGTGTCCTCCTGGCGCAGCGGCACCAACCATCGCCATCGACCGTTGCTACCTAGGCACTAAGGTAGTATCTACCTCACTGGTATCCTCCGCAAACCGACGCTCTTCTGCATCCTTTCCGGGGATCCCAACCGCATCTTCACCCCGTCGCAACACTATTCTTCTTCTAGCTAATCGCTCTGAAAGCAAAGAGAAGACTCCCGTCATTCAATAACACTATATCCTCGACAGCAGACTCTTATTTGGTATCCTCAGCTCTCTGCCTTTACTTTGATATTACTCGCCTTCTATATCACTTTTTCTTTCTTTTTTCTTCTCTTTTTTTTTTTTTTTTTCGCCCCCGTCCTTGTCTCATATAAGGATACAAGGGGGCCAACTAGGACCAAAAGGAAGAAGAAAGAAAGGCGACGGCAAGGGAGCAAGCCAGAAGCTGAGAAAAAGAAAAGAATCACGCCGACAGATTGGGTGTTGAGATACGAGATACGAGAAACGAGAGGCAATTGGCAAAGAAAAAAGCAACGAAAACAACATCGCGCTCATCAACTTGCGACTCCAACTTTGTCACATTTTACTCCTCTGATTGTCTCGACCCTCCAATCTTTGCTGGGATCAAAAGAGGAAGAGTGAGAAAACAAGGACAAAGGGTACCAAGAGAGGAAAGGCAACAAGAGAAAAAAAAAAAAAAGACCAGACCCCCCTCCCTGCTGAGCCGTTTTTAGTGCTGCAACTCGACATTCCCAGACTAGCAGCCAAATCAGTCCACGGCCGACATCCTCGCAATCCCCGTCGTTTCGTTTTGCAATATAACCGCCATTCACCGCCCCCACGACGGTTCAATTTTTCCGGCTTGTCTCGAGAGTGACATTATCTGATTGATTACTCACCCGCATCGGCTGCAACACGACGCTCTGCTCTGCTCTGCTTCTGCTTCTGCTTTTCTGCTTTCGGTCCTGGTCCTGGTCCTGGTCCTGGTCCAATCTGGCGCTCTGTCTCTTGTCCTGCCTTGTCCTGTCCTACCTATCCTACCTATCCTTTGCCCTCTTCATCAATTTCTCCTCCAGCGGCGCGGCTCTTGCCCACAAAGTGCTCGCTCGCTCGCTCGCTCACTCTCACTCACTCACTCACTCACTCACGCCGAACCCTTCGAGATCTCATCCTCGCTCCGACCGTCCATTGGCTCCAGCCTCTTGAAGATAGGCTCCAAGGACCCCGGGACCAACTTGCAGCGGCTGCGGCTACGCGAGACCAACAAGAGTCCCGAAATTTGTCTCAGTGGCGGCTTCGTGTTTCACACAGCCCATCGCCCCTCGAGTCTTTATACAGCCTGTGCTCCGTCAAATCCGCACCTTGCTGTTGTTACACGGCTTCTCGTTGCTGTAGGGTTCGACTTCATTGTCCTCTGACCTGCAGTGCAGCTTTGAGCCATATACAGCTGGGACAGCAAACCTGCCCACCCCTTCTTACCACCTTACCTTACCGTTGGGTAGCGAGCAAACCACAAGCCATGGCGCCACGAAGTCCCTATTCATCCAGGTAAGCCAACAAAGCGAAGCTGCACGGCAGCTCAATCGGCATCGTCTTTTTGCGTCTCTTCGCCTTCCATCCCGTCATTTATTTCGATGCCGTCTCGCAGCTCTTCCGTCCAACTAACCATCTTGTGCTACTTCTCAGCAGCCGTGAGCTTCACGTCGTCGTTCTCGGTGCAGGTTTGTCGCGCCTCAGAAGCTCCAGTCCTCCCGACACACAACGTGTCCCCCATGTATTGCGTCGCTAACGCTGCTTGTTACTTAGGTGGCGTCGGCAAAAGTTGCCTTACTGGTGAGCTGTCCCCATTGCCCTCCCTACGCTATTCCAGCCACCGGTCTGGATTGATCCATGGCTAACGACGAGAGCAGCCCAGTTTGTTCATAATGAATGGATCGAGAGCTATGATCCTACAATTGAGGACTCGTACCGCACTCAAGTTCAGGTGGATGTAAGTCTACAATGTCCTCCCCCAAGTGATCGGCCCATGCCGACTGCCTATCTCCTCTTGGCAAGTCTCGATTCTAACACCGCTTCTCGGTTGGGTCACTAGGGTCGACAAGTTATTTTGGAGATGTGAGTTTTAGGGGGAAGCTCCCAAGCCCTTGAAGCCTATGCTGGACAGTTCCTAATACCAAAGACGACAGCCTCGATACTGCTGGCACCGAACAGTTCGGTAAGGCTGAAACCATATCTACTTCTTTTGAACCACGTGCAGCTGACGCTCCGGCAGTGGCTATGCGAGACTTGTACATGAAAACCGGCCAAGGCTTCCTGCTCGTTTTCAGTATCACATCGGCCTCGTCGCTGAACGAACTAGAGGGCCTGCGAGAAGAGATTCTCCGCATCAAGGATGATGACAACGTCCCCATGGTCATTGTTGGCAACAAGGCCGATTTGGAAGAGGCAAGAGCCATTCCTCGCGCCAAGGGTTTTGCCATCTCACAGAAATGGGGAGCTCCATACTATGAAGCCAGTGCCAGAACCAGGAGTGAGTTGCTCACCCTCTCGAAACCCGGAGCTGGGCCTTCCCTTGCTGACCCATGGACAAGCAAACGTTGATGAGGTCTTCATTGACCTTTGCCGCCAAATGTTACGCAAAGAAGACGACACGACGGACCCCGACGACGCCTCAAGGATAGACGCGCTCAAGCCCACCAACAACAAGCGCAGACGGCGTTCCAAGTTCCGTGACTCCACCCACCCACGATGCGTGATACTGTAGTCGGGTGGTGGCCTATCCGACAGTTTGTTCGTGCTTGCACGGGGCTACTGCTACTGAGAGCAAGTTGAAAAAGGTTGCCAAAGAAAAGCAACGGGAGAGAAGAACCCATCCTTTCACATGGACTGCTTACCTATATACCCGAATGTTTGATTGTGTTTGCTGTTGAGCACGGCGGGAGATTCGCTCATTATCTTCTTGTTCTTTCCTGTGCTCCCTCTTCCCTTTCTTTTCTCAGGCGAAACAAGGCCCTTGGCACTCAGACGGGATATTGTCTCAGGCCTTACCGCGGTTGCATGGCTAGGCATACGTACACGACCAAAGAGCCTCTAGCAATTCAGACGGGAGGTTCGAGAGAGCTCGAGGGATTGCCAGTCCGAATCCTTTCTATCTTTGCTATGCGGTATTGCAGCAGTAGCCATCGACTGACTCCCTCCAAATCTCTTCACCCTTGGGACCAAACGAATCGAGACGGTTGCTTACCTTTATTTTATTTCCTTTCTTCACATTCCGAGTATCAGCAGAATGGATGACGAATCCTGCGAGGGTGGAGCGACATGGTACGAGACATTGACGGCGTTTAATAGAGATGGACGGAAAAGACTTGGGACGGCTCTTGAAATCATAGAGGCATGCATATCTATGTTGGCGCAGGACGGGCAACAGAAAAGGAGTATGGAGGAGGATGTTGAATTGACTGGTGGCAGCAGTTTTCTTTAATGTCATGCCCGTCCAAAATTGAGCGCTTGAACGAGCCCGAGAGATACACGCAAGAGAAAAGAAGAGGACCAAAATTCCCATTGCACCTTTCTTTGCCCCTAGTGACAGAGACGATATGGATAAGCGTAACGATAATAGGGCCTAACTACACATTTAAGGCGACAACGGTAGAAGAGACGAAGACTGGTGGGGAGATGAGGAGGCAGCAAAAATAAGAGACAGGAAACGACGAGAGTGACGGAGGAGTTTCACTCAATCTCCGAGGGTGCTAGAATCGAGAAAAAAAAGGAAGGGTCTGGCCGGGGATTGAACCCGGGACCTCTCGCAAGCAAGCTGTAGGGTTTACCCTAAGCGAGAATCATACCACTAGACCACCAGACCGAAGATGTTCTTCTTGATGAAAGGGCGTCATCTATTGACTTCTATATCGCTTTTGCCAAAAGGAAAGCGCGCGTACATACTTGGGTAATTTGACTTACACGATCAAGCTGGCGCAGTTCTTTCCGCATCGCTTTGGTGAGTTTGTGAACGCAAATTGCAGTCGAGAGCTAAGCGGATTCGCTCACTAAGAATAGCATGGATTCTTCGTCTTGCTCATCCAACCGAGAAAGGCGCATCGATCCCATATGTCGTAAACGATCGCAAGAGGGGTTCGAACAATTACCTAGGTAGGTAGGCATCCACAGGCCAGAAGACGCATGATGGAGGCTCCTGTTTCCGCGTCTGCCTGCTGCCGAATGGCTCTTAGGCGAGGTGTAGTGCAATTCACGGTTATCGCAGGAAAATCTCTGATTTGCTACAGCCCATACATCGCAGGCATGTCTGCTTGTTGAGCCTGCCACGTATCTAATCCCCGAGGCTGGGAAAGCGGACCGTCTTCGACCAGCTTAGGGAATTGACAAGAAATGGAGCCAAGCACGCGCCTCTGAATACTTATACGAGGTATCAAAAAAACAATACTCTGCGTTGAAGAGCCCAAAGTGTTGACGGTGAAGCAAGGCTAGCGAAGGAGCGTTATCTGGTCTTAGCAGTAAAGCTCATGACTTTGACCGAATTCAATATGAGAGGGTGCGACACTGGCTCTTGACGGGCTGAAGTCGCAGATTTCCAGTCGGCGATGATCGAGTGCAGTGCATTGGTGCAGCGCAGGAGCTTCTTTGCGCTTGGCGGAACTACCAGGCAGTGTCGAGTTTCACACCATCTGGAGGAAACACGAATGCATGGCTAGAGAGACGGAGAACAAGAAGCGTCAAGCAAGCTTGAAGGGCCAAGACCGCGGTAGAACGGTGGTGCCTTTCCAAGGCAAACAAAGAATTGTAAGAGCCGCATGTTGCGGGGTTAAAGGCAACGGAATCCTCAGGAACGCTTTGCAAATGTGCAAGGCGCATGTGATAACATGGCATCATATCCGGAAGCCGTCGACTCAATCGGATTTCAGTGCCGACTCCTCTTCGGCCACATGCTCTGGAGTTGTGCAGTCTGTAGGGTTATAGGCCGAACCGGAGCCAACTATGAGTAGGCTTCTGCACATGCTAGATCTAGCGGATGCCTACCAGCTTGATAGATGACGAGGGTGGAAGAGCTTTCGAGTTCGGGATGCATGGTGGCATGCTAGAAAGCTGACACTCGAACTCACCCAATGCCGGGATTCTTTCCTCGAAACTCAGTCCAGCAGGGCAGCCATGAGTTTGACCGTCAGTCGTTGGCATTGTTCGTATGGAATAGAGGCCATTAGCTTATCTTGTTGCCTCGAAGGAGAGTCAGTATAAGGGTATGCATATGCTGGGCTATGAGTACGGATAGCGAGCAGAAATCTTGACAGCCGAGAAGGGTACTTTCCATCCGCTCCGTACGTGCTGCTGGGGTGGCAGGCTCCGCGATCCCAGAGAAAGCGAGCGAAGGAGCCCAATCCCGTCCTCCTGAGCCCAATCACATGGCGGGACTTCGTCCATGTAGAAGCCGATACCCTTACGGGTTGCATCCCGCCTCCAAGTGTGTGTGGATGCGAGGTGAAGAATTGTGATGGGCATGGGCCGACACACAGTAGCGCGTCGCCTGATTCGGGAGATGGCCAATGAAGATTACCGTGAGGAGGTCCACGCCCAGGAGTGTGCTTGTCCATAGGTATCTATGCAGAGATGTCGGGTGTGACAAAGTACCACCAGTAGCACGATGCCACACCTTCCAAGGGCGGAGGAGGAGGCTTGGGGGCTCTTGCACAAAGCAGCATAAGCAGTGAGCGCACGAAGTACTACCTACAAACCAATATAGGCCTCTCCCTGTTGATGTGGTTGGTAAGGGGCCGACAACAATGTACAATAACCCGGATTTCTCCATGACGGCGGTGCGACAATAATCTGGGTATTTGGAGAGAGACGCTGCATTGTTGACTTTCGAAGTCATCTCCTCGGTTGAAACTGACGGTCTTCGGAGACCAGCCTGCCGGATGCCATGCCGAGCCTGGCTGTACAAGTGAGTGAGTACGACGTCGCGGGTCGATCGCAGTGGTCGGAGGCTTGAGGGATGTCGGAACGACGTGTCTCGAACTGCCATGCAATTGTTAGCGGAATGCCAAGAACAGGCAGCCTCGTGGTGACGGATACAATGACAAGAGCCAACGACATATACAGTCTCGCCGCACTCCCAGACTCTGGCCCAGTAAACACTTGGATAGATTCGATTTGATCGGTGGACGTGGCTGTCGAATGCGAGATGGAGAGCAGATGCAAGAATTGCGAAGGTGGAGGAGACAAGTAACAGATCAGGTACCTTAGGAGGTGATGAGAGAAAAGGCGAGACGGGCAAGAGAAAGTAGGTAGGTAGACAGGTCAGGTACCTGAGTTGTGCTTGCCACGGGCGAGGGCAGGCGTCGCTGTAGCAGAAACCATGAGTCGGGAGGAAGGAGCGCCGCAATGCGGCCTTCTGGGGATCTTGACGCCAAAATGCGGAGCACCATCAGATATCGAACGATAGGCGATGCCTCATTCCGCCGTCATAGAGAATTGTATACTCTCGTCACGTATTGATGCTTAATAAAGTCGATGATAAGGTAGACAAGCTGCTGCTGAGAGCACTTGTCATTCTGTCCGTTGAGGTACCTATGTAGAAGAGGCGAGTTATCTCTTCAAATGCATTGTTCATGCTCTCTCTCCTTACCTAAGGGTAGGTAGCGCCGTAGTAGGTGAGTAGGTACCAATCACTTTATCCATCTGAGCTCGGATCAAGGCGGTTTAGGCAATTCTCAGGGGCAAAACCTCTACGAGTGGGAGACCCAATAGTATCTGAATGTGATAATCTGAACGGCAAATGTCCATCTCAGAGCATCTACCCTGTAGAATTGCCATGTACATCGCCTTGGCGCAAGGGTCGTGCTACCACGCAAGGTAGACGTCCTTGCGAAGGGGAAACGGGGACGACCTGTCATTCTTTCCAGCCCTACGAGCCTCCAGACGAGATCACGAATGCAACTGGGGGCCTCTACACGCGTGGATCGCCGCCGCCGCCGAGTCCCATATCGTTGCCTTGCCTCGATCTAGTCTCCGCTCGTATGAAGTCGACAGTCTACTAGTAGTATGTATCTTGGGTTTGCTTCGCATGGCAAACTACTAGTAGGGATTACTCCGTATTACTGTCGCTCCGTACCTCGTACTCCGTAGTCTGTAGTCTACCGCCAAGCTGCGGAACAAAACGGCTGGCCCCTCGAGATGGTGCTATGCTGTGCTGAGCCTAGTCCCCGTGGGCGCGTCTGTTGCTAGACAGCGGACCACTGCTGCGGCCGTGTGGTCCCCTGGGTTCAGGTACCTGGCGCGATGCGGTACTTCGTATCTGGAGGCCGGGGACGGACCTAGGCGGAAGTCAGCAGGGTCGCAATCAATGGCGGCTCGGTCGTCGCTGTAGGAGATTTTGGTCTGGAATAGATCTGTGTGCGGAAGACTTTCAGTCGGGACATGAGCGAAAGTACGCGAGCTGAGACGACGTCTCAATTATTGCTGGACTATTGCTCATGATGACAGCCCATATAGCAGCCTTTTTTGACCAAGGTAATAGACAGATAATCAACAAGTCCATCATCAAAGCGATTCCTGGTGATGAACAGGGGGAGGCAGTTTGACCCAGGGGGGGGGGCCATTCGCCAGTGGTGTGATCATGGGTCACTGGCGAGCTTTCGTTGCTTTTGTTAGGGCATGATCTCCTCTCCTCGCCCCTCCTTGTCCTCGTTTCGCGGACGGCGTCAAGGCGACCACAGGAGCGTAGAATGCGCGACGGGGCGCGCATCCAATGAAGGGCATCGATTCGGTTCGGTCTGGTCTGGCATCGTCTCCATCGAGGAGAGCAATTTGACATGCATAAGCTGCCTTGCTAGCGTGTGTCGGCGCGGCATGTGGTTGGCTGGCGCGGGCGCCCCATAATCTGCAATCTGCTGTGGAGCCGGCCACTACTGGCAGCTTCGTACTATGTCAGGGAGCGGTACCTCTGGCGCGTCTGGAGCCTCCGAGCCGTGGGCGGTACTCCAGGGTCGACATCGACCCCATGGCAGATAGTGGACCCACCAATTGGGCATTTGCACGTGCTTGCCTGCGCTAAAATCCGTTGGTCATTACAGTAGGTACCCCAGCCAATGGCCGAATCTTGGGTTGAAGAGAGAGGATGTGAGATGAGATGAGATTTCGAGTCGATATCCCTTGACACTTCATCATGATAGTATCAGAAAATCGCTGGCCAGTGCACCCAAATCACTGGCTCGACGAACAAAGCACGATGCGATGCGATGCGATGCAATGTGACATGGCACTGCAGCCATCCGAGTTTCTCCCAAGCTGGGGGGCTGCGTACGATGACCCGCCAAGCTGCTGTGCTTCGTCCCATGCCTCCTCACCACATGTACCTATCTGGCATTCGTCGGAACAATGCTGCCATGGATATCTATTACCTCGGAACAGTGCTTGGTGAAACCTGGGGTCATGCGGAGGACGCAGGTTGAGGAGCCATTTCCACTTGTCAGGGATTCCAGGATGTTAGGTGTACCTACGGCACGGCTATACTAGTAGTGAGGTTCCTATGTACCTAGTATTGCCAGCTTGCCGCGAATGTGTGTTGCACTGCGGGCAACGACAGGGGCAAGTCTCCGTGATGGATGCTGTGAGTTGCATCAAAAGAGAAGAGGATGAGAATGCAAAATTGAAGGATAATCTTTGTGAATTCTCTGGTCTCTAAGATGAACGATGCCGTGTTTGCGTAGGGACTGCGTAGGGGACCGCGAAGGGGACTGCGCTTCTAAGACCAGGCTCTCAATCATGAGAGGATCACTCCGTCTCAGAGGTACCCACGGTTCCAAGGTGATGGGAGTGTTACCGCTCACGCTGCGCTTCATGAAAGGGCATGGCGCTGCGCCGCTGTTGGCGTTCTGGGCACATAGCTCTATACCTACCTAGTAGGTAGTAAGCTGATCAGTCAAGGCAAGGGATGTATTACATGGTAAACCAATCTGAAGGGGTCGTCGCATCGTGGCGTGTGAGCTCGGCGTTCTAGAAGTGCCAGGTGCGACAAGAACTGGTGTGCAGAAGCGGCAGCGGGTTTGATCTAGATGCGAGACATCGGCATCGTTGGCAGTGCGACTCGCCCACGTCTCAGCGGTTGTGCAAGTGCCTATTACTGCAAGGCAATAAGTAGGTAGGTAGGCAGGTAATACTCTGTGCTTCGTACTCCGTGCCATCGCCGGGTGTCTTTCGGACCCCTGTCGACGAGCTGGAGGGGTAGATTGTGACAGCCAGTGCTCCGCACTCCGTTACCCGCAGGTTCTGGGTACTTTGATGATTCAGACACCCAACGCTTCTCGAGGTCCAGACGCACCAACACGAGTCGGCATCGGGGTGCCTCAGTGATGGCCGATTCGCAGTGGATGGGATCATTCTGGGCTCTATCTGACAGACGTGGCACTCTGAGAGTCGTTTCTGCTGCGGCTACTCCACGCTCAACAGGTCTGGTTGGATGGATGGGGCGAGGAAAGTTGATGAGAAAGATGCTGCTTGTTTGGGACTAGCACGCAGACTGCTGCTAGGACTATCTGGTACCGGACACCTATGAGGTACATGCTGTAAGGGCCAATTTCCAACGTGTGCAATCGATCAAGAACACCCCCCACACACACACTCACATTCAATCTTTTGCGGGACTGCCACTTGAAGTCGCCGGATCAAGGGCTGGGCGGCCGGTACCTTGTGTGTACCTGACGGGTTGAGACTGTGGTACTTGAAGCGCTGGGCAGACGACGCTGGCAAGGTGCTTACCTAGGCTAGATGTTTTCCGGACGAGGATTCCCCGGGTTTCGATGCTGGGCGAGGGCGTGCGCTTTCTGGGCGCGTCTGGTTGCGGCGAGAGAGCTTGAAGAAACAGGTAATAAGGCATTCACCTGCTAAACCATAAGATGAGGTACCTTTCAGTGTCGTCTGCTGTACTGAGGTCGGGTACCTTGGGTGCAAGTAGGTACCTAGGTAGTAGTAGTGGCTGAGTCGAGGCAACTCCGAGTCGCTCTTACTACTACATGCAAACGGCGGTCCAAACGGAGTCTGGTAGCCTCAAGGTGACTTCGATTTTAGTCAGCTTTTTGGTCTTTCTGGGATTTCCCTTGCATGTTGTTCACGAAAGGATCGAAAGTTAGGTACATGGAAAGTTAGAGAAGGCGATGAGAACTCGAGAGCAAGTTAAACCTGCATCTGCAAACCTTGGTCGATCGCTGCCTGCTGGCACATCCCTCGCCTATCTATCTTGCTGTACTGTACGATACCTTAGGTATGACATTACCTCTCGAGAGGTACTTTCGCCAAGCCACTGAGCAGGGAAGTCGCGCTAGCACGAAGATGGTGGCGCCCAGCAGCTGGGACTGCCTGCAAGGTACACGCAGGGCCGGGATTCTGTACCGCTGCGACCAGCCATGCTGACGAAAATGGCTGAAGGGACAGGGCCGGTACTCGACAGCGACACACGTGCAGGTAACCACCCCCCCAGGCCGCCGGGAACTGCTGCGCGACTCCCCCGATTGGCCAGTCAAACAGACGCGCAGATTTGGCCCCCTCCAGCCCACTGCTGAATCTTGCACCATCCATCGGCCGGCCAGTCACTCACTCACTCACTCTGGCACTTTGAGGTCGGTCGTCCAGTCCAGTCCTTGGTGCCGCGCTCCTCCCAGCACCAGCACCAGCAGGAGGACCGCTGGACAGATGCGCGCTCTCAACGGCCTGAGCCCGCTAAAACCCGCCCAAACCTTCCATAGGTAGGTACGGCTGCTGAGCCTGAGACTGCCGACGGGAACCTTAGGTTGGGACTCTGCCTCCTCCCTCCAGAGCCAGTCAGGTCTCTCTTCCCCCTCCATGTCTCTCTCTCTCTCCTCGTCACTCGCTCTGCCTTGACGTCTTGCTTGCGCGCTCTCTCTCTCTCTCTCTCACACACACACAATCTCGCACTCACTCTCTCTATTTTTTTCTCGCTGCCCTCCCAACCCTCCCAGTCCAATCCCATCCCATCCAAAAAAAACTAGCGCAGCAGCCCGCCCAGCGCGAATGAGAACAAACCTACTTCAACCCTGGAAGCAGGTCCGAAAGCGCCCCCATTTGCTTTTAGCTATTCTCCTTCCCCCCTCCTCCAGTTACCCAGCCTAGTGTCACTTCTGCATCTTTTTTTTCTCCCCCTCGCTCCCTCTCTCCGCCGCTGTTCCCTCAAGGCCTCTGCTCTCTCTCTCCCCACCTTTTGCCGGCTGCAACTGCGGGCTCCTCCCCCCCAAAAAATTATCGGCCCCAAAAGTCAAACCCCGGCACAGCAGTGAGGAGAGATACCTGAGGTGCGTCTTGAGGCCGTCTGGTCTGGCCTGGCCTGGTCTGATCTGGTCGGGTCGCAGTCAACTAACAACTGCCAGGTACTCCCAGGGCCGTCCCCCCAACCAAACCGCCAGCCTCGACGCATCATCATCCTCCTCCTCGCATCACCTCGCGCGCCAACCTCAACCTCAGCCTCGACCTTTCGCCCACCCGCCGCAGCGCCGCCCCGACCGATAGAGCTGCTCAAAGGGCCTGCTCCCTACTGTAGCGCCGCCTCTGATCATTTATCCTGCCGCGTTCCATTATCGTTGCTGCGACCCATATTCGCGCCGGCGCATTTGGTGCAAGAAGCGCCAGATCGCTCATCGCGGGAAACTTTGCGTGCGCCCCCTCACAGCGAACGTTTGGCCCTTCACCAACCCCGAGCGCACAACCGCCTGCGCGTCGCGCGAATCTAAGACGCCCGTCTGCTGCCGCGCACAGAGTGCTCTCACGCTTCCTTTCCCTCTCGCCGTTGTTGGTCACCATCGTCATCGCATACTAGCTCGTCAAATATTGCCACGACGACCGCCGTCGCCTTCACCTACTTGCCATCTGCCTGCGACATCTCCAACGACTATTGCGCTTTGCTCCAGTAGTTTTCTGCTACACTCTGGTCATCCGACTCGCGACAAACAACTGCTGCGTCGTCGCCTGTTTCTGGTATCCTCGTGCGCGCATCGCCTGCTCACAGGATGCCCGTTACGATGGGCGATCAGAGCGCGAATCGTGGGATGCCATCCATGCTCCCGTCGCCGCCCATGTCGACCGCCTGGGGAACGTCTGGCAGCAACATCTGGGCCGCGGCGCCCTTGGGCGGCCTGCATTCCGTCAGCATGGCTGAAGCCAGCTCGCAGGCCAGGTACTACGTTCCTGCTCCTGTTGATGAGCCGCAGTCCGCCTTCGCAGCCGCCCCGGTGCAGCCATCGCAAGGAGGTTTCTATCCTCCTCCACAGCAGCCTTCTCACCAGCACGCCGGGCCCATGCTGTCCTTCAGGGAGCAAGCAGAGCCCGCCCAGCAGGCGCCTGTGCACGTGATGATGCAACGCCTCTCGCCCACCACCACGGCCGCCGAAATTCGCATCATGCTCGTCTTTTCCAAGGAGCTGCTCAGCGTGGACCTCATAGGCCCTGATAACTCCGAGGCCGAGCCTCAGTGCTCAGCCCTGCTGGGCTTCCGAAGCATGGCTGGTGCGTCCGAGGCCTGCAACAAGTTGAACGGCCGCCCGAATCCGAGCGGCCGCGGTACCATGATAGTCAGCATCGTGTCCTCTCCAGCCTACGCGTCGCCAGCTTACGGGTCGCCCACCCGTGCGTCGTCCGCTGCGCCCAACGGCGCGTCCAATGGCTTTGCCGAGTTCTTGCGCATGAATCACGAGCCACAGCCGCCTCACAGCAGCGGCATCGTGTCGCCGTCCGCCAACTCTGGCCGCTTCTTTCCTGCTGCCGCCCCTATCCCTGCTTCTGGTCCTGGTCCCACTTCCGCTACTGCTGCTGTTGCTCCTCACCACCAGGACTTCGCCGCTCCCAACACTCAGGCCGGCAGCCGCTACAAGGAAATATTTGACCGTCAGTCATTGACCGGAAACTATCTTCCAAGCGAGGTCCCTGGGCGGCTTGGAAAGCACCTCATCAACGCTGAAGTCGGCGACGAAGACGACCGAGAGCTTCTCAGGGACTCCGTCGCTTATGGGCACAGGGGCACTCCGGTGCAGCAGAGAGACGCTACCATCACACCTCCCGACTCCCTTAGCCAGGCAATGGCAAGTCTGTCTCTCGACCCAAACATCACTCTGCGGCCAGCGACGATGCCGGCGTATTACGCAGGCCTGCCCTCCGTCGTTGGCGCCAACAACATCTACCTGCGACTCCAACAGCACATTGCGCGACAGCACCACCAGCTCCATCAGCAACAGCATCACCAGTCGGACAAGCGATCCTCTAGGCACTCGGGGAGGCACCAGCAAACGCCTTATGGAGGGGCCAATTACCCCCCAGTAAACCCTGCGGATCAGAACCCCCCCTGCAACACTCTCTACGTCGGCAACCTGCCCATGGACGCGTGCGAGGATGAACTCAAGGTGCTCTTCTCCTTGACAAAGGGCTACAAGAGAATGTGCTTTAGGATCAAGCACAACGGGCCCATGTGCTTCGTCGAGTATGAAGACATTGCCCACGCCACCAAGGCGCTTACCACGCTGTATGGCTTCCCGCTGCACAACAGCGTCAAGGGCGGCATCCGCTTGAGCTTCTCCAAGAACCCGCTTGGTGTTCGCTCCGCCTCCTCGCAGCCGGCCCCCGGGAATCTGTACTCCAGCGGCGGCATGCGCACGCCTACCGGCAACGGCTTCGCGGCGGCCAGCGGCCCTCCGCCCGGCCTGCCTCGACCCCCGGGCCTCAGCTCCCGGTCTCAATCCACCTTTAGCGCCGGCAGCCGTGCCAGCAGTGCCATGGGACCTGCTCTGAATGGCAATGCCCACGGCAACAGGAATGGCAGTGTCAATGGCCAGAGGAATGGCACTGTCAGTGGTGGTGTCTCTGACGCTGGCTCTGGCTATGCCCAGAGAGCACCGTACTACAGAACCGGCATGAACGGCATGAACGGCATGAACAATATGAGCACCATGAATGGCCTAAACAACATGAACAACCTAAACGGCATGAACGGCGTTGCATGAGCATGACAACTCCTCACGCGCCTGCTGTCTAGAATGAGGGAAGCTCTCTACGCCCCCGCCCCCTCTCAATTCTCTACTTCTTTCCGTTGTCGTCCTCTTCTCTTCAACCGCTATTTCTACTTTGTTCCTGCTTTCATCTATTTATTTTCTTCGCGCTTCTTCCAAGGTCTCGGGGCATCTTTGGGAATACATCGATAAAGTTCACCTAGCATCAGGATTACGGACAGAAAAGGGCGCAACGGGTTTCTCTTTCATTCGGAGTGGTACTTTTCTTTACGCGATTCCATCCTCTATCGGCATATACCATTGGGCTCTGTTTGTCGCATCTCGCCCCTGCTTCTGAACGACGGCTTCTTTCTCATCTTCCTCGCATAGACAGATGGGCAAGATAAGGGGCGGACACCGGCGTTGGCTTCATGGTTTGATCTATGATACCTCTTGATTTCTTGATCTATTTCTCCTTGATTCCCCCCGACACGCTCCTGGATGAAAACAAACAGAAAACCCAAACCCTGATGGAGTGCGTTCAGTCTACATGGTTCGACTCATGTCGCGCTGCGATTACTTGCTTCTGGAGACTGGCTATACAATGGACGAAGCCAAACACTCCCACCATGATAAAAAAGAAAACAGGAAAAAAAAAAAAGTTTATCAATACCTCTTGTATTGTTGCCTCTTTATGTCTTACTCAAAGCGAAAAGCGAACAGGAAAAGGAGAGGCGAAAATGAACCTGAAAAAAAAAAAAATGACATACAGATGGAGGCGTCTTTGATATTCTTCATCAGCGCGGTGCTTTTTGGTTGAAATTCTGGGAATCGTTCCCCCTTGGCATGGCTTAACTGTATCCTCATATCGGTCCTCTTTCTGTGGTATTCTCTTGGATACTCTTGCAGTCAACTACTTCGCTTCACTTGAACCCTTTTTTTCCCCCCCTTTATGAGATGGATTATCCGGACGACTGGTCATGCACGGTCATGCTTTTTTGCTTCATTTCTTATTTATTTATTTTTGTTCTACAGCCCAAGCCGCATCTTCCTTGATAGAAGCGTCCACAGCATGCAAATGCTCCAATACCACAACTTCCCCTCTTCTTTGTCGGTCCTGGCAAACGGAGTTCATGCTTACACTGTTGTGGTGGTGGTCATTTCTGGGGGGAGCAAGGGCGGAAGAAGCTGCTTTGTGTGAATTGGTGGCAACAGATGGAGAGGCGACTGGGCTGGCAGTCAGCTGCACGGCTGCCATGGGGAGTCTGGCGGTCGACTGGGCCTCACTGGCGCGGTGTTTTTCTCTTTGCCCTTTTTAAACTTCTTCAATTGGTTCTCATGTCTCTTGTCCCCTTCTAACCCGCTTTTCTTCTTCTCTCTTTCTAATGTTTGCATGAATGGGATGGCTGCTTCTCTTTGATGACTTGGCATGGGCAACGGAGTATCAAGGCTGGAGAATGGAGCAACACTGTTGAACTCATCTTTCAATGTCGTTCTATTCCCTCTATGTTCCTCAAAGTTCCTACAGTCTGCTCTGTCTTTCTTTCTTTTTTTCTGCCTCGTCTTTCCACCATCTCTGTGCCCCTTTCGGTTTTCCTGCCCTTTGGCGGAGCGACTTATGAAGGAAGATTCAATACCATCAAGGGGATGGTGAAGGATACGGGTAACTGTTGGAATTTTGGAACACATCATCTTTTGTGCCATGTCATCGGGCTCTTTCTTGGCTGCTCTTGGGGGTGCTGGACGGTAATAAAACATGTGTTCTGCAGGCAGGGTTACGACATAGCCATGAGGCCACCATGGGTCCTCCGTGCATCAGTCGTATTTTCCCTTCTTCTATTAGCGTGGGAGGTCATTCTCTTATCATTATCATTACTATAGGAGGTATCTTAATTGTCAAATGAGCGCCGTCAGAGTCTACATTAGGGCTGCCATCTCCATCATCATGCCTTCGTACTCTAGTCCCTCCATTCCTTGTTCTTCTTCGGTCACGACGCTAAGCCACGAAGATTCGGCGGTAAACCAAAACTTTGCATCTCCCCTCATAGGAAAGCATTTCCATTCCTCGTCATGATTAGCCTCACTTAGCACAAGGGCTTTGCGTTGGTGCTCATGCTCGTGCTCCGAACTCTGCTGGAAGGCAACCCGGACGTTGTAGAGCGTCTGGGCACGGTTCCAGCGGGCTCGGTGACCCTTAATCTGGACGCACAGCAAGCTGGGCTCGTCGAATATCTCTACCGGGTCAACCTGTAGCCGGCACTCCCCAATGGCCCGTGATCCCCCGTTCAGGTAGCGGAACAGAATGCCCTTGCAGTATCCCGTGTCCTGGTCCCGGAAGACGACGGTCGACGCAACGCCCTCCAACGGCGCCCAGGAAAAGTACACTTCTTCAAGGATGGCGCCGTCGGAGACGGGGCTGGGCTCGAACTTGTCCAGGGGGAAGTTGTCTGGCAAGCCTTCCGTGGATGATGTCGAGGCTCTGCAGTATGTGCCAACCAACTGGACTCGCGGCGTCGCGCCGCCCCGTTTCGGCTCGCCGTATATGAAGGTGAGGGGGCCACCGCTGCCCTGGCAATGTTGGGTAGGGTAACTCCCATGAGGCCCTATGATGACGTCGCCGGCCTTTTCTGATTGCACCAGGATACAGGCTGGTCGAGTGTCCCTGGGACGTACTCCCAGGACAGTCAAGCGGTCGCCCTTCGAGATGGGCAGATAAAGCCATGACACGTCTTGCTGGAGCCCGCGAGACATCAGCTCATATGTGGACTGGGCAGATGGGCCTTCCGGGTAGTGGATATGGATGTCACAGAGACGGCCCCGGCTGTAGAAGAAGGTTATACCACGCATGCTTTCGGGCCCGACGGCAAACAGTCGTGACCAGTTATTGGAGGCAGAGCCGTGGAGCCGACACGAAGACAGCAGAGGAGGAGCAGGGGTGTTCCATATATGGGGAACAGGCACATCGGCAGGCAGGTGGAGACGTAATTGCCCATGCTACAAGAGGAGAGAATTATCAGATGATGAGACAAGATGAGAGAATGGAGGGGAGGGCATTCGAGAAGGAAGTTCACATACCGCAAGCTCCGCTCGGACATTGCGAAGGCTTTCGTCGTCGACAGAGGCAACAATGTATGCCAGACGCTTGTGACTTCCTGGCACGTAAGGGGGCTGGCCAGAGAGGCGCTCGACACATGCGATGCCGTCTGAATCGATCGTGACCCTCACGATGGGAGGAAGAGCCTGCGGCTGGCCCGTGACGAGCTCGCCGCCTCGCTCCCAGCTGAGCATCTCCCGCAGCCACATGACCTGCGACTGCCTCTCATCGTTCCTCATGCCAGCCAGATGCTCGGCCAGCCGCCACGCTGATATGGCGCGCCAGAGCAACGAATCCGCCGAATGGTGATGAATTATGTCGGCTAGCTCGACGGGCAGCGCAGCCAGCTTCTGCAGGCCGAGATGCCCGGCGACTGCATTGAGCCGAGGCTTGTCGACATTGGTCGGGAGGAGCAGCGGCCGGGCTCCTCTCCAGGGAGTCCTCCACGAGGCCACTTGCAGGAGCCGCCGAAGGAGGAGCTGGTCGTCCTTTAAGCGACACATTTGTGTCAGGATCTCGTAGCAGTCGTGGTGCAGCGTGACCGCTTCCGACGAGGTGGCGCAGGCAGAGCACTCCCGATGGTCATAGCAGAAGTTGGTCTCGGGAGTGAAGCGGGAGAGGATAAGAGAAGCCGTCAGGTCTCGATGGGAGAGCTTGAAGGGATGCGAACACTCCCAGACAGCGTTATGGCTGGTGGTGGCGGTCATGCTGGTGGAGTCGAGGGCCAGGGTGGTTGTTGTTGTGATGGTGATGATGGTTGTCCGATAGACTGGGCAGCAGTGACAGTTAGAGAGAGAGAAGAGAGAGAGAGAGAGAGAAGAGAGAGAGAGAGAGAGAAGAGAGAGAGAGAGAGAGAGAGAGAAGAGAGAGAGAGAGAGAGAAGAGAGAGAGAGAAAGAGAGAGAGAGAAGAGAGAGAGAGAGAGAGAAGAGAGAGAGAGAAAGAGAGAGAGACAAGAAGCATTGGGCAGTTACTATCGTCCCTCAAAGACGATCTCGATGCAATCACGTACCAGCCACGGCCATGTCGCCCCCTTGCAAGCTGCCCGCGCAGATGCCGCACTGAGGCATGAGCTTGAGATGTACACCGCCGCTCATGGTGGAATTTTGACAATGTTTTGACAACTTGGATGGTTATCAAGAGGAGGTCGGTACGAGGGTAGATTCAACTGCGGATGGCAGTTGAGTTGTGGGTAGATGGTAAGTGAAGGGGAGAGAATGCAATGATGATGGAAAGTCAAAGGGAGAGGAGACAAGGAGCGAGAGAACGAGAGAAAGAGAGAGAAAGAGAGAGAGAGAGAGAAGCTGCCCTTTTATCTTGCTTTGCCCCGAAAAAGTCTGTTGAGGAAGGAAGCTGTGACAAGGCTCGCTTAACTTAAGCTTGACGAAAACGTGGGTGGGAAACTTCAAGTCGTTCCTGCCTCGTCAGGGACAAACAGGAGCCAAGGCTTGAACCAGTGCAAACCATCCTGCTCGCTTCCAGAACCCGCCTAGCACCCATCAAAATCAGTACCTAGGTTGCCTTGATCCGGCGTCCCTTTTTTTAACAATTGCTTTCTGAAAGATGGAAATCCAACTTCGACTTGCCGGCTGGCAGGAGGAAGTTGTTGAGGCATCCGGGGTGACACTTGTTTGTTCCATAGTAGTAAGTAAGGGCTTTTCACGCGGTTCAGCGTCGAATTATTGGCTACCCGGGTTTCTTTCTTTCTTTTTCTGATATTCTGTTGCGGAGATCATTGTAGATAGCCTCCAGGAGCATCACTTGGTTGATTTCGTGTAGAGGGGAAGCGTCAACGACCACCAAAGTCAGCCTCATTTTACCGAGAAAGCCAAAGAACAAAGTGCACGGTAAAGGGACATTAGATATCTGATCTGGTGGTATTATAACCTCGTTGTGACGAGTCCAGTTGCTGCTACCTTGCCAAGTGAAACTACTAGGTCGCCTACTGCCTCAGTATGCCCAGACAGCTGAGTACCTAGGTATGGTATCTTATTGATGCTATACAGCACCATCGTCATAAGCTACAACGAAGCAAAGAGTAGAGTTGACCCATCTTGAGTCCCTTCCCAACGCCCTCATCATCACTCTCTCGTGGAGCTTTGTGATGATCCATGCCTATCTGCTTCTTCTTCTTCTTCCTCGGTGCTGGACAATTCATGCATGCCTTGGTCAAGCGAAAAAAAATGGAAATGATTTCCCCCCTCCAAAAAAACGCCATTACCCGGTGCCTGGCTTATGCCACCTCTATCACCTCCTGTGTCCCCCGGTTGCAAAGAAATGCATATTGTACAGTATATGTGCGAGTGGGACTTTTTGGCCGCTGCTTCCACTTTACGTAGGGGAAGAAGAGTGAACTGTCCCTTTTCTTCTTCTTCACTCTCCTTATTCTTGCGGAGAAGAAAATCCTTTCAGGGTTGAGAGTCGATTCCGTAATAACCGTTGTGGCGATGTTGGCGATGGATTCCGATAGCCGTTGCCGCCTGATATGCAGCTTGTTCCATTGCAGCTTTAGGCTGGCGTGTGGAAGAAGCGCAGGATGACTTCGTACATGGCAAACATCATTGCCGCGCTTGGGACAGTGCGCATCAGGTGAGGCGTCAGTCCGCCGTAGAGGCCCATGAGGCCCTCTTCCTTCCAGACGAGCTTGAAGCACTGTATCAGGCCGGTGTACTTGAGCTTGCCGTCTCCCATGGGAGCCTGTCGTAGACGAGTTCGCGCAACCTATTTGTCAAGCGAGGATTTAGTTAGCTGCTCTCTCGTTGGACACGGGAGAAGAGAAAGAAGAAGAGACAGAAGAAGAGACAGAAGAAGAGACAGAAGACAGGCCAAAGGTAATCCGGGTCGCAATCATGCAAAACTCACCTCGTGAGGATAGGCAATGACGGCAGCAACCAGCTTTGCGCCTCCGGCAGCGCCGCCGTTGCCCGTGACGTCCACCACCTTGTCCCACCACGTCTTGGCCCTTCCGCTGGCCTGGATCGCCGTCTCTCTGCGGACCAAGTAGGCCTTGAGCTGCTCGTACAGCATCCACTGCATCGTCGACTCCACCACGCCCAGATAGCTCGCGCTCATGCCCTTGTACAGGCCCCTGACGCCCTCGTCCCGCACGACCTGCTTGACGCAGTCCCAGCTGTTGCGGTACAGCCGCTTCGTCGCCCCGCCGCTGCGCTCCGACACGTTCTTATCCAGCTGCAGCCTCGTCTTGACCATCCAGATGGGATTCGTTGCCGTGCTCGTGGCCACGCCGGCCGTGACGCCGGCCATGAGATGCACCCACGGCGCCTCCTCGCCGCCGTTCCAGTACTCGGCCATGAGCCGCTTGCCGTTGCCGTACACGTAAAAGTTGATGCTCCTGGCGGGGATCACGCCCACCAGGTTGGGTCCCAGGCCCTTGAACAAGGCGCGCGGCCCCTCCGTGCGATACACCGAGCCCAGGATCTGCAGCGTCTCCGAGAGGTGGTACATGGCACTGCGCACCGGATTCAGCCTCCGCAGCGCCTGCGCCTGCGCCGCTCTGGATGCGCGGATCTGAGCCTGGTAGAAGTCGGACTGCAGCCTCGTCTTGAGGACGTCGAGCGGCGCCGTGACTGCCGCAGCGGTCATGCCGCCAATTCTAGAAACAGAAGCGAACACGGTCAGATGATTCTCTCTCTCTCTCTCTCTCTCTCTCTCGCTTTTCGGCGCTCTACCCCCTCATGCATCTTTCTCTTTTTTCTCCATCCTTGATATTCTCCTCTCCTCTCCTTGCCTCCCCTCTTCTGCCTCTTCTGCGCCGCCAGGAAAATAAAAAGGAATCACCTACCCGCCAGCCATAAAGTGCACCCACGACTTCGCAAACGGCAAAGCCTTCACCTGCCCCCTCGGACTGTCGTCTGGGAGCACGTCGCCCGTCTCTCTCGACTGCACCAGCGCCGCATGCTCGGCCGAAGCGTGAGAATGTTGGAACGGCCGCCCGTCATCTCGTCCTGCCAGGTACGGAGCCACCGCCGCAGGCCCCTGCTGCGCCATCGCCCGAGACTCTTCTCTTTCGAAATCTCTCTTGCTGTCACTTTTCCCCCTTCGGTTTCGGGTTTCCCTCTGTTTCTGCTTTGCTTCCCAAGGTGTAAATTATCTCTTCTCTCTTTTTTTTTTATCCTTTTTTTCAAATAGGTGTCAATCGATTGCTATCGTAGATCGCAGTGCGTTGGTGGTACGTTGGCCTTCACAAGTATGTAGGAGGGTGTGGCAAGGAGGAGGTGGAAGAAAAGGAAAAGAAAAAAAAAAGGGCAAAGGAATGCGTGTGATAGAAGAGGCTGTTGATAATTGTCCCTTGTACTAGATCTACCTAGTAAGAATAAGTCATAATCGAGGGCGCTTCAACAGTGTCTGGGGGTTAGAAGGGAACAGTTTGTTGGGAGAGGAAAGAGGGAGAGTTCCGAGTCAAGTCGAAGAATGATGTCGTTTATTGCCTCTTAACTTTTTTTTTTTTTTTTTTCTTAAAGAAGAGCACTTCTTTATCCTCTCATGTTTTACCTTTTTTTGTTTTGTTTTAGCTCGGCCGATGTGGCGCGCGCCTTGCAGCCAAAAGCACCTGCCGAAGTTACCCCAAGTGGCCAAGCCCAGCCGGTACGTACTCGGACTCACCCTCGAAATCGTCATTATCCACACTTGACATGATTTCTGTTCTTGGCACTACTACTGTACCTTCTGACTTGGCTTGATGCGGCTCGGTATTATTATAGAAGTGTCAATCTTCATGCTCTATGCTTAAAAGGAGCCTTCCAACTAGATTAGTCTGGGGGAACAAATCAAATAAAATACAATGAAACAAGATTCCGAATCAACCAAGTCTGGGAATCTCAATGGCTCAGCCAATCCCACCATATGTACGATATCCCACCCTAATCCCAGAATTCCATCCTGACCCCTTCCTCCATATCCCAGCAGCTCATGAATGTAGCAAACTATTCCCAATCGTCAAAAAACCATAACAAATTTTCCCTCGTATACACGCTGCCTTCATGCATCGCCACCAGCTTCATCTTGGGGCCAGATCCGGCAACATCCCAAACGGCTGCGGCTCATAGTCAGGAGGCGACAAGATGGAGGCGAGCTGCCCCGTTCGCCGCGGAGGGCTTCGAGGCGTGGTGGGCGTTGGCTCGATCCCGGTGAGTCGGGCCGTGGGCAGCAGTCTTCGAGGCGGCTCGGGAGCAGCGGCCGGCGCCAGAGCAGCCAGAGGAGCCAGAGGAGTCAGAGGAGCCAAAGGAGCCAAAGGAGTCAAAGGAGCCAGGGGAGCTAGAGGAGCTAGAGGAGCGAGGGAAGCAAGCGGAGCAAGCAGTGACGGCGTTGGCCCCATGGTTCCTGCGCCGTAGCTTGCCGGCGCGCTGGGGCCCGCCTCATAAGGCCGAGGATTGCCGCCGGCATTGGACTGCTGCCGTGCTGCCGCTGCCGCTGCCGCCGCCTTCTGTGCCTCGCGGCGTATCTTTTCCAGATCCTCCTTTATAGCCGCGGCTTCGTCGTCAGTGATGTTCCTCCAGTTGCATCTCGCGTGTTTCTTGGTGCAGCCCCGACACGCCGTCAGATGCTTAATGCACTGCAGGCGGAGACGCCGGCATCGGTCGCAGGGTGGGAATATAACGTCGCCCTTGTTGAGCGTGTCCGTCTTCTGCAGTACAAGGGGCCTGTATACTTCCGTGGCCGGGTCGCCGGGAAGCGCCGCCTGGCGTATGGCCATTGTCGCAATGGACCGCGAGTTGGACGTCGGCGTCAAAGCTGGCGCTGTGGATGATGGACTCGCAGCCGACGTTGACATGGGGGCTGGTGCCGGGGCCAAGGGTGGTTCCGCGGCCGAGGGCGGCTGATACGGCGGTGCTTCCAAGCTCGGCGGTGCCAGCGAACCCTGGCTAGACACCGACGTGGGCCGTGGTTGGTATTCCGGAGGCGCCCCTGACGGTGGGCTGTTTTGCATTGCAGCCGTGGTAAACTGCTGGAGAAGGTCTGCATGGAGGTCGAAGTGCGAGCTGATGGCGGAACGCGGTAGGTGATTGATGGCATGGAAGCTAGGACTAGAGCTGGAGCTGGAGCCGGAGCTGGAGCTGGAGCCGGAGCTGGAGCTGGAGCTGGAGGTGCCATTATGGAGTTGTTGCCGCCGAGAAATGACATGTCTGCGAAGCTCGAGTCTCTGACGCAGGATCTGAGCCCTCTCCGCAACTTCGTCTGCCCTCCTATGCAGCAGCAAGGCCCGCTGTTGGAGAATCTCGAGTGTCGCCAGCTCGGCCGCCTCGTCCTCTTCGAACGTGTGCTCCAGTGGGAACCTGTCCAGTGCTCCGGAAGAGATCAGGCGCCAGTCATCCTCGGTGATCTCGACCTGCAACCCCTGGTAAATGAATTGGCAGCAACGTGCACCGCTGGGCAAGGAGACGAGAGCAAATGCATCCGGGCTCGCTTTCGCCAACATGACCACGTCCAACCAGGTGACTTGCTGGGCGTCTGGATTGGGCGAATTGATGCTGATTGGGCCCTCGAAGAACCTTTCGAGGCCGCGTAGGAATCGGGGACCTGTCAGCTTGGCCCCAAGATTGGCCGCAAGGCTTTCGCTGCGGTCCATGACGCCTGCACGCAGAGTGCACCCTGTCAGCACATTCTTTACAACGCATATTCAGGGCATGGGCATGGGCATGGGTATGCCGTGACCGGGTAAGGAACAAGGCGCGCAGATGGAAGCATACCTTCATATTCACTAATGAGGTAGACGATGTCGCTGAAGGTATCTGCATCGCCTGGCAGCAAGGCTAAAAGCTGGGAGTTGTTTCTTGGCGTGAATTTGATGATGGATTCGGGAGCCGCTGGGCTTGATTAACATTGATTCATTCTTCTGCGTGGAGCACGATGCACGATAGATGACACAGTGAAAAGGAGACGGGGGTTGGGGGCACGCAAGCCGATGTGGCGAGCGAGCTTTGCAGTGGTCGGCGGGCATGAGGGAGCATGAGGAATCAAAAGGAATGTGTGAGAGGCTATCGCTTCAAGAGGAGGAATAGACATACATGAAGAGAGGCCTGACGAGGGCTGGCCCTGGCGATGATACGCAAGCTGGCGGCCGTCATCCTCAATACTCCGTTTCCGCTTGTGGGGCTCGGATCCCGGCGCGTGTGACATGGTGAGTTATGGCTTCTTCGGGACTTGGCAGAAGGCGGAGGCAGAGAGAGAGCGGAGACCCGGGGAAGCAGAGATCGATCAGGCAAGCAGGGACTCTGATAGTACGTTGCAAAGAGGCGCAGGGCGGAGAGTCAAGGAGAGCAAAGGAAGGGTGTCGTCTCAGGGCTTCAAGCTCCAAATGGAGGAAAGAAGGCAAGACTAGGTTCAAGACAAAGAGGCCCGGAGCAGCAACTGTCACCTGTTGTGAATGACTTCAGGCAAGGTAACAAGTCCAAACTACCCGTTCATCAAACGGCAAGATTGAGCATCAGTCAAACGAGGCAGCACCTTCTTGTCCTTGTCTTGGAAGACAATGGAATGAGTAAATCGAAATGATAGAGAGAGAGGGGGGGGGGGGCGGATGAGTCCTGGTTTTGTACAAGAAGGGGCGCAAATCCCTGGACAGGCAGAGAGGCCATTCAGATGCGGCGTGGCAGCAGCTTGTCGGACGGGATGCCCGCTCAGCCAGATGACAGTGGGTCTATCGGCGGGCGGCGACCGGGGAGGGGGCGTCCGTCAAGTAAAATAGCAAAAGAGCAGGCTCCTTTGTTCGCATCACGCAAACCGGATAGCCACGGGGAGGTAGCGGTAGCTGTAGCGGTAGCGTGCACAAGCCAGGGATTTGTTGGCTGCTTTCGAGCCGAAAGGATTCGATGGCCAGTTTGCACCAGGCAAGGTAGTATCCGAGCCTGGTCCCCAGGACGAGCTGGTCTTGTATAGTAGTACCTTGCTGCAAGTCGTAGTCTTCTTCGAGGAGCCTGTGTGATCTCCACAGATCGTTCTGCCGCTCGACCGGTCTTCAGGCCGGCTCACTAGTATGTGCCTGTGCCTTGGGCAAGATGCGCGTAAGTATGAAGCGTGCGGTGCAGCAGGCATCATGTAAGTGTCGACAAAAGGGTCCAGGTGCATATTCCAAGCGGCACAGCATCTTGGGCAAGAGGGGGGAGGGGTACAACTAGACAAGGCGACGGGGATGCCATCGTGAACAAGGGGTACGGAGAAAGGTGGTTTGCAGTGCTGGCCAAGAAGAGACGACAAGAGGCAATCAATCTACAACTCATTGCGTTGCTGCCTTTTGAGAGAGGGGAGGGGGAAGGGGGGGAGGAGGAGGAGGAGGAGGAGAAAGGGCAGAGGCAACGGTTCGAAACAATCCGCTCTGAGTCGTAAAAGAACCAAGTGGTCTTGATTTTTGCCATTCATTGATCTCTAGGAAAGACGTGGAGCAACATCGCGTCTTACTCCTCGTCCTTGGTAGTTGTAACAGAGCACGGCTCTCTCGACTTATCAACCGAGACACGGCAACGACGGATGAGGACGGAGAAGAAGAAAGACTTCCCCAGCGGACGCAGAGGGGAGGGGACGATGAGGGGGAGGGAGGGGATAGGGGGACAGCTGGTCTGTCTCATCGCGATGAACATAACAAGGTAAAGGACAAGACATGGCAAAGGCAAGGCGTGGCAGGTTTCCGGCGTAGTGTTGCAGCACGATTGGTAGGGTCTGACAGGGTAGGTCTGGCAATGGGCTTCCTGACAAGGGCCAGGGGGGGGCCTGCTCGACAGGGATGGGCTTCGATTGGAGAGGCCAGCTTGGCGAGTCAATAGAAAAGCAGCGGGTTTCGATAAGTTGGAGCATGTGGTGATGTTCGTGCTCGCATGTATGTAGTATTTTGGCCCTGCAATACTTCGTGCAGACAACTGAAGGTTGGGCACGGAGAGGGTTCATACCTGCTGCAGCTGAAGCATGGGACCCTGACTTGAGCGCGAGCAGCGAGCTGGTGTTGGTCCATCAAGGCTCGGTTCGGTTCGCCGTTTTGTTCAGCATGGCGGGACAGACGCACTAGGCGTGCTGCAGGACTGGTTCGGACACTCCTTGGACCTGAAGCCGGGCCATCAGCAGTTGAGGCGGACATGGGTTGATGCCCGGAGACGCAGTGGTGGCTGTAAGACTTTGTTCTTGTACTTTCAGAGTGCTGGTAGGAGTGGTAACAGTAGTTGTAGGAGGAGTACTTGTTGTTGTTGTCGTCGTCGTTGTTTGTTATAAGACCAGTCGGCGATTCGAACCAGAGACGGCAACACGGTGAGTTGAGCCCTGGACTTGGAATACTAGCCGTCCTTCTGCAAATGCTGCCGTGTCCACGACAGCCGAGTCGACAAGGCACCCGACCATGCGCTGGGTGATATTGGCGCCTTGCCGGTTCCGCATCAGCACAGGTAGGTACATGCAAGCACCTCTGCTGCACGCGCCAAAGCAGACATAATAGGGGGTGGAAGCACGGCGTGCACTCGTCACATATTCTTGCTCGCCGGTTTCATGCTGCCACCTGGTAGCAACTCTGGGCGTGCAGGCGGTGGGCGTCGCTGGGCCGTTGCAACGCAAACTGTCACCAACCAACGGCCGGCGTGGCCTCGCTCGCAGCGTGCACTCGCATGCATGTAAGTGCAATACCTCTACTATCCGTCTGCCCTTTCTCGAGGAACAAGGAAGGGGGTATGTAACGGCTAGTACTCCGCAAAACGCCGTCTTCCTGGTAGTACATAGTATGTATGTAGTGCTTGTCGCCGGGGAATGCAACCCAAGCCTTAACGTTAAGTGCCGGCTAGAGCATGGCGAGGAATGATCGTCGAGCGGACCGGGCGGCCCTGTTGTGCCCCCCAGTTGAGGGCTCCGGTCGATTCCCGCAGTGGGCGCGCGTGTACGGCAATCCAGCTCCCTGTCTGCAAGTCAGCGTGGCCCTCGAAGCGCTTTGTAGGTCCGGTATTTGTTCATACCTCGGATAGCTATAATCTGTAACGATAGCCAGGTGTTCAGGGCCAAGAGCAAACACGACCTGAACAAACTTGATGATCTAGGCTGTTCGAATTCGTGCTCGAGGCGGCTTGCCATGCCAGCACCACATAATAGGTGAATACTACCATGGTAGAACTAGCTTCCTGGCAAAGGCACGACCTCACATCGGTTAGCAGCAATGCAGGTTCAGGTCGACAGAAGCAAACAGGGTCGGGCCCGCATTTTGACGACAACAGCAGGGCAAGGAAAGGTGTGCCAGGCAGTTGGACATAGAGGGTGCAGGAGCAGCATCTCGGACGACAACCCCCCCAGAATATCCTGCAGCCGAGAGCAAGCCTTTGAACAAACGCCTGCGGTGTGTGAGAATCCATCCATGTCATGGGTCCGTAAGGAGGCGACCTTCTTGGAGTGTGGCAGCAGCGGCAGCTTCGCAGACACACCTTTTTCGTGCTGAGTGATTGATGGATGGATGAGTTGGCTTATCCTTGCGAAATGGGTCCTTGCTGTTGGCATCGAATGCTGGTGCTGTCTGCATATCTGCCCATCTGCCCATCTGCTCGCTGGTGCCCGCACGGCGTCGCCGCGCATCATGATGGAGAAGAAGAGGCGACGAGATTGCACATGCGGCAATTCACATGTCAAGGCCTGACAAGACGAGTGTGTGAGCAATACAGAAATCGAGACTCAAGAGCCCAGCCCGGATGAACGCCATATCGGTCGCTGCAATGCCGCCAATCTGCGTCTTGGAGGTTCCCTTGAAGGGCATGCATCTCGACTCGGTCTCAGCGTCCTCGCCAGACTCAACCCCATAGCAGGATCGAGGAGGGTCCAGTAGGGCAGAGCTGGACAGGGCAGCATAGCAGTGCGGCAGCATGGCAGAGGACAGCAGCCATCAGGACATATGCCGCCATTATCATTGCCCAATCGCGCTCTCTCTGGCCATGTTCCCGCTGTGTCGACTCCGCCGTACTCTCACCCCTCCCCCTCCGTCCTTCTCTTTGAGTGCCTCCAAGTTCTCCGCCTCGCACACGCCCTCTACCTGGCTTCGGATGGCAGCCGTATCGTTGGATTCTTCGCCGCCCAATCTGTCCCGCCACCCGAGCTCCGCAGATCGTTGGGTTCCACACAACCGCAGGAGGAGGAGATTTCGAGGCCTCTGGCTGTTGTGCCCAAGCATGGGGAGACCAGGATGCGTGGGACCAGTCCTGTGGCTCCCGCCGCTGCTGCTGCTGTCGGCTACATGGAGGAATAGCTTTGCAAAGTGGAGGACAGAGACCACTCCAGAAACCACTCCTGAGACGTGGGAGGGCATGACGGACATGCCATGCCATAAAGGGGGAGAGGGGGAGAGTCGGAGTTCCATGCTTGTGCAGGAGGGTTGTGTGGCAGCAAGCGAAGAACGACGGTCGGCAAATAGGAGGCACCTTCTGCTGCATGATGCTTGGCGATGTCTGCTCTTCCTTCAATCTCACCTGCTCCAGACTTGCCAGCACTGCTGGTGATGCAAGCAGCAGCCCGGCTGCGGGCAAGTGAGGTGAGGTGTATAAGATCTGAAGGTACCAGGTACTAGAGATAGGTATGGGGTGAGGCGGGAGTGCATGTCTTTCAACCTGAATGAAACATGACGCAGTATCTTACCATGCCGGCAGGTGCAGGTAGTAAGTACGTGTCGATGTCCCTCGTCACTTCCAAGTTGCCAGTTTACGTACTACCTAGGTACCAACTTGGTCCGATATTCCGTTCTTGCAGGGAAGGAGCGTTGTGCGGCCGCGGCTGCTGAAGCTCCAATGTTGACCAAAGTTTAGCAAAGGAATGCGTCGGTAGGTACTTATGTGTGAGCCTGGGCAAATGCAAGGAAAGAACATGCCCTCCATGATTTGTTACTACGTACCTCCTTACAGGTAGGAAGATACCTCATCTTTGGGCATTTCAGGATCACATCGCTGGAACCAAACCTTTGCGTGAAATTGACCTGACCAAGGTACCTACAATGATAGGCACTCTGATATGAAACAAAGGTAAGGTATCTTGCCTACACCAGATAGAGTGCCTCGATCGTCAATTCTCCAGAGGTAGGTACCTAGTTGCCGGTCAAGTACCTCAATTTACAGCAGCAGTAGAAGGATATCCTTTGTGACGTTGTCTCGTCAACTCCAACTTGCTTCGCCGACACGCCTGATCGTACCTCAGCAGACAACTGCAACCACATGCCGTTAGCAGCCCACCACCCTTGAGCATATCACATCAAATCTCACTGCGCTCGCATACGTTGATGAAGTCGGAAACACAGCTGCCATCCATCTTGATACTAGTAGTCCGCACTCGCTCTGGTAACTCGGGCTCTAGATCATACGACAAGTGTTGTGCTGGCGAGACTCCCACATCCCGTCTCCATCATGCATGGACATCTGGTATGGTTACACATGTTTACGAAACCCATGCTTGACTCACACTGCATTAGGAATCTTGGGGGAATGTACTATTCCGAGAGCAATGTTTTATGAGAAGAAAGCCAACGTGTGAACATGAAGTATGTAGTATTAGTTTGCATGACATTGGCTCTAGATACAGTTGGAACCATGCTTCTCATGTCTGCTTCAAGGGCCAAGGAGCCGATGGCCAGATCTTCGCACGTAAAGTAAGGCATATCCCCCTATAGCCGATATCTGCAATGTTACCATGCTTTGTTCCTTGGATCAAAAGCCCCTAAACCTCCGGAAGCTTGCCTGCAGCAACTCTACGTATGCATCGGAAGAAGCCCGCCTCGTATTTTCACTCAGATCCCCAAACAGAGGGCCTCGATGGTTGCCATTGGTTCCGAGCCATTGTCGACATGGAACTTTCATCAGTCAATCAGGTTTTGCAGAGTGCTTGCGGCCTGATGATATGATGCCTACCTACATACTTAGCTTCTTGAACACTGGTAAGGTAAGGTATGCAACGAGTGCTGGATATTCAGGCAGCTGGACAGGTCGTTTGCATGCACAATTGATTGACCAACTTCCTATTGCTTCCGCCTGCATCTGGTCGTGCTTCTACCACGGTCGGTGGACTTTGAAGCATACCTGCCTGAGCCGATGCTACGTGTTGCAGTCATCTCACGCTCGACTCTTGGACCGGCTGCACTACCTAGGTCTCAAAGCACTGGAGACGATGGGAGAAGAAACCGGTCAAGCTCATAGGAATCCCTTTCCGAAGGCATGAGCTTCGACAAATGCACCTACGAGCGAAGAGATAGGTAATAGGTAGGCGGCAGTATTTTGTCATTCCACCTATTTTATTCTTCATTTCTTCTCATTCCTTCTGTTGTGTAACACACATCCTTCACTACCTAGGACCGGGTTTAGCTGCTCCATGCTTTTGCGTTTCTTGCCTCTGTGACTGTCGCCGGAGATGCTTTGCAGGAACAGCGGACAGGTCCATGCTGCTGTTACCGTCCCTATCATACCGCCTTGTTCTGCCGAGAATGAACGGCACGAGAGCGGGATCCTCTCCAATGCGTTGGGTACTGCTGTACTGTACTGTACTACTAGTACTAGGTACTTAGGTAGGGAGCACTTGAACCACGCACATCATTGCCCTTCTCCTCACTGCATCTGCAAGTGACTGGTGTCGTGCACATAGAATGTACCTACCTTGAACATGCATGCATGCTTTCCATAGACCTTCTCATTGGAGTACAGGTACCTAGAGTGCCCCACCGGAAGATGGCCACCACCCCAAGATGGCCACGTCATCACGATTTTAACTACAAACTTTAACACAGCATATCTCTATAAAAAATAGGTCTATTAAAAAAACTAAAGTTGCCATTCATGCATTATCTCTTGCTAATTCATTTAAGCTATTTCAAGGGCTTCTTCCTCAAGATGCAGGCCGTGTTTTACCTCATACACATTAGCAGCTTGCTAAGCCTTAAATTTAGCTTTAGCAATAGCTAAAATCGACAGGAAGGTATTATTTAGGTCAAAATTAACAGCCTTGCGGCCGACAGGCTGCTTTAACTCTAGCTTAGCCTTAAGATAGTCGTTCTTTTCCTTCAACATGGCAATTATCGCATTCTTGCAGTTGATTTCCTTACCAGCCTTCTTAACTATAGTCCAGAAGCTACAATTAACTAAATCCAGGTTCCAGCATAGCATTCTAAGCTATATATTAATCTTACAACTATTCTTTAAAGTGTACTATAGATAGTCATTGCGTTTTTATATAGTCTTAGGCATAGCCGGTCAGTCAGAGCCCTTAGAGGTCTCAGCAATCTCATTAAACTGGATAACATAACATAGCGGCTTTAACACATTTACAGGATAGATGCCGCTAGCTGCAAAGCCTGCCTTAATATTATTAATTATAAAAGCCATCTTGCTAGCTTTTTAATATGCCTAGAGGAAGCGTTATTTCTATATTAGCGCTAACATGCTAAAAGATGCAAAGCTCCAGGTCTGCTAATAGAAATACATCTTTAACAGCCTAAAGACGCCTATATCCAGCAGCTGTATGGCATGCAATATATGCAGAGGAAGGTATAGAAGCTATATGCAATTCAGCCAAGCTATGTACATAAATTTAATCATAATATAGGTTCAGGCCCTATCCAGGATAAGGAGACGCCATAGACTAGCGTCATCAGGCTTTATTAGCAGCAGGAAGATATATTTAAACCATTTAAGGACTATCTTGCTGTTAGCCCAGCCTAATAGGCTGCAGTTATAGGCCCAGTTAGGGAAAACATCCGGAAACCACTGCCCTTAAAGGTTACTGCCTAAAAACACCATACACAGTAGAAGTCTTCATCCTGCCGCGCTTACACACTCTAAAATCATAGACCAAGTTATAGAATCGCTCTTTATAACAGCCGCTAACTTCATTAGGCTTAATCCAAGGACCTTGCTAAACGCAGTCTCGCCTTCAGTAACGCCAGTCTCGTCAAAGTTAAAAAGCCTAGTTATAAAGATGTGTTTATCTTAAATCTAGAAGGCTAGGCGTTTATAAAAGACTTCCAGAGCTTCTTTTATTATAGATTTAACTCAGGAGGCCTTAAGAGGTCGGCTAACTTTTATCTTAATATTGTCATGCCGCTGGATAAAGCAGTCTACCTAGTTACAGCCAATAGCTTTATCATCGCTGTTATTAACGACAATAAGCTAGGCAAAGGCCTAGACCTAGGACTTTATTAGAGGGCGGCCGGCGCCTTCCTCAGCTAGAATCCAGTTAACTAGCATCTCTTCTTGCAGCAGCAATAGCCTTTAGGCATTAGCCTTGGCTTTTTAGATTAGTTAACGCCTATAAAGTTGATATTGTAAGGTTAATTGAGGGACTCCGACCAGTTAGCTGGCCTTCATGACTAAGCTTCCCTCGCGGACTTAGTGTAGTCCCTCTAGAATTAATTACTCTCTGTCAGTCTTAGGGCTTCTCATGATGGTATTTTTAATACGATACGATGAAAATTGGCTGCACAATGTTGGAAAGAAGATAGTTGGTTTGGTGTTGTTGTATTTTCGATAACGTGGCCATCTTAGGGTGGTGGCCATCTTCCGGTGGGGCACTCTAGTACTTGGATCGTCAGCAACATAAGGTACTAGTAGGTTTGCTCCGCTGAGGAGGAGGAAAGAAAGAATATGGGAAAAGAGATGCAGTTGCTTCCGGGCTCATAGGACTTGTATTATCACTGTACCCAGAAATGCGCCTAGTCCCAAATGGGCTCAACCCCTCCGCCCACTTGTTCTCTCCCTCCAAAATCCCACCCGTCATGCATCCGATAATACCTAACCTGACCTCACGCAGCTTCACTCACCCAAAGCAACACCACCAGCTTCCATTCATGCCCACCCGAGCACACGACGCCGCTCGACAATAACCAGCCTCCTTCCACCAATCCGGCCACAGTCCCGTCCCCCAACAGAGTCCGCAGACGAGTGCAGCAGGCCAATGCGCAGCGGCCATCATGTCCGATAGACCTTCGCACAGAGGCGGCCGCGGCGGCGGCGACCGAGGCGCCCATCGCGGCCGGGGAGCAGCAGCCGGCGGTCGCGGAGGCTCGTCCAACGCCCAGGGTGAGCGGCCCAAGAAGGAGAACATCCTGGACCTGGCCAAGTACATGGACAAGGAGATCATCGTCAAGTTCAACGGCGGCCGTGAAGGTAGGGCCCTTCCCTTAGCAACAAGGAGACGTTCGATGGAGACGTCATGGGCCGCAGTGGCAGTGGTTTGTGGCAGATCTAGCTGACCAACGTTCTTGACGCGCAGTCCGCGGCACTCTGAAAGGCTACGACGCCCTCATGAACCTGGTCCTCGACCAAGTCCAGGAGACACTCCGAGGTCAGCACCCATAACTACCACCCTCTTCTCTTCGTAAATCGCGGGTTCTCTTCTAACATGACGTGTGCAACCCACAACAGACGACGAAGGCAACGAGTCATCCCGGTCCCTTGGTCTCGTTGTCGTCCGAGGCACGCTCCTCGTCCTCATCAGCCCCGCCGACGGCAGCGAAGAGATTGCCAATCCTTTTGCCCAGCCTGAAGAGGACTAAGGAGGCAAAACCCCCCACAAATGGAGAAGACGCCAGAAAGAAGACTTAAAGGGTCGTTTGGCGTGCAATAGCTGGACCATATTCATTGGAAAGGTCTGAATATGAGACAATTGAAGGGAAAACACGATTCACAATGGCACAAGGGATAGGATCGGGCCGCGCCTCAACTCGGTCCTATCCGTTCCTTTGCGGAAAACCCGGGACACATCGAACCTAGTCGATTTGGCACGGCATATCTACGGTTGGTGATTATTGATTCGGTCATGGACGCCTCCCATCTTCCGGGCGGGAGAGGGAAATAGCATTGAGATAGACGCTGGCATCCCCCGTGAGCATGGGGCCAACGCTTTGTGGCATTATCAGGGTAGAGGCGCGCTTTGGAGATAAGAGAGACATGTACGAGGTAGCTATTGGGGGGAACACATCAGATGTCACATCAGATGTCACATCTTGGCCACAATGATGCGAAAAACAGCTTCTGAGTTATATGTAATGCTGGGCGTCGGGATTTGGTAACTTGCAGAAAATAAAAGCTCTCCACAACTTACCAGAATACATCTTCTCGCCAAATCGTAACACGTGCTTCCTAGCTCCGAATCGAGTCGTGATCCGGGTCACATTTGCGAATCAAGGTGCATGTTGATTGTGAATAAGTATATGGGTTTTTTTAGGGGCGCTATTACTCGAGTATGTAGGCTGTTACTCGAGTACCTATGTATACGCGGCTGGCTTCTGTCTTCGCTTCTTCGACCTCCCCCCCTGGGTGACCCAAGTCACTTGCCCTCTTTCCCCCCTCCCCTCAAGAAGACTCTCACATCTCCCTCTCATACCTAGTATTCCCGTCTTCTATCCTCCCGTTCCCTTCTCACACTCATACAGAATCCAGACAAAACAGAAATAGCAAAACATTTCAAAAACAGTCTTCGGCACCGGCGCAGACGGCTGCATTGCTGCAGGACCAAGTCTGTCAGTATCGCACAAGCCCATCAACTCTCTTGCCCAGTGTCTCCCACAAAGCCATTGCTTCTCTTCTTCTTCCGGCCGTTCGACTGGTTTCTTTCTCTCTCTTTGCTTTGCTTGACCACAATCAGGCTTGCCGGATACCGTTGATGGGTTGTTCCTCGTCTCTTCTTCTTCTTCTTCTTCTTCTTCTTCTTATTCTTCTGCCGCGCTCTTTCCGCCTCTCTTGCGCCGTGGCTGGGCCTCCTCCCCTAGAAGCTTCTGCCTGGCTTGGCCGCCTTCATCAATTCGTTAAAAGCGCTGAGCAGCTGCTTCTTCAGCTCCTTGTAGCTGACGACAAAGCTGGTCTGCTCGTCTCTGCTGGTCAAGCATATTCTCTCGTCGATGCCAGCGTCGAGCTTGTTGAGGCACCGGAGCATGTGTCCCACGTCGATGACGGGGTTACCGTTGCTGTCCACCTGGTGGAAGACATAATCTCTAAACAGCTTCAGCATATATCGCTCCCCATTTTCCGACCAAGCTCTGTCGTTTTCAAACTCTTGGCGCTCGTTGATGGTGCCGAGCTTCATCAGGAGCCTGGCGATCCGCCCGTTCTCCAGCTCACGGAACAGCTCGGAATTGAGTGTATCTGCCCTGTGCTGGCTCTGGTCGAAAGCCGACACGATGTGGGTTGCTATCCCTTGAATGAACTCATCAATCGACTTGTGAGGAGCGGGCGGCGTGAGCAGCCACGTGATGGTATCCCTCATTTCCGGAGAATAGGTCCTGTTCATCTGTTCCATGGCCGCGCTCACGTTGGTGAGCTGCTGGGGGGGCGTGCTGGTGGCGAGGCAGAGCATGGTGCGGCCAAACTGCTGCAGGTCGTCTTGCTGCAGGTCTTGGATAGGTCGTCGGATGTCGAATTGGACTACGTCTAGCACGGAACACGCGCTGAGGCGGATCCGGTTCTTGTCGGTCAGGATAATCTTGCTGGGGTCGAGACAGCGCGCCGCCAGGTTGTTGCTGTGAATCGACTTGAGGCCGCTGGCAATCTGGGTAATGTACCCCCACAACACCGACTCGGCAATGGGCGTCTTGGGCTGGAAACGGCCGGTGCCTGCGTGCGCCGCGCTTGGCGTGAGATGCACCTCGGCCAGCGTCTTGGAGAGGGGATGGTAGTCCTGCACGAAGATGAGGGAGCTGTCTCCAAACGCTCGAGTGGTGAAGGCATCGTGGATCCTGACAACGTTGGCATTCTCAACTCGCTTCCACTCCTTGACGGATCGAATAGCATGCTCGTTTGTCAGGCGGAACCCCTCCAATCTCCGCAGGCAATAAAGGTTCCCATTCTTGGAGGATGTGGCCTTGTACACCCAGCTGGGGTACCCAAAGGTGTTTGCATTCTTGCGGTGTGTCGTGTCCAGAGGCACCAGGGAATGGTAGCTGTCCAGCTGGGGCAGTTGGGAATTGGGCAATACCTGCATGGCCGCTTCCGACTTCTTCTGCAGCTCCTCTCGCAGCTTTTCTGGCACAAAAAAGTCGTGAGTGAGACGATGGTACGGCATCAAGTCTTCTCGGTAGGGCCCTATCGGGGCGTAGAGATGGTGCTGCAAAGGTTGCAATGGCGCCGTAAAGGCGTTTTGGGGTTGGAAGTATGTCGATGGCGCGCCGGTGATGGCACTGTGATCCTCTGCATAGGGGTTGAACGGTGTAGTAGCCAAGTTTTGGCTTGGCATGTTGAACACATCGTAGCCGACGGTTCCATCTTGCGATGTGCCGTTTGCTGGTGTAGTCTGTAAAGATGTCAGTCGGGGTCGCATGGTGACAACAAGAGAGCAATCCTACAGTGGATGAACTGAGATCAAAACCTGGTGTGAATTCCCGGATAGCGGCGGGATTGAACACTTGTGCCTCCGAATCAGGCAGGGTAGATGGCGTGGCAGCTATATGTGATGAGTGATTTAGTACTGAGTAGTCTTGATGGGGATGTATGCCAGTCTTTCTCACCTCCTAAGCCACGGGGAGTGAAGGAGGGGGCTGTAACAGCTTGCGAGGAGAAGGTTGGTTTCTTGTTGGTTGAGTTTGTTGTCTGGAGAGTCGACGGTGTGAAGGATGGCGACTCGACATTGAGAGCCTTCTTCGAGCTGTAGCGGCAGAAGTATATGGTTAGCTTCAGGCATATCATGTGAATCCAGAAGCAGGCGGTATCGGATATTGGCATCGACCACGCTGAGCACGGTGAAACAGCGCCGGGTATGTGCGTTTGTGTAACAGCCTCCTCCGCCGAGCTGAAGGTGATGGACGTCCTGTTGCTCTCCTGCGCTGCGATTGATGAATACTGGATATCAACAACCTACCTGTCTTGCTGGTGCGAATTCGAGTTTCCCTTGTTGGGGTCGTGCGAGAAGGCACACCCTTGCTCTTGGTAGCGGCAATGGCCGTATATAACGACATTGCGGCAGAGTGTATCTTTTGTGTCTGCAGCGATGCCAAGTTAGTCGGGGCCGGTTTGGCGATGGCATTGCGATGCGGTCGGGAGGAACCCACCTCGCGTCTTGGGCCTTGGAGAGCCGACCTGGCGCCGCATCTCGGCGGTCTGGTATCGCGATGTCGCCATTGGTGATCAGTTTTGTCTCCAGAAGAGAGTATCGGTGCCGTCCCCTGGGCCGGATTTACGACTTCTGGTGGTGGAATCAGCTTGCGATTTCGGCTTTTGTAGAGAGCGCAGGAAACGGCGAGAACGAGTCGGTGACTGGGTAGGTAGCGAGTGCGCAGTGTTTGCAAAGGTGCGAGGATTCGTTGGAAGCAAGAGCAAGATCAGAGCGACACAGAGACATAGAAGGCGGAAGCTGGGGATAGCGAAGGAAGACGAGCAAGGACGGGAGACGAAGACGGAGAGGATTATGCAGGCAGGTAAGTTCGTAGATTGGTAGGTAAACACCTTGGTAATGTAGGGACGAGGAAGGATCGGAGCGGCTCTGGGCTGGTTGTGCTTTTGTTTACCAACATACTGGATGGCGACAATCGTCTCCCATGGCTCAATTGATCGGGGCGGCGTCGCGCCCATGGACGGAGGTGAAAGTAACTCTACGCCCGGCTGGGGCAGGAAATGGCTGGAAGCGAGAAGTTGGTGACGAACAGCCGCGCCTCAGTCGCCGCGGGTCGAGTTGGTGTCTCTGGACGAGTGGGGAGAGAGCGCCGCCATCTTGGGACTATGGCGGACGTCAGACGACGCTGCTAGCCGGAGTTGAGCCGAGCAGGGAGCCCAGGGAACATGCCAGCACTTGTCCGGCAAGGCTGGCAAACGCAGGTTTACCTGTATAGTCTGTCTGAATAGGTAACCTACTCTACTTGGTATGTATCTTACTGAGCAAGTGCCCTCTAATGCACGATACCTTTATTTGCAGCCTTCTCCTGTCATGAGATCAGGAAAACCTTTGACAGGCAGAGTCTGCATAAATTATCGAGGGTCACATTGCATCTCTCTATACCTTACCCTGTTGGATCTGAAGGCTTGCAGGTCGCCGTGCAACGCAGCCGACGTTTGAGCAAGCAGAAGGCATATCTTCTTCTAGATAAGTCTCAATGAAAATTGTATATCATATGCGTGACATTAGAATCAAACTGTTACAGTCAATCATTGAACCATTCAGGCGACTTGAAGAGTGCCTAAACAGCGAATGCATCTCTGATACCATGGGAGCTGCGGACGGCCAATTAGGTAATCAGCGTCTGCAACGCAGGTCCTACCTGGTAAAAGGTACCTATACCTATACCAATGAACGCGCTACACGACCTCTGCAGGTAGAAGCAAGGTACCTTGAGCAGAGCGATCGGTGAAGCATGATGGGAACCGGAAGGAAAAGGAAGGAGACACCACCAATAATTCACCACCAAAAACGGGAAGCCGACTTGCTGCATCTCCATGCATCAATGAGTGGAACTCATCAATACCTACGGAGGTACCTCATAACACATCAGATACCTTGCTTTGTGATGCAAATTCACTGACGACCAGATGTACCTTATGGCGAGTTGTTGGGCTCCGCTATGGCGATGAGGTAATGCAGCCTGACGCACCTGCAGGCACTGGCTGGCAGGCTTGACAGGCTTGATAAGCCCGCTAATACTACCTAAGGTACTGCTGCCAGTGAAGGCCGTGGAGCTCTAGTACCACCGAGGTCCCTTATCGACATCGGATTACCTCACCTCAAGCTCGTTGCATCTTACAACTACCTACCTACCGAACAAACAACCGCTGACCATCACCACAAAATCACCAGCCCATTGTGTTGCTCTGTGCAAAAAAGAAAAGACGAAAAAATATATGGAAGATACATGAGCATTCTAAAGTTTTTCAACTACCCCTAGCCTCCCGTTTCCGTCCGTCGACCGAGGTACTTGCCGACGATGGCCGACACGGCAGACGATACGGGACAGCTGTCACCAAGCCAGCAAGACGCCCTGCAGCAGTATATGCAACTCACAAACCAAGAAGCAAAGGATGCCATTCCGCTGCTGACACGATCGCAATGGAACGTGCAGGTACGGTTGAAGCTGCGAGTTGTCTCTTATTGAATCATGCTTCTCCTTGACCTCGAGCAACTCGATCGCTCATCAACGTCACTAACCGCCCGCGGCAACCTCCAGATCGCCATCACCAAGTTCTTCGACGGCGAGACAGCCGACCCTGTAGCCGAGGCATTGGCCGCCCAGGAAGCTCCACGCTCAACCGCACGCCACGAGAACCTGCAGGAGAGCTTTCTGGAGGCGCCAGACCGACCAACTGCCGCGAGCCGGCGAAACCGAACCGACGTCGCTCCCCGGATCGTGCCCGCTCCGCCCGTGGTTCACCGGACGCCATGGGTTCTTGGCCTCCTGCTGACGCCCTTCAGCTGGGGCTGGCGTGTGGCCTCGACCCTCCTGCGCACGATTGGCTACATCCTGGCGTTCTTGCCTGCCTCCTTGCGGCCGCGGACCGTCACGACGGGAATCTCTACGGGAATTCGAAGCCCGAGCGGTCGCCGGATGCTGATGCCGCGTGATGCGGCAGCCAGGTTCCGGCGGGAGTTTGAAGAGGAGTATGGAGCGAATGGCCTGTCATTCTTCGAGGGCGGCATAGCACAGGCCCACGACCTGGCCAAGAAGGACCTCAAGTTTCTCCTTGTCCTGCTCTTGTCGCCCGAGCACGACGATACCGGCCCATTCATCAGGGACACACTGCTGGCCCCGGAGGTTGTCGAGTTTTTGAACGACCCAGCCAACAACATCATACTCTGGGGCGGTAATGTTCTGGATTCAGAGGCGTACCAAGCATCTGTCGAGTATGCTTGCACAAAGTTTCCCTTCTCGGCTCTGGTGTGCCTGACCCCGAAGGAGGGCAGCACTCGCATGGGCATTGTCAAGCGATTGGTGGGCCCCATGCCTGCTTCCACATACCTGTCGGAACTGCAAGCAGCCATGGAGAAGTACGGCTCCGACCTGGACAGGGTACGAGCCGAAAGGGCTTCGCAGGAGCTGGCTCGCAGTCTACGCGACCAGCAAGATTCAGCCTATGAACGATCGTTGGCTATCGACAGGGAGCGCGCGCGAGAGAGGAGGGAGGCTGCTGCAGCCGCGGCGGCGGCGGAGAAGCGCGCTGCGGAGGAGGCCAGAGCAGCTGCTGAGCGGGCTGAGAAACGCCGCCAGTGGAAGTCATGGAGGGCTCCCAGGATCCTTCCCGAGCCCCCGGCAAGCGACAGAAAGGTTGTGCGGATTGCTCTCAAGATGCCCGAAGATCTCGGGGGAGAGAGAATCGTCCGGCGGTTCCCGCAAGACGCCCCCGTCGAAGAGCTGTACGCCTTTGTGGAGTGCCAAGACATCTTACGCGGGGAGACCCTGGAGGAGGAAAAGGTGGAAAAGCCAGATGGCTACGAGCACAAGTACGAGTTCCGGATAGCGTCCACGATTCCGCGTGTGGTGTACGAGCCGAGCACAAGCGCGACGTTGCTGGAAGCGATTGGCAAGTCTGGCAATCTCATTGTGGAAGACCTTTCTGATGACGAGGAGGATGACGAATGAAGAAGCATGATGGAAGCATGGCACTCACGAGACAGTGATATCCTCCTCACTCTCTCCCTTGCTTGCGCTTCGCCCCATGGGAGAAGTGGCCTGGAGCCAACAAAGGCTGCCCTACTTTTACACACTGCGACTGCCTGGTCCATGAATCTACAAGGGTGCTCAGCCAGCAGAGCTTTGAAGAACAGCGTTTCTAAGCCCGCTTGACAGTTGGGTCATGAGGAACTATTCAGCACACGGGGCCCGTCTGTGTTCGATTGTCGGTGTCCACTTAAAGACTGTCATGACTACAGTACATAGAGAAGGACTGGAAATGACATGCGTGAGGTATCACTTACGAAACAACAACCCAGTCTGTCTAGTGTTATCATTCTACTGGCGACAGGCCGAGGCGAACGGGCTTCTTTCCATCTTGATCTACATGTGCACACGTACAATACCGGGGAGCAAGCAGTTCTTGATTACGCAGACTGTGAGGCTGTGCAGACCTGATTGCTTCGAGATGGCACATGGCGGCCTCCACGGTCAATGCCAAGGGAACGGACGAAGGCGATGGCTTGGAAGCAGCCATATCGGGCTGCCGGTGGCTTTCCTTCTACTTGTCTCTTCTCTTCAGCGGTCACATCGCTGCCAATGTGCTGGGGAGAGGTGAGACTAAAAGCCACTCAGACGTTCTCTCCGCAACCTTACTGCTGTCAAAGCTCGTGGGTGCCATGAAGTCAGGTAGCAGACACCACTAAACTGGGGAGGTTTCGACACATAGGTAGGTAGTACCTCAATTGAAGATTAATCGTCATCCATCCCCTTCTTCATCTCCTACATCATCACTCAGATGAGATTTTGACGATTGTTATATTGCCCATCATGCTGTGAAAAGCACTTGCGCTATCGGTAACTGACAAGCATGTAATCCATCACTTCAGACTGACAACTAGAAGAGGGTTAAGAATGAATCCGTGAGGAGCTGTCCATCGGCCCGGTACCTGGGAATGACGCTCCTAGCCTAGCGCAGCCAAGTATCGAAGGACTAGATCGATGGGGGTGCCCCAGGAAATCCAGCTGCGCCGCAGTCATTACGCAGATCCAGTCGTCAGGTCGATCGATTCGATTCTCACACTGGGATGCCGTGATGCTGGCGATCAGCCTCCCGTCAGCAGCTGGGGGTTAGGTTGTAGAGAGGTAGTAGTGGTAATAGCAGGTAGTAGTATCTAATATTACTTCATACCTACCTCCTAGCAGACAGCAACTCTTATAGCATAACCAGCAGGGCCAAGCCGGAGCTCACGGAATACGTTCGACGCTGCGCCAAGCACCTACTGGACCCTTGCTCGGCCATTGGTGGATGCCTCACATTGATGTTACGCGGCTGGTGCCACCAAGTTCAAGGGTCGTCAATGGCCCTACCCCGATTTTTTCTTTTCTTTTTCTTCAGCAAACCACCGGAAACGACGTCAAGCCGCATCTCCAGTCATCGTTGGGCTTGTTGAAGAAAAGTACTAATTCTACTACTAGGACCTCCACTCCCCTCTGAGACAGGACCAGGCAGCTACAGGGGGGGAGGGGGCAGGTCAGAGGAACAGGCAGCCTGAAGGATTCGAGACGGGACGGTTTAAAACGAAACCGCGTCTTGTGGGGGAAATCAGTAGCAAACAATGATGCGAAAATCAAACACAGGGTGAGACGGACATAACAGCAAACGAGAGCCCCGGCCCATTGGTCCAGATCTCTGCATGAATGCATCAATGATATCTCCGAGGCTCTGGGCCGGGAAGCAACAGTACTTGTACATGGAGGCGTTCAAGCCACTCCCGTTCCTCATGAGGAACGAACGAGTCATCTCGGGCTTCCAGTGGTACATCCATCCATTCAGAGGGTAGTGCGAGCTGGAGACACAGCACAGCAGCTCACCTGTCACACGCTGCAGCCTATTACTGCCTACCAGGTTACAGCCTAGGTAAGGTAGTACTACTATGTACAGACTTCCATGCAACCCCCCCCAGCCTAAACAAGCTCAATACTGCAACCACCGAGAAACCTCGCCTCACACCCCCAGAAATCGTCAAACTCCTCCAATCTCCCGCCTCCGTCTGCATGTTTCCTGTCTCCTCGACAACTTGACTTACACATATGGGCACTATCTGCTGGCCACCTCTGCAGCCCTTGATTCGAATGAAGCAGGCAAAATAGCCTCCTGCTTGTGATATCAGCTCCCTCGTCCTCTGCTTCTGCGTCTACTACTACTCTCTTCCTCTTCGTGCCCCGCAAAAGGCGCCCAACGCGCTTCGACCTCGGCCGGTTGTCTGTGCTTCGCGATCTCGACCCAGGGCACCAGATAGGAATCAGACGTCTCAAGATGAAGTCGATGAAGGGCCTCTCTGTGAACAAAATGCTGGGGAGCATCAGGAAGAGGACAGGTACGTGCTACGTGCTCTCTTTGGTTTCCCTCGACCCAAGCTCGCATAGCACTCGATGGGCGCCGAGACGGCGATGCGCTGCCCTCTGCGTCTTTCTCTCGACCCTAAGAGACCTGCCGGAGCTGCCTAAGGCTAACGATTAATTTCCTCCCTTGCGTCTTCAGCGATAGGCAGCCCCGATCGTTCAGCTGCGACAACACCAGGAGAGACACCCGAAGTGACAGCTCACAACAGCGTGGTATGTTGTCTGTCCCTTGCCCTGTCGACGGCGCAGCAGCCTCGACGGGTGATGGCGCGCGCCTTTGGGCTAACTGAGCCTCTTTAGAAAGCATTCTGCGAATCTGGAGGAACCGCAAAGGTACGTGGCCTCCCCCTCCTCAAGGGAGCGGCAAGCCGCCGAGCGACATTTTACTAACAGATGCATTGTGTCTTTTCTCGTGCAGAGCGAGGAAGTGCTCTTCCTCCCGCCGATTGTCGATGCGGCCGAGTCCTCGCCCACTGCCGCCGCCGAATGCGCGCGCATCATCCGTAAATACCTGGCCAAAGACTACTCGTCGCGGCCGTCATGGCAGTACAACGCCATTATGCTGATGCGGATACTGGCCGACAACCCGGGCGAGACCTTCACCAGAAACTTCGACACCAAGTTTGTAGATACGGCTCGGGCCTTGCTCAAGAGCACAAAGGACAACAGCGTGCGCCAGATCCTCATGGACACGCTCGATGACTTTGAGCGCTCCAAGTTCTACGATGTGAACCTGACCCTCATCATTACCATGTGGCAAGAGGAGAAGGAGAAGGCGATCAAGCAGCATGGAGTAGGTTCCCTCACAGCGCTGGCAGCCCGAACGCGGAGACGAACCACGGCTTGCTAACACAACAGGCGATAGGGTCGAGCACCTACACTGCCCCAGCGCCCTGCGCAGTCCTCAACGCCCCAGTCCTACAATGGACACTCGCAGAACTACTTCTCCAGGCACCATAGCAATCACCGACTGCCTGAGCCCGTCGAGCTGACCAGCAGGTTGGAGGAAGCGCGGTCCTCGGCTAAGCTGCTGGAACAGCTCGTCATGAACTCGCCGCCCGTGGAGCTGCTCGAAAACGATCTTGTCAGGGAGTTTGCCAACCGCTGTCTGAGTGCCGCCAGGAGCATCCAAGGGTACATGTCGTCCACGGATCCCGCGCCGGACAACGATACCATGGAGAGCCTCATCGACACCAACGAGCAGCTGCAGACTGCGCTCAGCCAGCATCAGCGCGCCGTGCTCAGCGCCCGGAAACAGCTGGGCCTCAACGAGCGATCCGAGAACCCGTCGCCTGCCCCTGAGCGACAATCCCCCCACGGCTCAGGCGGCCCCAATGGCGCTCAGGGATGGCAGGCCCCCGCTGCCGGGCCGTCATCGTCCACCTCCAGCCCCGCGCCCTTCTCCCATGTCCCGAGTGGTAATGGAAAGGGCAAGGACACGGACATGTACAGCTCTCCTTTCCATCCTCCACCGAACGCTGGCCAGCAGTCGGACCCGGGCCGGGGCAGGGCGCCACCACTTGAGCCAGAACCGTTGCAGGAGGATCCATTTCGTGATCCGCAACCCTCTGGTCCGAGCCCCAATGGCCAGCTCGCGGTTCCCGGAGACGAGCCCTTCCACCCAGGCTTTGGGATGAACAGCCACCGAGACGGTTCGTCCACACACGGCACTGCTGGGTCCGGCGTTGCTTCCGAGGATTACTCGACACACAACCCGCAGCCCGACTACCAAGTTTCAGACGACGAGGACCTTTATTCGTCTCCTCCAAAGAATAGCAAGGAACCCATGTATCGGTACTGATGGGCTATTCACTCGACATTTGACTGCTCGGGAGGACAAACACGATAATCGGGACACCACCCTGGGATTGGTGCTGCCCAAGCGTAGTGTTGAGGAGAAAGGGGGGTTCTCCAGACGGTAAATGGCTTCTAAAGATGTTTTTCTTTTTCCCCTTTTCATTTCGCGATTTCAAGAGTATCACCTATCTCCGGGCACTGTTCGCCCACAGTATCTGCGCTTGCCTTGTCCCAGACTACCCATTGCGTTTGCAATACCCTTTTCATTTGACGGGATACCCTTTCAACGTTGAGCGAGGATGCGAGCAATTCATGGCTCAGACAGAAATACATGTCGTCTAGTCTCGTCTATCTGTAACAGAAACGCGGCTCACTGCCGAATCAACGCAGCGTGAAACTGGCCTTTATGTGGGTTTTTAGAAAGTGACTGTGAGCGACATATTTGGGAGTGGCATATTTTGCATGTGACATGGCTCAGTAAAGGATCCTTTGTGAGTCTGGACCGGTGCTCCATCAGCTGTTCCCCACGGATAGGAACAAGGGCTTCTGATAACCAGTTGATGGAGGTTGTTTTGGCGAGGTGGCGGACGATCTGTTGATACTCGAGTACGGCGTAGGATGGGAGGCGACCGACTTGACGTCGGCGTTGGGAGGCAGGACACGGATGATGAGGAAAGACGAGCATCTCTGTAGTAGACAGTTGGGTTGTGTTGTTGTTGTTGTTGTTGTTGTTGAGTCCCTTTGATAGCTAGTGCGGATATTTTTTCGAGACTGATGAGGAGCCTTGAACCGCTCATCTGACGGTGCTCCATGGGCGCCTTGCTATCCTGATGCTGATGGCTGTTTCGAAGACTGATGAGGTATCCATCTTGGTATAATCCATCCCTCGATCAGGCCTTTCCAAAACTTTGGTCATGCAGACAAGGCTGGGTCCTTGATTAGACACTTCCTGGCGGGCGGTGAGCAAGGCGTGGTTGTTGCCATTGTTCCTCGTCCCGGCTTTGGTCTTTCCATTCACTCATCCTCCACCATCCACCAGCATCTTTTCTTCGTTAGCAGCATCAAACATACACTTGATCATTGCCGTGGTTTCGAATGGCATGCTCAGGGAAATTGCGAGACGGAGACGCCCCGAACTCCCTTTTCAGGGCTTTCCGAGACTAAAGAGTCGATTCTGACAAAGAAACCCATTGTTCGAAGGACATATATCCGAGTCGGCAGCTTTCATCGCGAGGCGGTGAGAGGCTCTGACTGAGAGATCAGGCAGACGTCGAATCTCCCTGCCCTGCGGACAAATCATTGTCGACCTACGGATTACATCGAACTGCTGCCTTTTGCCCAAGGCTGAAGCAGGGCAGTTACAGTGCCGAGTCAGTATCTTATTGCCACTATATCAAGTAAAGAACGGTATGGTGCTCAATTTGGACTTTGAGGCTTTCAGGTTATACTTTGTGCTAGCGAAGGATACCAGCTGCGGAAATCAACTGCTTCAGCCTCCCCCCGGAATCAACTTGCCCTCTTTTTTCTTCTTTCTTTCCCTTTCATTTTTCATCTATGGCTCCCACCAGATTCTCCCTCTTCTCCATACACGTACATGATGGGTAGGGCTTTGGCTGTAGCCAAGCGCCCTCGTTGTTCACTTCTGCAATATCGCCCCCCCTCCCCCCTTTACTGTTGGTAGTTCACGCCAATTGTGCGGATACTGCTCACCATGTTGATCTTGAATCACTTTGCAGTGGCCGCCATGGCGATGCCGACCTTTACCTTGGCAATCACACGAGGCGCAACGAACTCCAGGAACTCCAGCGACTTCAGATGCGGCGCTACAGCCAATGCCGCATTCATGGCGCAGTCCAAACGACTTGCGGAGGAAGAGGCCGAGGACTCGATGCTGGGCCAGAGGTCCGCCGCAAAGATCAACGTCGACGTGCATATTCACATCGTCACACGGTCACAGGATGATACAGCGGGAGATATCAGCGTACGTCGTCTTCCTCTTCCCCGTTCTCCCTATTCCAAGTTTCGTGCAAGTGTGGCCTAACATAGCGACACTGAACAGGACGACATCGTTCACAAGCAACTTGAAGTCCTCAGAGCCGACTATGCGCCGGCCGGCATATTCTTCGACCTCAAGACCATCGATCGAGCCAGCAACGCCACATGGGCGAACGGTACTGATCTCCACGGCATGTGGCACCAGCTTCGCAGCGGCAACTATGGAGACCTCAACCTCTACTTCGTTCCCACGCTCCAATACTATGGCTTCTGCTCGATGCCAGCAACAGGCGACGACCTCGTCAACGGCATCTGGCAAGACGGCTGCACCATTCGCTCGGATACTGTCCCAGGCGGCAGTGCAGTCAACTATAACTTGGGCAAGACAGTGACCCACGAGGTCGGGCACTGGTTTGGGCTATGGCACACTTTCGAAGGGGGCTGTGATGGCGACGGCGACTTTGTTGACGATACGCCTGCGCAAGCGGCCGCATCAGACGGGTGCCCCCCTGAAGGACAAGATTCTTGTCCTAACCAGCCTGGCCAGGATGCTTTCCACAACTTTATGGATTATTCTTTCGAGTGAGTCGGGGGCATTGCCTTGTCTGACTGCAACTGGCGATTCCAGTCATGGTGTTATGCATACATACTAACGTGAGTCTGACAGTGCCTGCTACAGAGAGTTCACGCCTGGTCAAATGACTCGGATGAGGAAAGTATGGTACGCGTATCGAGCGTAAGGAACGCGAGAAGACGAGCAAAGGAGTATGGAGTAGATGGATATACATGGAATGGGTTTGAATTTTGGCAGACCAACGTCTGCAACGCCCGAGAGAAGTCCCTGATATTGTCACCCATGAATGTCGAATCTACGAGGAGGTAGTTAGCCTGCATTGACACAACGGTGACTTGGAAAGGGAGCTGAGAATGTCCCTTTTTGCCTTGAGAGAAGTATTCAGCAGCTAGAATGGAGGCAGTAGAATCTCGTTCACTACAGAAAACATCAAAGAATCGCGCCTGAGCGACTTTGTTTGGGATCGTCCATTTGCTGCATTTCTTTCTCTTTGTGCCAGCTGCCTACACCACTGAGCTTCAGCCAGTAACTTGTCGGAAGCCCGAGACACAATGCTTGAACATTGAGAGCAGACAAACAAAAGCACTGTTATTCTTTCAAGGTCGCGTTCAAAGGGCAAAAATAGAGTCTGCCAGTCATGTTCGTGTTCTCAGGAGGCCCTGCTGAGTTGCCTTTCGACAATCTGCCAGGCGGTGACACGCACCCGGAGCTTTCAGGGAGCATGCCCTAAAGCACCCTACCGAGGCCGAGCGAGTCCTGTCTTGTTTCCTTTGTCTTGCAAACATCATTTGAAATCATCTGTCAGATCTGTTTACCAAGCTGGTTTATTCTTTGCCTGTCTTTCTCGATTCTCATAATACGGTAAGTCCACTCGTACGTTCCCTTGTGGTGGTCATTTTTTAAGGTTGATGATAGGTCGGCCTCGCACACGAAGACCATAATCTCCCTTACCATCTACGTCGATCGATGCGATATCCTCCGAAGTTCGCAAAGAACAAAGTCTAATAATACGCGGAGCATTCAATATGCGGAAGCAGGGAAACGAACAGCTGGGGCTGCTAGAAGAGTTGGAACTTGTGCATGGGGTGCATCAGCAGATGCTGAAGCTGCTGCAAGACTTGGGCTTCTCGCCGCCAGATGGCCATCAAAACACAGAGACGAATGGCTCAGAAGCGGATGCTGGCTACGATGAGAGAAGAGCCAACATCTACAAGGGTTACCAGGACGTTGTTGCTTATAAGGAAGGGCTTGAGAAGCGGATCGAGTCTGTCAAGAAGGAAGACGCCAAACGGCGGGGACAGCCAGGCGTGCAAAAGAAGACCACACAGGCTCGCAGGACCCGAAGAAGGGGAAATGGATGGACCAAGGCAAAGAAGGCTTGATGTTTCCCGTCTGAATTTCTCTTGTAATGGAGTTCTCGCAGTGGTTTCGATGGGAGTTATGGATGGGATACGGCGATAATAGAGGACTACGCATTTTGTCACAGAGATGCGCTTCATGATGGGGATTTCCTTTTTTTTCTTCTTTCTTATTCTATTCTTCCAGTAAAGCCTCCTAGAGACGCGGCATCTCGAGACATCCACACATGGTGCTCTGGTAACAGCAGCTTCTTCCACGATTGTTCAACGAGGGGAAAGCTACCAACTTGGGAGACAAGTAGCATCCTCGAACCGCACATTTGAACCAGCTTAGCAAGTACATATGGTTCATGGCAGTACAGGTGCTGGTTAATTCAGACGATCTTTCTTCTAGTCCTCTCATCCATAACAATAATCGAGGAATAATTCCTCGTCCGATGGTTGCAGGCGGTCGAAGCCCCTGGAACTGGCACCTCACGTGATGCTCTGTGGTTATTGCCATCCGACAGCTGCCTGCTGTTCCCTCTACGCTGTTCAACCTTTACAGAATCATCCAGAAAAGTTTCGTTACTCGCACTTTTGATTTACCAAACGCACCGTTCGTCTGCAGCTACTCCGTATTCAAGTCAATTCCTTCGAACTTTGCGAATTACCTCGTCTCCCAAGATCAAGATGCTTCACGCCCTGATCAACTTTGTGAACGAATTCCTTGTCCAGCTCCCGCGAGCCTGGCGTGAGGTAAGTCGGATGACTATGACTACTGGAAAATCAAAGCAATGCATGGCTGATGTGGAAACAAGAATGATAACTGGGCTGTGTTCAAGCTCCAGTTTCTGGCCGTGTACGTGCTTGTTGCAGCCTTCCACACGGGAACCTGCCTTGTTGTAAGATCTCCCCATACTTTGGCAGCATTCAGCTGCATTATCCTCCATACTCTTCTTCTTTGTTGGCCTCTCTGAGGCATTGCAAACGACCGACTGACGCTTTGTGGCTACAGGGCCATGTCGTCACCTGGAGCACTGCAGACGCGTCTTGCATGATCGCCGGAGTGGTCGTGGAGCAGCTCCTCACTTTCCTGACTGCCTTTCCATTCATCTAAGTCCTCGACTCTTCGCGGTGGAGACGAACGTCAGTGCTGGATGCCCAGACAGTGCGGGAAGCTCCTCACGATGGCTGCGACGGATGTTGAGCCTCGATGTCTGTTTTTTGGTTCTGCTTTTCCATTGCGCATATTATACCGGCCGGGCGACTGCTAGTAGAGCAGCTGGAAGAGGGTCATGATACCATTCTCGACAACGCAGCGGACTCTGCTGTAGACAGGCAGAGGGCCAAGGATATATGGATGGGGATTTCAGCAAGCTGACAGGGTTCACCACCCGCTGTCATACCAATCTCGGCCATGTAATTTAGGTTGCCCATGTTCTCTTCAGAGCTTCTAGCCTCGTTATCAGAAAGCATTTCTCGACATCTCTATTGCACTAAAGCTGTCTGTCTGTCTGTTTGTCTGTCTTCTTGACATCCCCCAATCCGTCGATCTCTGCATAGCATCTTCCATCCCTGCTACTAAGTCGATGGCCCAGCTTGTTCCAGTTAGCCTGTCATCACTAAGAAGCCCAGCCTGTTAGCCCATTGGTCCGAATGACGCCCAAAAACCCCCCTTTGGCGACATCAAAGGGACGAGCCGTCGTTAGCGGGACATTAGACGCATCAACCTGATTCCAGATACATTTCGACATTAACCACCATGACAAGTCTCGTAGACAGCCAGTAGGGAGCAAGTGTGTCCTCACGGGAAAGGGCTCCAGCACTGTCCCATCTACCCACTGCTGGGAGCTCCAAGCCCACCTACTTACCTACATGTATGACCACTTCTACGTGCTTCCACCGAACTCGCTGAGGCTACTTTGGTCAGCGTTGCAGTGAATGCAATGGCAGCCGCGCCCCCGTTTCTTTGGCAACTGCCTTCAGCTGCCTCTCGCCTTCCTTGCCAGCTTCGTAGCGAAAACATACGCAGAAAAATAAGCGAGAAAGTCAAGCACAGGCAAATATCCTCCCTCTGTCTTTGAAATTTCAAACCTCAGCATCAACTTTTTCTCTTCCAGCATCGTTAGCCCTGCATGCTCAACAACCCTAGCAACACCCTATTGCACGTTTCCATGCAGATATCCGGTTTTCCTAGAAGAACGTCACAACAGAAGGGAGTTGATTTTCCTTGTACTGGTTCTCAGGTAAGACACTGTGATGGCCTCTCTTTTTCTCCGAGGACTTCGCCCTGACCTCTGGCCAACGTCCACTCTGTAGTGTTCCTGCGGCAGATTCCAGTGATGGATGAGCCGGACCTTGACCTCCGCGGCTTTCTCTTGCAGCTTCGACAGTTCCCCGACGATGTTCAGAGACTGGTGATCATCATGATCGAGGACGTCGAAGACTTGATCCTCATAGCCTTGGCCCAGCCGCCTGACGAAGAAATATTCTGGGAAGATGAGGATCCAGACGAGGCAACCAACCACCATCTGAGGGACGGCGCTGATGCTTGGGGCTTCCCGCAAGATCACAGAGCCCGCGCCACAGGCAGATGTCTCTACCTCTACCCTCACCAGCCGCCACCTCGAGGCAGCGCCCCCTAAACCAGAGATTACTGCTATCACTTTTGTGCGACTTGGCCAAGCAAAAGGGCACCAGACACTCTTCGGTAAATGCTGCCACATGCGTTGCTAGATATCCTAGGCTGTCCCCCTGAAGCCAGAAGCCACTTCTACATTGCGTATGGAGGGTTACTTGTACAGAGGGCTTGCCAGAGAGTAGAACACCCGGCTCTAACTTGATTGAGTTGCACAGCTCGCCTCCCACGGAGAGGCGTGCGTGGCACTGGATCGGTGGACATGGCGTCGAAGTGGGCGGATGGATGGCTTGGGGTGTCTCGATGAATGGATGGACGGAAGAAAACTCTTTTCCAGCTACCCAAGTTTGGGGATGTATCTAGGAGATGTGACACAACTCCGTTGACTGCTGCAACACCACTCTCGTGACATGATGGATGAAGCATCCCGTGCTCACCTCACCTCAGCCCGTTGACACCACATCTGACACTGCCGATGAGACTGATGGAGGAGTATCCTCTCCTTGTGTTTTTGCAGGTCAGGAGGGATACAGTGCTTCTCGACAACAGCGGAAGTCCCTCTTCAAGCGGCTGGACACGGAGACGTCCCCACGCTCGGGCACGCCGGCGTCGAACCTCCTTAGTTGCCCTCCTCCCCCCCTCTGACTCCCCTCCTCCTGACTCCATCTTGCTTCAGGTTCTCCCCGTAGTTCGTGCTCGGTCGAAGGAGGCGGTCGAAGGAGGCGCCCACTGGTCCTTGGGACCTCCTTACTCTCGGGTGTCGGGCCATTTCGGGCGGCGCCGTGCTTGAACAGGTCAGTCTTCGGGGCGTCAGGTTGCTTAGTTGGAGGGAAAAGGTCGGATAGGGTTCAAACCTCTACGTGGCGAAAGCATGACGGGCGCCTCCTTGTATCGAACTATACATCGCAGGTGCTGTTAGCTCATGCTTTGCCAGCCACACTTTGTAGGTGGAACGCCGGAAGTGGAAAGCAAGCCAAGTCAAGGCAAGCAGATGAGGGAGCCCGAGGATAGAGAATCGGCAGCCAGTTGAGCATTCTTGCAAGAAGTACCCCGTAAAGTTGTGTGCTTCGTGGTTCTAAAGCCAAAAGCGTCGTTTGCATTCCAGTCGCAGCCCCCTCTTGATGATCTGGCCCATACCAGGCACTGAATCCGGTAGGATACACATCAGCAGTGGTATCACGGAGAAGA